GGAAGCCTGGATGGCAGCCGTGACACAGGATACCCGGGTTCAGCCGGGAAAGACCCCTTTCGCCTTTTACTGAAAGGTCCCCCAGGACCCTGCCGTGACTTAGGCAGCACGTGGCCGGGCAGCGGTTCTCACCTCTGACTGCCAAGTCACCGCCCACGAACAGACACTTTTATAACCTGCTTGTCACGCGCATCAATGCGGAGTGTTCAGTTCCCAGATCATGTTGGTACGATGGCATCCTCGTATCTTCAGGCATGATGTAATGTTCTAAAGCGACCAGAAATACGGGTAACAATAATGGGGGAAACATTCCTGATTGCCTTATTGACCTGTCAACTGAGTAGACTGCCTTGCAGTTTGGATCCTGTTTAAACATGCAGATGTGTCCGATGGAGGAACCATTCCTGAAATCTGGTTTGGCAGCCACGCTCCGCAGGCGCTTGCCTCTGTGGGACCAGATGCTCAGGTTCAGTAACAAATGGACACCGTTGTTCCAGTCTTTCTGCGGCGGATGGGAACACTGGTTTTATTGATTGATTGATTGATATCCTGCCTTTTTCCTACAAAGGGCTCAAGGCAGCTTACATCTCCTCCTCCATCTTATCCCCACAACAACAACAACCCTGTGAGGTAGGTTGGGCTGAGCGTCTGTGACTGGCCCAAAGTCACCCGGTTGGCTCCATGGCTGAGCGGGGACTCGAACCTGGATCGTCTGAGTCCCAGTCCCGCGCTCTTAACCACCACACCACACTGGCTCTCACACTGGTTTTTCCCCACTGAGTGTCAGCCTCCAGCAGCTTCGAGTCCAGCTAAGAATTCCATCTTCTTAAAGTGACCGCAGCACCAAACAGTGACCTGGCTCGGAATTCTGCTGCTTTCTGAGAAAGGGGTGCAGGTTTGATTTTATAACACAAAGGCACATAGAAGCAACCCTTTTCTGCCAGGACTTATCTGAACTTTCCCAGCAGATGCAACCCAAAGGCCCGCCCCCGGCTCTTATTTCTGCTTGGCTGGACCTCTCTTGGCACCTGTGATCCAACAGCCTTGGCAGCATGGTGGAGACCTGCCCGGGGCTTATCTCCGGCCTTCGCGGGTTCCACCAGCTGCTGCGTTACCCACTGGAAAGAAACAGCAACTGAAAAAACAGGAAATCCCAGACTCTTTTGAAGACGTCACATATTTACTCTGAGCCAAGGAAGTAAGTATGCAACGGGCAGGAGGTCTGGGTTTGCTCAGCGGGAGCACCGAAAGGTGTCGGAAAGGTAAACAGGGCTGTGCTAGGGAGATGTTTGGTGGCCGCTCCGTCCGCACAGGCTGGGCAGGCCCCGGGCGGCACCCCGGAGGGGATTCTGCAGTGCCCGGGGCTTCGGAAAGCCACGCAGCACGGACACACAAGGGGCCTCTGTCCGTGCCGTCTCCCAGGTCATGCCCGTGTGGGGTGGCTTGGGTCCTGAGTTGGGCCACCGGGCCACCGTCTCACCTCTGTTCCCCAGCCTGGCCTCTGGAACATGCCAGGTGGGGGTGGGGGGGAGCTGGCTCAGGGTTCTCTGCACCGATTGGCCGAAGCCGCCCCAGGTGTGAAGGTCCACCTGGGGAGGCTGCAGGTGGAGCCCGTTTTCTTCCAGGCAGGCCTCCTGCTGGGCCATGCGGTGCCGCCCCTCTTTGAGGAAGCCCCCGGCACGCGGGGAGACGTGGCGTTCGAAGGGGTCCACCGTCCGCCGGGGGAGCACAGCCTTTGGTCAGGCCACGGAGGGGATGCGCCCCTGCAGCCAGTGCGGCACAGAAATGCCTCTCCTTCCAAAACTGGCATTGCTCCTAATTTTAGCCTCACAGCAACCCTGTGAGGTAGGCCAAAGAGGGACCCACCGAACTTTGTTGTTGACCTAGGAATGGAACCCGCGTCTGCCCGTTCTGTTGCAATACTGCAGCTCAGCCTTCCTCGAACCTGGCAAGCTCCAGATGCTTTGGACTGCAGCTCCCATCATCCTTGGCCACAAACGACAAGGCTCGATGTGTGTTTCATCCAAAAATATAAAGAAACGCCTCCCGGGTCAAAAACCTTTACCTGTGAATGAAAAAAGACAGCACAGCAGGAAAATCAGTTCCTCTGGCCAGAGGGGAGTGCCATCGGCTTCCCCGCATTCTGAAATGGTACGGTCCTGGAGGGCCATACCATGTGCTTCTCCAAATGTCTGATCTGCTCTAAGGAGCTTTTCCAATGTGGGTTTAAGGACGGATACTCCAGGAGCCAAATTAGGAGATTAGAAAATTAGGAGTGTGCACTCTCTTAACGAGCTCAGACGCTCACGTGTGTTTTCGGCAGCAATCGCCACTGAGTTTCATGCCCTGATTTTTATCTATACAGTCACCTTCAGGTTATTGGGCCACATAGAAATGGAAATAAAGAAACGAACATGGAAATTAATTAATTGATTTTGAGCCATCTAGAGAGTGTTGCTGGTGCAGGGGAGGCTGAGACACTGCTAGGAATCGACATAAACCATCAGCCCCAGCTTCCTTCCCTCCGCATGCTAGCACACTTCTTGTGTGCTCTCTGAAACTCGCTCGATCCTTGCCGAGGCAGCGGGGGCAATTCTGTGCCGGCTGTGAGGAGGGCAGGAACTTGGTTTTCGGAGTCGCCTCTCCATGGCAGGATCCCAGAGCTGGCACTTTGAACGATCCCAGGGAAGGCCATAGCTACACCCTTACGTCAATATGGGCCACCTGGGCTTGTTTATATATGTGTGCTGGGGCAGATACAATATTTATTGACTTCTGAGTGTTTGTTTTAATCTCAGCAATATTTCCAGCAACTGAAGACAAACTAACAATAGCAGAGTATTAAATGTAAAAATGCCAGGTAACTGCAGTCAATAAATTAATTTCAGCAAGCCATCATAAATGCTCCGTTTGGATCTTAGCAGGCCTATTTAGATATCTTTTTAAGTTGACCAACCATTACAGCAAAAGGCAGATAACAAAAAGGTGTCGCCCACCTGATAAAGCCAAAGCGTAAATCCTCTGGAAATCAGTAGGATTTGTTTCTCTTCTTTAATTTAGTGAATGCAAGTGAAACCCGGACAAATTGACCCGAAAATGCATCAGCGCCGTCTTTCTTGCGTGTGTGAAAAAGGGGAGGGAGCCAGAGAGAGGGAGGTTCGGGACAGATCCCAGAAGGCCTTTTCCATACAGCACAGGGCTAAATTATGGGAGCCACTTCCTCAGGAGGTGGGAATGGCCGCCAGTTTGGATGGCGAAAAGGAGATCCGACAAATTCGTGGAGGAGAAGGCTGCCCACGCACCGCTCTGCGCCGGTTTGCACGACACGAGAGCATTTTGCAGGCTCGTTTGCTCTCGAGGAGCCACTGCTCGCGTGGCTGCCATTCTCAGCGTGTCGGAGGCGTGGCCACCGTGTCGTCTGAACCCAGCTGCTGCGGGCCGTGTGAGGACGAAGCAACCCTCGCACAGCCCTCGGCTCCCGGGGCCTGAGTGCAGTCGGCAGGCGGATCCCCAGTCTGGGGTCGCAGGTGGAAAAGGGCCCCTGCCCGGTTTGCTTCCAGGGACTGAGGCCCCGGGACGCGATAGCCCACGGAAGGGCCTGGGGACGAGACCACGACATCCACTCGGCTTTATTTTGTGCGCAAGAAGCGAAGCGGAGCACGGAGTAATTCAAAAACTCAACCAACCCGTACTCTCTGAACAAACAATTCACAGGTCCTTTACATCGTTCTTCAACCACAGTTCCCATCGAAAGGCCCCTGGCTGCAGCCTCTCACCCTGCCATGATTCTTCTTACCTTGGTCATGCCCGATGCTTTTCCTTCTGTGGTTTTCCTCCCGCACGGCCACATTCCGGTGCAGTCATGGCCTGTGCTTAAATCAGGTAAACCTGATTGTATCTATGACACAATTAGCTCAGCTATTATTCATCTAGCCAGGGTTCATCTCTAGTTCAGCAGGAAATTGCCCCCCCCACCCTGCTTAAGGGGCCTTCAGCCTCTGACCCCAACGGGGGCTGCAGCTCCTTGCAGGTCAAAGCAAGCCATGGTGAGCCGTGGCATGTTATGCAAGCCGGGGCAGCGAGCGTGAGAACACATCCCAGAGTGCACGATCCTAAACTAGCTTAGCCAGCAAAAGGCCTACAACGCCCATCATGCCCCTTGCAGTGGGCGGGCTCCCCTCTGGGCCTCACATGACGTGTCTGGCCCACCGCTGCATTCCGCAGATTGGGTGCGGAGATCAGCCAGAGGGAGCCTGCACGGCTGTGGAGGAACGGCCCCAAATATTATGCAAACCGACTGTGGAACGTTTATTCCTGTACATGGCACACAAGGAAAGGGGATGGGGAGGGAAGAGGAAACAGGGAGAGTCCTGCAGCAGGGGCTGCTTCCCCTGCCCTCTGGCGGGAATCCATCCCCAGATGTGTCCCCCTCACCATGCCTCCTGGTTCAGCGTGTGCGTGTGGACACCAGGCGCAGCTCCGGGCTCGCAGCATGTAACCTGGAAGCCTCCCCCTTGCGTGCCAGTCCGCACACCTGCCAGGTAGGATCCCTCCCTGCTGGTGGGAGCCGTCCTCCATCCCGGCCCAAAGCCCTCTCTGCCTCGCCTTTTCCTGGGCTGCCTTGGTGCAGCGACATCCTCTGGGGCTGACAGGCCCCTTCGGCTCCATTGTCCCCCCACCTCCCATTCACCTCTGCCCAGCTCTCACCTGCACGGCGTGGGTGATTCAGCCTCTCCGTCCTGGCCTGCTGAGGCCAGCCCAGGTGAGAGCAAACAGTCTGGGGTCCTTCCCGGCCCAGGCAGGTGGCCCGTTCCCCAGGCATCAATCACCGTTGGGGCGGCGGTGCCAGCGCTTTCCGACAGGGCCGTGGGAAGCAGGGCAGCTGACCCAGGACCGTCTCTGCCGCCGGCCGGCAATGCAAATGCCCCACCACTTGGGACAGTATATAAAGTGTCCGTGGAAGGCGCCCCGTCCCTGGACGGTGTCCTGTTCTTCCGGAAATGAGGGGCCTTCTGGTGCTTTCTGCGCTGCTGGCTGTGGCCTTCAGCACCGAGACCTTCGTGGGGTAGGTGGACGCGCCTGGCCCCAGGCAGCCAGCGAGCCGCTGGGCCAGGGAGCTTCCCCGTCCCTGGAAGACGGCAAATACCAGCTCAGGATCTAATCCAGAGGGGAAGCAGCTCAGGGGTAAAGAGGGCTGGGTTTCCATATGGAAAAGCCCTGGGTTCTATTCCTGGCATGTTTTGGGGAGAAAGTTCGTGAGTTTCGGCAGAGCAGGATTGGACCCCTTTCCCCTGAGCTCCCCAGCCAGCCCCTGGCAATTGAACTAGGGACCACGTGAGAGCTGATCAGCCTTCTCCAACCTGGGGTCCTGCGGGTATTTTGGACTACAGCTTCCATCACCCCCGTCCCTTGGCCAGGCTGGCTGGAGCTAATGGGAGTTGAAATCCAAACGATTTGGAGGGCCCAGGCTGGGGAAGTGAAGGGGCTGCTTCGGGCACCAGATGCGGGGGGGAGCATTATTTGTGAGTGGGGGCGGGCATGTAAATCTATAAAGGGCCATCCTGCATTTTCGACTCCACTTTGCATGCAAAAGGCTCCACATTAGATCTCCGGCATCTCCAGGATGGGGGGGGGGGGTCTCCAGTTGGGACCCCCGCCAGCTGCTGCCAATCCGGAGTGCAGACGTGGCTGAGTCGGGAGGAGGCCGCTTCCTGCGCCCCTTCTGGAATGGCACAAGGGCAGTAGCTCTTTCTAGAAAAACCACCTTGGTACAGATGCCTCCGGCCTTTTTCAAATCCTAGTGGATGAACGCTTGTTGTGACGGTCCTCAGAAGTGGGAATTTGCGCATACTTTTAGCTGACTGGAACGCAAGGGACCTCACACGATCACCCTCCCCTCTGTTTCATCTTCACAACAACCCTGGGAGGTAGGCTAGGACGTGAGTCAGTGGCGGGCCCGAAGCCACCCAGCATGCTTTCAGGGTAGAATGAGGCGAGAACCCAGGTTGTACCTAAACACACTAAGCACTGCAGCACACCGGCACGCATAACGATTGCCAGACTCTCTTAGAAAGAGTCTCCTCCCCGCATGGAGAAAGTAATGCAAGGACCACTCCTTCTGCTTTGCAATACTGGCATCCTGCCACAAGATGGCGGTGGCGACCCCTGGCCTGTTTCTACCCGCGGCTGGAAGCAGCTCCACAGCAGCATCTAGTGGCAGAACAGCAGCATTACGGCACAACTTCCGCAGGTCTTGAAATACACATTGGGTGTGCCACTCAAGTGTGTCACGTTCCAGAAAAGTGGCATGTTGAACAAGCGTCCATAGGAGAGCATACATAAACCAGCCACAGACAACCTCCTGCATCCGTCACTCACGAGAGCCGCTAGGTGTGCCGTCTGCGGGCGGGAGAGCAAAAATACGCATGCAGCTTGTCTCCGCAGCCAACAGGTGCTGAGGATTTTGCCTGAAGACGCCTTCCAGCTGGAGAAGGTGATGGAGCTGGACGCATCTGAGAAGCTGCAGGTAAGGCAGAGGAGCGGAACCGGGCCCAGTTCCCGGCTCGGGGGCCTCGCCGAGGGCCCATGGCCTCCATGGGTCACGGCACTCTCGTGCCAGCACCTCCTCCATGTGGAAGACGCAGGGGGGGGGGCTGAGGGGCAGGGCCCCCGAGGGCCCCAGGGCCCATTGCAGCCCTTGGGGCCCTCCCGTGCCCACTCGGACTGGCAGCGATGGGGATGGCGTGGGGGAGGCGGCTGTGCGTCACATCCTGCTAGACTGGGAAGCAGCTCTGCCCAGTGCGGGAGTCCCCTGGGTCGCCTCGGCCACGATGCCCAGCATCCCCGCACGCCGGGCACGTGGCTGGCCTGGCGGAAGCTGCAGGCAGGAGGCTGCACGGTCGCTAATGTTACGCCAGGTTGGAGTAAGCGCAGGGAAACCCTTTCCTTCCTGCCCCTCACCGAGAAGACGCCCCCTGGCCCCAGAAGGCAAAGCCAGCTGTCCAAGGGCTCTCTCTGGGAGGGGAAGGCTGCGCTTCCTCATTTTCGGCCAGGGGTAAAAAAAAATGCCAAGGCAAATTATGGGACTGAAACTGCCTTGGTCGCCCAAGTCCAGGCCCAACTGATGGTGCTGGGGATGACCTCAAAGCCCTAAGTGGCTTGGGTCCGGGACCCCTGAAGGAGCGCCTCCTTCCCAAACGCCCTCCCGCCCCCTGAGCTCTGAGGCAGAGGCCCCGCTCCGGGAGCCCTCCTTGAGGGAGACCAAGAGGGTGACTACCCGGAGGGGGGCCTTCTCTGTGGCGGCACCCTGACTGTGGAACACGCTCCCCAGAGAGGGACGCCTGGCGCCAATGCTTTTTTCTTCTTGGCGCCAGGCGAAACCCTTTTTATTCTCCTGCTATTTTAATGTTGAATTGGTTTTAATTGTGATTTTATTGTGAATTGCTGGATGCTGTACCATTTTTTAATCTGTGCTTGTTGCAAACTGTCCTGAGACACTAGTAATGGAACAGTCTATGAAAGATTTAAATAAATAATTAAAATAAAATAAAATAAGTTTAAAATAAATTATAAAATAAAATAAAGAGTCAGTCGATACAGAGGGACCTGGTGCTCGTGGAGGCCACCTGAGATGGCTTCAAAGGGGGCTGTGCTTGTGAACTGAGTGGGGGGGGGTCTGTTATCACTGCTAATGGCCGGACTGGGAACCGGGGGGCTTCTTGCGAGGTTACCAAAAGCACGGCTGTTCCAAACACCCTCCAGACATGTATATGAATCCGCACTTTTCCTCTCGTGAATCTGCCCAGCTGGACTTCTGGCGAGCCCCGACTTACCCCAAGAGCCCCGTCGACGTCCGCGTCCCGTTCCCCAGTCTCCAGCGGGTGAAGGTCTTCCTGGAGTCCAACGGCATCCAGTACGACATCATGATCGAGGACCTCCAGGTGCGGAGCTGCTCCGGCGAGCAGGGGCTGTGAGTCGGAGGCAGGACCGGCTCTCCCGCCGGGTGGGACCGTGGGGTGGTACAGCCGGCCCCGGCGCTCGGCGGAGGGAGGCGCCCGCCTCGTAGGGGAGCTGTGGCAGGGGGTTGGAGGACAGGCAGCGCGGGGCCCACAGCCCACCCGGGCCAGTCCAAAGGAGCCGCTGGGCTCAGGCCCGGGGCAGGATGCTGGCCCCTGGGTGCTGGTTCTGAAAGCAGACGCCTCTGCCGGTCCTGTCGGCTCCCGCAGGTGGAACGGGATGGGGGCCCCTCTGGCCCTTGGCCTGAGGCCAACGGATGTGGCGGCGGGCTCTGGGCCGAGGTCTTTCTTCCTCAGTAGCCCTGGGGTCTCCCATGCGCACTGTCCCAGCGGACCCCACCCCAGTTGCTTCATTGAAACTGGGGTCCCCACATAGGGCGTGAAGGCACGTTTACACCGCTGGGACCCCCCCCTCCCTTCCAGGCCTGGTTTGCGTTCTATTCCACAAGTGTTTTTTATGCTTATGCTTCTCAGGTGAGTGGCTCCTCTTTCGGTCTCACCAACTCGGCTTCTGGGAAGTGCCTGTTCTGTGGGCTGCCATTTTGTAAGAGCGCCCACGACACGCTTAGCCTTCCAATGTGCCCACCGAGACGGAACATCTCAGGGTTCCCCTCTTCGCCCGTTGGGGCCCTTGAGGCTTTGGGCACGATTGCTTCCCGAGGGGCGGAGGGAACGGATACCTGCAGCGGCACCACAGAGGGCCAGGCGTGGCGCGTTGCACGAGTGCCAGGCCCCGGCAGGGGAAGCGGCTCCGAGCCGCCCGGGCGAGGCAGGGCTTGGCCGCCTGCTGGGTTTGCGGGGCTGATTCTTCCCGGGGGCCGACGGTTCTTCTCGTCCCCTGCAGTCCTTGATTGACGAGGAAAAGCTGGACATGGCGCGCCAACGTTCGGTGCTGCAGACGACCGAGACCTTCAACTATGCTGCCTACCACAACCTGGATGAGGTAGGTGCGCTGAGGCCGCAGCAGGACTCGATCCCTGCCGTGCCATTTACGTGCCCCTTTGTGTGTGTAGGGGCAGGAAGGATTCAGAGCCAGGTGAATAAAAATATGTCCCAGGTCACAGCGGGAATATTCAGCTGGATCTGGTCTTGCTGGGTTACCGCTTCCCTGTTCTGAGTCAGTGTCATTTTCCTCTGCTCCTGATTACTGCCCCCTTCTTGATCCTGGGTAAACGATCCCATCTAATCAGGGCTGACGTGGCGAATGAGATGGTCTGCCGTCACAGCACAGGTGCTCCACTGTCTTAAGGCTGGCCCAGGTGATGTCATCACTGAAGGTGACCCAAGGCAATTGAGGCCAAGGGCACTGCTTCCTGGGCTGGTCACTTCGGTGATCCTAGCCAATCAGGGATCACACCGTTACTGAGGGGAGCATAGCCAATCAGCTATTGTGCTGTGACAGGTGCATGATAACACCTGCCTTGAGTGAGGCCAGCTGCAGAGGAGAGCAAGAGAGAACAAGGCAGCTAAATGAGGAGGTGAACAATTCAGCGAGGGCTGCCATATTTATTTTATTTATTTAAAACATTTCTATGCTGCCCCATCGCAATAAGCCTCGGGGCGGCTCCCAACATCAAAAATCAACTATACAGTAAAACCACAATGCAATAAAACCACAATGCCATAAAACCTCAATAAAACCTCAGTGCATTCTCGGCTACAAAAAAACCACACCCTAATTAAATAAATAAATAAACAATTAAAATAAGTTTTAAATAAAAAGGTCTTAGCCTGGCGCTGAAAAACAAATAACGATGGCGCCAGGCGGACCTCTCTGGGGAGCGCATTCCATAAATGGGGCGCCACCGCCAAGAAAGCCCTCCTCCGGGTACTCACCCTCCTGATGTCATTCACGGAGGGTTCCCGGAGAAGGGCGTCTGCTGCTGACCTCAAGGGGCGGGAGGGCATATGGTCAACCTGCCAGAAAGTGTCACCTTCCTGAAAAGGCCGGGGTCCCGTTCCCATTTCATTTAACGGGGGCATTCTGGACGGGTCCTTTCCAACGGCCTGGATGTCCTATTACAATGGGTTTTCTGTTCTTTAATTATGGATTGCTCCTTTAGGAGTCCCTCAGTCGTATAAAAGCACCTGGCCCTCCAGAAACAGTAGCATGTGGGGCTCACCAGTGTTCAGGCCTCTCCTCTCCTCTCCGAGAAACGCACACACCACGGCAGTAACCGCCTCTTCTCTCTGTGCACTAGATCAATGCTTTTATGGATCTTCTAGTAACCGAAAAGAGTAATCTGGTTAGTAAACTCCAGATCGGCAAGAGCTATGAGGGGCGCCCAATCAACGTCCTGAAGGTAAGTCACCCCCTTCTCCTGGCAGGGGACCTTCTCCTCGCCCCCCCCCCCTTTCTGGCCCCAATGTTGGTGGGGTCTCCCCGGCTGGGGTCTTGCACAGTGGCTTGCGACCAGGTGGCCTTCGCAGGTGCAGGGAAGGTGTGGGAGGAGCAAAGGGGGGCAGGTAGCTGGCCAGCTCTGGGGCCCATGCGTGGAAGGCATACTCATGTATATGGGTGAATTCGGAAATAATTTCTAGGGTGGATTAATATTTCACGGAAGGCAAAGCCATCCAAATCAATCTCCCTTCTAAGTCAGGCCCAATAAAACCCTGCTCTAATTAATTGCATCCCACCCCAGGTCATCTTAAACTGGAAGCACCTCTTTGACTACAGTTGATTTGCAATGCGCATGAAAAAAGTCATTCAAAGGAAGGGCTGGTTAATTTGGTCACAAACTCTTTCACTTAATTGCCAAAATGCAATCACGCTGAGGCGGAGGAAAAGCTTCTGTTGGCACTGAGGGACATTGTGCTGCTCTGGGAAAAGATCTGAGGCGCTAGCAAATAGGTTTGCGGCTTGGAACCTATAGGCCCCGGAATACGTGGGCCTCTGGGACTGGCAGATGCAGGGCCTTAGGGTTTCCCTTCTTTTTCTGTTCACACAGTTCAGCACAGGAGGAATCAAGCGGCCAGCGATCTGGATTGACACTGGCATCCACTCCCGTGAATGGGTCACTCAGGCCAGCGGAGTCTGGTTTGCAAAGAAGGTATCAGCTCCAATTTCATCTCAAGGTCATACTTTTCACAACTGGGGAAAAGGAAAGCAGAGGAATGGGTGTGACACTGGCTACCAGCTCTGATGGTCCAACTATCCATACAAAGCCAAGCATGACTGATGGTTCAGCAGCCTCAGAATTTCAGCATTTATTGGTAAAGTTTCTAGTCCCCAGGGTAGCAAAGTCAGACGGAACAGTGTGAAAGACGCCGAAGTGGGAGGAGGAGGCTGTATAGGGTTATCTGCACCCCACGTGGTCTCTGTCGCTCCTTGGTGTTATCAGAACTGAAACTTACTGTCTGAATAATGCAAATATATTCAAAGTTTATTGTGATTGCAGAATGATACAGCATTCTTAGCTGTGGCAGTGCCCAGTTAAAGGAAAGACCCTCCGCTACGGAGCAGTCTCGCACTCATCGAGAGACGAGCTCCCGAGCTGTTGAGCAAATATGCTGTTGAGGCTTGACTCTGTCGATGCTTCTGAGCCTTCCTCGTTTCTCTCATCCAGATTGTTGACAGTTACGGCAAGGACCCTTCCCTGACCAGCATCCTGAACAACTTTGATATCTTCCTCGAAATCGTCACGAATCCTGATGGTTTTGCTTTTACACACAGCCAGGTATCCCTCTCCCTTCTTTTAGCCTCTGGGCTGGGATTTAGGTAGGCAGATTAAACTCCGCTGCCACGCAACGGTTTGGTTCCAGAGCATCTCCGTGGCTTCCAAACTGTGCTGAGGGGTCTTCCTGGCTTTTACAGAACCGCATGTGGAGGAAGACCCGGTCACACCACAGTGGGTTGTCCTGTATCGGAGTAGACCCCAACAGGAACTGGGACGCAGGCTTTGGAGGTAAGTGGTCTTCGGTTCTTTTTTTAACTCCCCTGTCCCCTGCCCCCATCAGAAACCTGCAGAGCTCTGACGAGCCATGTGGGATACCATTGCTCGTGGCGGCGGCTGGGCTGCATTTCCAGCCCTTTTCTCAAAAAGACCAGGATCAAAACACTCCGTGCTGCTGCCCATTTACCTAGGAAGAAGTACGGTTTGGTTGTAGGGAGCAAAGAATAGCTCTAAACTAGAAAGAGCAAAATAACATGCATCTGTAGCCGTTTGCCTGCTCAGCTGCATGTCTCCAGCTGGGCCAGGTTCTTAACAGTGAGAACGGAAGGCGAAAGGAGAGCCTGGGGGTGCTGGCCTGGCCCAGGAACTGACCCCGCGATGCCCTCGGGTGCCTCCGTCGCCGGCCCTCTGGGAGGCCATGGGGTGGGGGTGGCTGGAGGTCATATCACGGATCAGTGATGGCGAACCTTTTAGAGACCGAGTGCCCCAACTGCAACCCCAAAACCACTTATTTATCCCAAAGTGCCAACACGACAATAACACCTGAAAATTGAGGTTTTAGTTTAATAAAAACAACTCACAGCCAGTCCAAGCAAATACACACACACACACACACACACATATCTCCTTGGCAGCGCACTGACCGGCCATGTGAAAGCTCGGACAAATCAAGGCTAATGAGTCGTGGCTCGTGATGTCATCACCTGGCGCCGATGCTCCTTTCTGAGCGTGTGCATGGCCCCTATGTGCACTGTCATCTGATGCGCGGCTGCTGGGGCGACGCTGGGGTGGCTTGGCTCGCGTGCCGACAGAGAGGGCTCTGGGTGCCCGCTGCGGCACGCGTGCCATAGGTTCGCCACCACTGCCCTGGCGCACTCCCATAACCCTAATATAAGGATACAGTTGCATTGAAAAGAGGGCGATTTTGAGAAAGCCTCCGCTGAGTAGCTTTTTCTGCACAGCCCATCATTTCTGCCCATTCTAAACACATTCCAACCATCAAAATCATGCCAAGACACCTCGTTTTTCAAACTGTAACCCAGTGATGGTGAACCTTTTAGAGACCGAGTGCCCAAATTACAACCCAAGACCCACTTATTTATCACAACGTGCCAACACTGCAATAAAACCTGAAAACTGAGGTTTTAGTTTAGAAAAAATTCACAGCCAGTCCAAGCAAAAAATATATATCCTTGGCAGCCATTGACTGGCCATGCGGAAGCACGGACAAATCACGGCCGATGAGTCGCGGCTCGTGACGCCATCATGTGGCGCCGCTACTCCTTCCTGAGCACGCGCATGGCCCCTAGGTGCGCTGTTACCAAATGCTCGGTTATTGGGGTGATGCTGGGGCGGCTTGGCTCGCGTGCCGACAGAGAGGGCTCTGCATGCCCGCTGTGCCACAGGTTCGCCACCACTGTGCTAGATACTTCCCCGGGTTTGGGGAAGCTGTGAAGCTGGTCTCAGACTGACACTGAACTTTAGACCTGCTCTTGCAACTCAGCGGATCTGGGCCATTTTTGACCAGGAGGTGTGGGGAGGCCGCCCTGCTGAAGTGCCAGCCTGGAGTCGTTCTCAGCCAGCAGCTCTGAGAGTGTTGTGGTTTCTTCTCTCCAGGGCCCGGCTCCAGTGGGAACTCGTGCACTGAAACGTACCGCGGCCCCTACGCCAACTCGGAGTCTGAAGTGAAAGCCATCGTCGACTTTGTGCAGGATCACGGCAACATCAAAGCCTTCATCTCCATCCATAGCTACTCGCAGCTCCTCCTCTACCCGTACGGCTACACCACACAGAAGGCTGCGGATCACGAGGAGCTGGTACGTCTCGGCTGTGCAGGGCCCTCTTCCAGCCGCTGGGCACCTCCGGTGCGGTGGTGGAGGAAAACTTTGAGATGCAGGTGGCGGTTGTGACAGTTCCCACAACCAAAAGTCTCAGACTGCAGACGTTTGTGTTAGTCCCTGTCGACAAACCAGACCAAGCACTTGGCATCTCCAGTAGGTGGAGGTCTTTTGTATACCTAATGGACCTTCCCCCACATCAGAAGAACTCCAACAAGTGCTGTATTTGGGGTCTTTTAATTACCCCAAGCTGATTTCTAATACTGTTTGGGGTATAAAATTATCCACAATGCCACTTGTGCATTTTTTTCATAAAGTGCATTTAGCAATACCAATCACTTGGACTGACCACACATCAGGTGGAACGTTTGTTTTGAATACGTATCTGCCCCGTCTTTGCACAGGGAGCAACCAGCAACATTTGCAGAACCTCCAGGCATCAAATATTTTTATTTTCTATTAGAAGCTATAAAAACCATGGTTTTAACCCAAATACAGAGGAACTCCAGCACAGACTGGAATGACTGGGAGCAGACACCAGCCATTTTTCAAAACAAGCATTGTTCTCCTGGGGTCGTTTTTGTACCGTGTGTGCAAACCTGTCTCTGATGAGGCCAGTGTCTTGTAGGGAAGCCCACTGTGCTGACTTAATTTCACAAAGGGCACGGCACCGGGCTGGTGCAAAGCATCTTACGCACACCGCTCCCACGAGCGATGCACTGTCTCGTGGGAGGCTCATGCGCTGCTCTAGCACTTCCCTCTGTGAGAGCGCCTCCTGGTGCAGGGAGGCGGGGGCACAGCTGGTGCGGAGAAGCAAGGTCTGCACCGCAGGCTTGATGCCTGCAATCACATTTGGTGTGTCTTGCACACCTGGCTCATCTCCAGATGGATCAGTTCTTTTCCGAGACTGGGATGAATAGACAGCATCTCCATTTGGCATAGCGATCTCCAAATTGGTGTGGGTTAAGACCCAGGACACATGGCTTGTGAGAGCTGCAATATCCGTAAGATTAACAAAACCCCCTTCGTAAGCCAGCTGTTAATTGCGTAATTTCTCACAAGGCGGTCCAGGTTATCCTTTGGTTGCACTGGCGTGTTCCATAATGCTCCAGGGGGCCCTCACGTGTCGTGGTGCCTCTAGAACACTGGAGAACCACGCGTGGTGTGCATCCAGAGATGACAATAGTTCCCTGTGCAGGTGCGGCTGCATTCCAGGTGGGATGCGGGGCTTATTCTGTCCCACTGTGCCAACAAAGGTCAAGTTTTCACTTATCAATCCTTCAGCCCGTTCAGCATGAACGGTGTCCTAGCAAGATTAGACTGCAGGGCTACTTATATATAAATATGCCACACCAAAGGTGAGGCCAGGTGCTGCCAGTTACAGCAACATGCAAGTTTTAAGAGCCCATTTGTGTATTTTTGGCCTTTCTCGATCTCATGTTGCCCTTTCTTCTTCCCAGGATGCTCTTGCTAAAAAGGCCGTCAATGCCCTTGCTTCCCTCCATGGGACCAAATACAGATATGGGAGCATCACTGCCGCCATCTGTAAGTTATCCAAGCAGGAAAACAGGCCATACGAGGTGGGGAACTTCACTACGGTGAACTGAGTGAGGTCTTCCCCCATTTGCTGCACAGAGTACTTTTATTAATTTCTTAGTATTTCTATAATGCTCTACAGTCAAACAGATCCTGAAACAGTAAATGGTAGGGACGGGGTTGAAGGAAGGTCAGCCTTCCCTGCAGATGCGACGGACAACTCCGTCATCTTTCATCGTTGGGCAGGGTGGCTGCAAGGATGGGCGCTACGGTCTGACGGCATGCGGCTGATGAAAGCTGCGCCATGTAAATGGCTCCTGAGTCTTCGTTGCCGCCCATGTTCTGGGGTACATCCAGCTCATGAAACTGTGTACCATCACAGCTCAAGTGAGCCTTGACCTTGAGTAGAAAACCTTCCTGTAGATGCCAGCGCGTGGTGGCAGCTTGCTCTGGGCTGCCGGCTGGTCCTGCTTCAGCTGGAACAGCTGCTGAGCAGCTGGCACGGATGGGTTGAACGTGTCTCCATTCACACGTGGTTCAAGTTGTGTAGCGATTCGATCATCACAGAATTTGGGTTTCCTGAATATGGAACGGTCTTTCTGCATACATCCTTAGGCCAGTGCTTGAAGTGCTCATTTAGGTTCCTCTACAGAAAGTTTAATTTCCTCCCCAATCAAGTTTTGTTTGGAAACAATAAAGTGGAAGGAACGACATGGGAGGAATTGGTTGGAAAAGAACAACGGAAGGGCCGAGTAAGTCCCCTCTTTTGGCTGCCAGAAAATTCTCCCAAGCTTTTTTGTTTTGAAGAATGTATCTTAAAAGTCTTGCACATAGTCAGGGCTTGCTGTATAACCAGGAAGATCACAAGCCCACTTTTCCCAGCTCCCAATTTCTTCAAATTGTGTATCTGTTCATAAAGCCAGGCTTCATTATGCCTGGCACAGCTAAAGTGGAAGGATGTACATGGATGGGACTAGAAAGTCTCGAGTCCAAAGCAGCCTTCCCCACCCAGATGCACTAGACTAGAAACCCCATTCTACCGACTCACTGTCCAATGCATCTGGCAGGCGACAGGTTGGAGACGACTGCTTTAGGCACTGGGCTTACACCCTGGGAGGAAGCTGCCGAGAGAACATTTCTGAGTCCCCCCCTTATTTTCAAGGAAGCGCCAGCACTGGTGACCACGGCAACCTTGTCCGTATGGGAGGAGAGCTGTGCGCTGTGGTGGTGGAGAGGGCAGGCTGGGGCTCTAGTCCTCCCTCAGCCATGGTGCTCAGCGGGCGACTCTGGGCCAGGCCCAGGCTCTCAGCCGAGCCAACCTCACAGAAGGGAGGCGAGCCGCACAAGCGACTGTGGGTTCCTTGCCGGAGGAGCAAAGGCAGTGCAACGAAAACGCAACAGCCACACAGCGCAGAACTAAGTGCTCTGGCTCTTCCAACGCGTCCCCGTTTCCTTTGCCTAGATCCAGCGAGTGGTGGAACGATTGACTGGACCTATGACCAAGGCATTAAGTACTCCTACACGTTCGAGCTACGGGACACGGGGCGCCATGGCTTCTTGCTCCCGGCCAGCCAGATCGTTCCAACCGCCGAGGAGACGTGGCTGGCCTTGATGGTCATCATGGAGCACACGCGAGACCATCCATACTAAGACCGGAGCGGAAGGGCGTTTTCTCCGGAGGCAACCGGTCGCCTTGGTCATAATAAAGACAGGAATGAAGAGAAATCACTGTTTTGTCATCTTATTCTAGCCAGTAATTTCACCTTTAGTCTTGCCTCTCGAATCCTTTTTCGTAAAAGAGGAATTAAAGTAATGGGGAACCAAATATAGTGAAATGCTGTTACGTCAAACTTTTCTATGAAGTATCGGAAGAGTCTCCTTGATACAGGGTGGGACGGGGAAATTCTCCCTTCCCTGTAGCGTCAGGCAGTGTTAGAGGTTTTACTTTCAGGTTGGTATCTCAGACTCAGGCACACACCGCCTCTGTCTGGTCAGGGTAGGGAAAGTCTTCCACATGGTGTGCTCTTCTTCATGGGCACACATTTGGTTATGAGGGTTTGGTCAGGAGCATGAGTCCAAGTGGGAGTTATTCCAAGAAGTCTGCTTTCCATTTTGAAACGGAACATGCACCTCTGACGTCTCCAGAGAGGTTTAAAACCTTACTTCAAGACAGAACAACTCCCTTGGTGGTTAATACCTGGCAATGACCTGCCTAATAACCCACGACATAAAAAGGCTCATAGAAAGAGTGGGCAGCTATCTCTTTATTGAGCGGCAAACAATACAGAAGCTCAGCTATGCACAAAAACTAGCCACCCCAGTCCAAGGCGGCGGCATTAAACCACTGGATATAATTAACCTAATGAGCAAGCTATACCAAATCCACCAAGCCAGTAAGAGGATTAACGGCATGTTGAGCTCTTCCCCCAGTGCCAGCGTTTTGTAAAAAAGCTCTTCTTCAGAACTGGGGATGCACCTGTCTTTTTGTCACCTGGCTTTCTGGTCAAGCCTTAGTATAAGAATAAAGTATTTGAAACAAATTTCAAAACCATACAGAGACTTGCAATGCAAAAGAAAAGAATGTTCGCCTTATAAAATAGGTTCCAATCAAATCGAAACAAAAACACTTGACATTTGTAAACGGCAATAATCTTGTAGTGTTTTGATACTGTTGACAGCATATTGAAGCAGGTGCACAAAATTATTTAGTATTTCGCATTAAGAAAAGCCAAAGCATAACATCCAAGTGGGCATACCTCTTGTTAGACTACTTGATTTCAAATCAGTTTGCCCTCCTTGGTTTGGCTACAGAATTCTGAAAGCTGTGCTTTTGCAAAAGGGGTGACAACTAGACTCCTTGAACAATAGTTCCTAGGACCAGCACCATTCTAGCCTGCAAGAAAATCTCCACATAGCTCAGTCCATGTTATATAAATAGGAAACATTTAATATTAAATATTAAAGAGACTATGTTGAAGCAGCACATATACCAAGAAAAAATCTCAACCAACCAATCACCACGCTTGTCATTCATAATAAATACGTGACATTTAAATGCAACCCATTTCAAACACTGAAGTAACCCCTCTCAGGTGAGGCAGGGTGGTCGGGCCCTTGAGGAATACGGAAGTGCTGGGGACTGGGAGAGGGAAGAACCGGGGTGCGTCTATGGCACGGGTCTGGAAGACCACAGCTTCTGCTGGAAGCCGCACGGTCACGGGGCAGCATCTCAGCTCTCGGGTCACGGCAATTCAAACTAGTTGTTCTCCATTAGAAAACAATTGCTCAAGCTGATCTTTCACGTAGACCAAACAAAACACAAATAGGAGCGCTGCTGAGCAAAAACTGGGCAATGAGAATACAGTAAAGCCAGTCTTTAAGCAGATGCTTCCCGAAGGCTGAGGAGTAAGACGTTCTCATGATCGGCCTCCAAGAACAGAGCAGAAAAGATCACTGAGCATGCAAGAAGCATGATCGTGGGCGACTGTCCGAGTGAAGCCAGGTGAAAACGGTACTACGGCTGAGAAGTGCTGCTTGACCTCATCATGATGGGGAAACCCTGCTTTTCACATTTTTAAGTAATGTGTTGTCAAGTTCAAATGTAAAAACAGACAATTTTACAAAACTGTATACAAGGAAAACTGGAAAAGGTGAGGAAAAAGGCGCCAGGGTGGAAACTGCAAGATTCTGCAGTCGTGTGTCTACGGCAGAGAATCCCTTTGGAAGCTGCTGCCTGAAGGTTCTACTGAGAGCTCTCAGAAGCGGAGGAGCCACCGTGGGAATTCTGATGCCCCCAGTGGAACACCAGCAGCGTTCCAAGTATTTTGCAGAGTTAACAAGACTCCAGCTGCAAGGAGGGAGAGAGATCGCAAGATGGGGCTTCCACGAACTATTAAGAGTCTGCAGGGGCAGCAGTGGAAGAAGAAGGAAAGCTGCGCTGGAACAGGCTCACCTGTGACAGCAGCATCGTGGCAGCAAGCAGGGCAGGCCACACAAGCACTGCCTGTCATGTCCTGGGATCCCACAACAGGCGTCCTGCTTACAGGTCAGCCTTGACCACCTGACTGCATGAAAACGTGTACAAGAGCGCTTCACGGAGAAAGTGGAGGCACGCCGGGATTTGGTTGCTGAAGGAGGCCAAATCCGAAGGAAATACCATTCCCTGTCTATACGGGGAAACACATAAATACCCCTGTAAAGCCGCCTAACCCCCCCCCCCCAAACAACTCCTGAGGTGGCTGAGACAAGAGCAGGGGGTTATAAATCAAAAGTGCAGAACATAGGAAGGAATTAACGCCTCCAAAGGCTTCTACTGGAATGCTTTCTTCTGTAGAAAACGCTTGTGGGATGACTTGCACAGGGGAACGTGCCTGGAAAACAGCGCACTGGAACTGGCACCTGTGCATATTTTCTTTCAGGAAAGATCCATCAACGGGGAACCAACCAGGCAGAACCCCACTCCCAGTCTCTCCGTAAAATAAAATGCACATGTTCAGTTCCACGCGGGCTCCTCCAAGGGAGATTTTCCAGCAGCTGAGTGCGCCACTGTTGGAACCGTCCCTTGCAAGCAAGTGGTGATCAGGGGAACTCCCTCTTCCTGGAACCAGAACGGGAGACCTTGGATTGCTGTATCCAGAGATCTCCAAGCGGTTCATGTTCTGGAAGCCAGGGAAGGCAGCTCCTATTCTGGGAATGGGAGAGGCAGGAGAAGCAGAGGCTTAGCCAGAGAGGGATGTAAACTCTGACAGTGCTAAGCAGGATTAGGATTACGTCAAGATGCGCTCCATAAATGACCTCTGGGAAGGGGACAACTGCTGCCGACACTGGTCCTTGCGTTCAAGATCACAAGCCGAGGGAGAGGGGCGACTGCTCCAGCTTCTGCACAAGTGGGCGGGGGCCCCTCAGCCACCTGCAGCCTGGGCCCTGCCTGGCAGGGCGGATGCGGCCCAGGCTCGGTCTGGCGGTGCCCGTGCGCAGACCACCGGCGGGCTGGCTCCACCTGTGCTCACAAGCACATTGCGGCAGAGAAGAGCGATGGGCTGGCACAGAGGCCCGGCGAGGACCACCGCTCAAGCCCAGCCAGGCAACATGCAGGTCAAGCCTGAAGAGCCTTCCAGCATCTCCCCTTCTCTTTTTCTCTTGATTAAAAAGCAGGTGCAGGAAGCTACGACTGCAGGAAGGAGAGGCGAGGAGGAGCTGCTTCACCCACCACCTGCTTTCCTATACAAAAGCACCCTCTCCGAACAGCCTCCTGCCCTGCCCTCAATTTTTCTGCTACAGGCAGGGTAGTTGTTAGATCGGGGGTCTGAAGCAAACAAAAGCGGGCTGGGCGGGGAAAGGTTCTGCAGCAGCTCCCCACCCCATCCCCCTTCTGCCTGCGGAGCCACTTCTGATTCAAAGCGAAGCTGCGCTGGGAGGCTGCACGGGCCCTTTCCTTCCCAGTGGTCCGTTTGGGCCATGGAGAGGCAGCAGAAGCCAGAGGTCGCTACGCGATTCAGACCAGACCTGCGTTCACGGCGGTGCGTGGGGCTGAAGCGGGACCGGAGGAGGCCGGCACAACACAGAACTGTTGGCCCACGGAGGCCACAGAGGAAGCACACCATCTGATGGGCCATTTCAGTTGTCCTATTTAGAGAAAAAGAATTATTTGGGGGGATTTGGGGGTGGTGAGGAAAAAAGGGGGGAAAGGGAGGATTCTCTGGACAAAACATTAGGACAAGCAGCTATGCTGGGATTTTTTCACACGGGGGACGTTGGTTTTTTCCTGCTGGCGCCAATCTCAACACTCCTTGCGGGGAGGAATATACAGGCCCTCGTGATGCTGGGTGTCATCTTGAGAACTCAGCAACGCAAAGGAAGAAATCGGAATGAGACTTATGGACAGAGCTTTCTCCATGGAGTAGTTTGCCTATTCATAGCATAACTGGGAGGGTCCCGGCTGAGCAGCAGCTGGCCAGTAAAGGCAGGAGAGGGGAGGGCTGTGCTCTGTCTCCACTGTGCACAAGTTCAATGGGAAAAGAGAACTCCAGGTGGCGGCCAGGAACTAAACCCTCAAATTGTTCATTCATGTCCCACAAACTTACTGAGTTCAAACTTCTTTGGTTCTTAAAACACACGCCCTGCACAAATCCCACTCTCTACTCCTTCTACTGGTTCTTTGCTAATTTTTGTTCGATTTCTATTACGAATCCAAGCACATTTTGATGCCTCTGGTTTCCATGTTCCTTGGTGCCAGCAGCTGAAAAATGCCATCTGCTCTGCATTCTTGGTGGGGGGGGGAGGGATCACAAATGCTGTTACAAGTCTTGGGTGGGACACCTTTGTGCTGCTTTCTGTACCAAAATTTACCTGTCTACGGCTAACTCAAGCCAGCCCCATGCTTGTTCCTCCCCGAACTGTGCCCCTCTCTGTCTTCTGCATACCACCTTCCTAAAAGCGAAAGACGGGATGTAGTGAGCAAAGGCCCCCAGGAACGAGGGGGCTCCTTTATTCAGCGGAAAGGGACACCGGCTATCTCCAGGGCTTGCTCTGAAGGCTGCTGCTGCTGAGGGAGCGGGCGGAGAGGGCCACGGCGGGGCTGGCGCTGGGCAGGTTCTGGCTGCTCCGGACGGCGGCGGCCTTGGCGTCTCGCGCTGAAGAACCACGGCTGAGGCGGCCTGCAGGGAGGGAAGCGCCAAGAGGGCATTATTTCTGGCTTATGCTGATGGTGCCATCAAAATGGTATCTGGATCATGGTGCGCTGACTAACTGCACATGCTTTCTCATTGCAGATCTACTGGCAGTGGCTGCGTGGTCTGAGTGGCTGGCTTTAATGGAACAGCAGTTAAGAAACACTTCCCGCCCACACTGATTTTTCTGTTTTGAGAGCTGCAAAGCAAGGAAAGAAATCCCCAGTCTAAAGTCCATAAAACGAACCACGGATCTACATGTAAATGTGTATGTTCTTCTGTCTCCTTGGTTTCTCTCCTGACAAAACGTCACGGTTGGGTTAGCCCTGCCTTCTGGCTCAAAGTGGGCTCCTTCTTGTCTGCTCTCCCAGCAGCCAAACAGGCCGGGGAGAAAACCCCCCCAGTGAGAACCAGTGCAGACAAAAGTGCCAGTAGCGTGCAGGGTGGGGACTGCCATGCCCCGAGGCCTATGGCGATCTCCACAAGGCTGGAAGGCTGGACCTGGGGCATTCTCCACTTCCTGCAGTGTGCCTGGTGCATGGGAATCTGGCCCAGTCAGGCTGGCCCAGGCCCCAAAGGGAAGCCTGTTCGCCTCTAAGCACGTGGCCAGACGCCTTCCCGCAGTGCCCCCCAGCACAGACCCCGGGGAGAAGCAGTACTGCAGCCATGGACCCACCACACATGCAGGTTGTGGGATTTGGTGCCAGTCGAGGACAGCCGTGAGGCGTTAAGCATGCGATCTTACTTCCAGTGTCTGAAGGGTGCTGCTCCTCTTCTAGGTAGTAGCGTATCTTTTGTATGTCTTCGGCTGTAAATCTCCATTTATTCTCAGTGGGTGGGGGGAGCGCCTGCCTGGGAGTGGCTTTCCTCCGGGCAGAGCCAGGCTGGCCAGCCAAGAGGCAAGAAGCGGGGAAGGGGCCCGTCACCAGGCCTTCGGGGACCTTCTGAGCGACGACCCTGAGACCTGGGAGGCAAAAGGGAAGAGAGCCTGATCGTGAGATGGGAGGGCGGCACAAGAGCCCCTTCGCGACCGCTGAGCTCGCTCAGGCTGCAGGGGAGCCGAGGGGACTGGCCCAGATGGGCACCCCCGGTGCCACCCTGAGCGTGCTAAATGGCAAGCACATCAGGCGGCCTTCCTCAGCCGTGCCGGCCGGGGAGGATGGGAATTGCCATCTGACACCTCTGGAGCAAGGCAGCTGAGGAAGGGCTGCAGTGCAGAGGCGCCAGGCGAGGATGGTGCCCACGTCCACAGCCACGTATCAGCTGCAGGCTTGCTTTAGCGCCGGAGGAGCGGGCAGGGCCCTGAAGGCAAGGAGAGGAGGAGACGGGAAAGACGACGTCTAGGTGAAGGAGTGCTGCGGAACGAGGGGCTGCGCCACGCAACGCACAGCTCTTGGGAGGGAGGGAGGAGAGAAATCCACATACGTGCAAAATAGGATTTGCCTAACTGCCACGGGTTGCAAAAGCTGCCTTTTCTTACGGCAGAGTTGGAAGTAACTTTGGTGTCTGGTTTTGAATGAATTAATCTGGATTAGTTGGCTCTTTTTCGTTGTCTGTGCACAAGCAGAGAACAAGGGAAGTTTTCTTCCTCTGTCCCAGTCTGCTTTAGATCGTCCCGCAAGAGAGCCAGGGCACGCAGCTAGCTCTGAATGCCCACACGGCAAACGAACAGGGCAGTCCCAGGCCCTCCTACCTCCAGACAGCATGAACAAGTTCTCGAAGCCCCTCTCACACATGGTGGTGGCAGCCTGGCTGGCCACTCTCTCGTCGTCGTCGTAAAGGATGATGATCTTCCCGTGGGCGTTTTTCTGGTGCGGGGAGACGCTAAGGCTCAGGAACAGAACAAGGCGGAGGCGCGAGTGCCCTTCCAGCCTCGGGCGGTGCTGAAGAAGCCGTGCCGGCCCCCTCTGCCCAGGGAGTGGCGTGGCACGCAGAGCTGGGCGCAACTGCCAGCAGTTTCTAGTGGGGGACACTGAAGTGGGTGGGCTCAGTGTTGGATCGCTGTCAAAGGCCAGCTGTCATCAGCAGCCTGAACCTCTCTTCAGAAGTGCCTGAACTTAAGCGACTTCCTTGGGCCTTTCCAAGGGGAAGAGAACATTCGCAGTGGCTTTGTCCTTTCTGGGTGGAGAGATTCTTGTCGAGCAGGAACAGCGTGGTGGGGAAAGCCTCGGGAATCCCTTCCTAGCCTGCCACACAACTAGGCCAGGGGACGAATGTCAGAGAGGAGGCACTGAAGAGAGGAGAAGCGAGTGGTCGTGGAGGAGGCTGCAGCAGCGTCGCTGCACTCAAGACACGCGTTAACATGCGGACTGCGTATCGCTCTGTGGTCACGTGCCCTGGCAACCACACCTCCCTGGCACACTGTGCCCAAAAGGGTCAGGAGTGCTCAAGGGTCCCCCTGACAAACACGTCCTCTCTCAAATCCGTCCCCCGCCATCATAAGCTCTTACCCCCACGGGGTTGCAGGCACACCTGAATACAGGCTGAGAAAAGCAGCTGCATATGATCACCAAACCACGGCGATGTGTGCCGCAAAGCCCTTCAGCTCACCCCCGTAGGTAAGCTACGCCATGGGCCTGCAGGTATCGCTGCCCTCAGCTCACCACGCCCAGCCAAGCTTGGTGTAGCAAACAAGGATGCATCCCATTTTCGCATTCAGTGAAGGATACATATTCCAAAATGCTGTTCGTGTAGGGATTCATGGTTCTGGATAGTGTGGCAATGGGATAGGAGTACGCTGTAAAGACAAGAGAAAAGCAAGCTTAGAAAGGAACAGCTGAAGCTTTAGAAGAGAGATGGAACTCTCGCCTTGCTAGAGGATGAAAAGCTCCACTTTCCATGAGAACCAGCGCATGATCTGCTTTGCCTGATCACCACAGCTCACCGTGAGTTACGTAAGCCATGGGTTCTGAATGGCTGTTAGCCACCTCACAAGCCAACCCTGCTGATTTGAGCAGCTGTACCTGAATGTCAGGCTGAAAAGCGACCGACACACACACAGGGTGTCTAATGACCCCTTGTGTCTTGAGAACCGGCCCAGCGACTCGACTAAGCTTGGTGGCCATTTCTACAGTGACACAAAGAAACTGGTGTTTGAATCACCAACATTCACGGGCTCTTATAGGAATGCAGGAAGCTCTGAAAGAGCTTGAGACATGCAGGGAAGTGTGCAGAAAACAGACTGAACTCACTGATGACTAGGGCACTGGCTGGTACTGCGCCAGTGCCCCGGTTCAGAAATTCACCCGAGTGGATCACTTTCAGGAGCTGGGCTGATCTGAGCAGCCAGAGCCTGACGGAAGCGGGGATGCGGCAGGCTGGCCTTGTCCTGAAGACACGCTGGCAGTTAGTTCCACAGGTGTCTCTGGAACTGGGGAGGATGCGTTGCCTGTTCCCATTTTCTGCACGGGGCTCGACAACCCCCGGGAGAACAGAGCGTTTCTACCCCGGTTTGCACCGCTAGGCACACGCTCCTGCATGTAACCCACCTCCGTGCAGCCCATATGAAGGGCCCCTTGAAGCACAGCCAGTAAGGCAGCGCCACTCCCGCAGTCCCGGCCTGCTCACCGCCCACTATGTGGCACTGCTCGTACGCATCCCGCTCCCGCACGTCCAGCAGCAGGAAGGGGCAGTCGGGGTAAGGCCCATCCTTCATGGGCGTCTCCGTTTTCTTCGGGGTGTCTTTCCCCAGGTCCAGCTCACCTACGCCACTGATCACGCTGCAGGGGAAGAAGGGCGGTGGCGTTACAAGAAGGGCCTCGGGAATGCTGCTCGATCTGCTCCTTCAGGCTGCCATGTTCCTGTGGGAACCAGCGTCACGTGGGAGCGGAGCCAGTGAGCCAGAAAACAAGAGGGGAAATGACACTGCCCTCCACCCACAGGAGAGCAGACTGGAAAGCAGCACAGCCAATTCCCCAAATAAATGTTCCAACCCCTTCAGGTTCTGGGTCAAGGTCCTGCTCCAGGTGCCGATGACTAAGAGCATCAGAAAATCTCCTCTCCCAAAGGCAGGCTTGTTCTACCCAGGAATTGTTTGATCTTATTCAATCCCGGCACTGCCAGCGACAAGTGCCATGAGAGAACTATTTCTGGTTTCAGTTAACAAACCACAGACTCGTTTAGTGATGGGTGAACCCGAGCACCCTGAACAGGCACGGACAAAGCTCCACGCTATTCAATACCTCTGCAAGGTGGAGCGATGGGACTCCCCAGCTCCAGTGTTGTTTATGAACAGGATGGGGCTGGCTGGCTTCTCTCCAGGGCTGCCTTTGCCATTGGTTTCCGCCGCAGGGTCAGCACTGCTCTCTGCGGGAGGAGCGTCGCCCTCTGAAGGGAGAAAGGTGATGGTCACAAGTCACTCGCCGTCTCTTTTTCGGACAACAAGCGCCTTTGCCCTCTAGCACTGCATGACAACACGCATCCACTTCCCGTGCAGGAAAACAGACTTCCAAGACTTTTCTCCAAGAGGCCTCCTCCAAGACCCACCTCTACGGAATGCAACTGGAAATGCTGTGCAGCAGATGCATCTCAGACACATCTGCCGCGGCTAATGAGAGGCACAAGCACCCGCGCTGCCGGTGCTGCACTGTGGTCTGGGGAATGATATTAACGTCCCAAAGTTCTGTGTTCCTTTATCACTCAGAGAGCTCTTGACAATAAGGAAAGAGCCGCATGTGGTCAGTGATGTGGGTGGAGGGTTGCAGAATGTCCCAGGGCTGAGACCTGGATCTCAAGGAGCAAATCAGGGAAAACACCCACCAATGCAAGCAGTGCTGAGTACGTCAGGAGCGCGGCGATTCAGGTGTGGCGTCCCAATCTGGTCCTCTTTGCGTTTCTCAAATGGCCATGTTCCCTTCCCAGTGCCCCACTCCCTTTTACCCAGCCACCAGACAGGAGGCAGCTTCCTGCCTTTTGTGCTGTTTTTCCTCCTGTACTGAAGACCGAAATGCTTCTCCAAAGGCTCAGTTGTGGGCAGGAAGATCTCTAAGCTAAAAATATACTTCTTGTGGTCCTGCTCCTTTGCCTTTGGCACTCCCCACCACTGAAACGCTGCTCTCGCAAGCGCCTCCAAACCTGAATTCCGCCCTCTGGCAGGAAGAGGTGCCCAGCCCTAGACCAGATGGCTGACTAGCCCAGCCACCCGCAGAAGCCCCCCTTGCATGTCCACGCCCCTTTCTCTGAATACTAAGGACACACCGTCTAGCTTCTGATTTTCCTCAGGTGGCACTTCGGAGTTTTCGTCAGACAGAGAAGCAACCTGGATCACCTGTGGGTGGAGAGGAGGACAATACCAGAAGCAGCTTGACACCCAGGGAGCTCAGCTGGCTGGGACTCTTCCATTGTTTCAGATATCTGTTTGCAAGTTTTGTATACATTACTTTTACGATAATGCAGTATTAAGGTGCTAATCTTTGTAACCTGCCCAGAGAGATCCAGCTATTGGGTGGTACAGAAATGTAATAAATCAAACAAAATGAATGAGATGACTCAGTAAACCACATCAAACTGAGGGAAGTGGTCTGGTGATGATTTCCACATCAGCCAAGTGGAATGGAAGGCGGGAAATGGGGGGGGGTCTCCATGGCATCTCAGGCACTCTGCACATACCCTGAGCCATCACTGTTACAGCGTCACACGCCCCAGGATTCAGTCACTAAGCCGATCTTTGCTATCTGGGCTGAGGACTGATGGGTCCAAGCAAAACCGGGCCTGGTAGCCATCCAGCATGTTCGATGGCAGAAACCTCATTTCTAGAAAGTAACTTCAAGGGGTGGGCAAGAGGAAGATCCTGGGAAACCAGCAGAGGAACAGACTTACATACCAGCTGGGCGAACGTGGTCACTTTGAGTCTCTTGAAGAGCTCATCTTTCTTGTACCTGTAATCTGGGGAACAGCAAAGAGGTGCCACCTGTGAGGAAACTCTTGCGGTATTGCTAGAGAATCTGAGCCACAGAAACCAGGAGGTTTGCCAAAATAACACATCGGTGTCCTGCCCTTCCCGCAGGGAGTGTTGAGCAGGATGCTCATGAAGCATTCTTGAGATCTGACGTACATGCATTCGGCCCAGCTGGAGAGCTGGCTGGCCCCAGGATTAACGGATGAGCGTGGCTTTTATGTCCTCAAACACTCTCTTGCGGAAGAACGAATGTTGTTGCCATTCTCTCGGTTCTCAGGCATGAAGGACAGGACGGTGCCCGTCCAGCTCCCAGCACCTGGCTCTCATCACAGCCCCTCTGAGCAGCTCATTTGCCCGCTTCTCCAGGACTGGCCTCGCCTGCGGGGCGGCTCACACAGCCAGCAGGGCTGCAGCTCCTGCCTGGGGCCAACCCGCTGCATGCAGCCATGTAGGACCAGCGTCACTTGCGCTTGCCTAACCGTCGCCTGTAGCGGAAGGCTTCCCACTGAGACCCATGCATTTCAGTGGAGCCTGCAGAAGAGACATTTCTCGTGAATTCTGCCCTAGCCTCCTATCTCTGTTTCACAGATGGGAAATAAAGGACAGGGAGAGCGATCCACTCAAGAGCATTTGACGCACGATGGCACTCGGGCAGGGAACTGAAGCCAGATCTCCAAGATCCGTCCAACTCACTAATCATCCGGCTTCCACAACCAATACTCTCTCGGTGGCTGCCTTCACACTGCTGGAAGATGACCCTCTACTCAAACAGAGGGTCTTCCGACCATCAGCTGCCCTGCCCCCGCCCCCAGCCGTACTATGTCCCCCAGACTGCACTGAGCTACCACACGGCTGGCTCACTGACACACAAGGAAGCACAGCATACAGCCTGAGACATGAGCACGTGAAGGATATGCCACTATCCAGCCTTTATTTTTACTGTGCCATCCCAGCGTAACTAAACAAGTCTAACTCCTGCTGAAAACCACAGCTGGCTGAAACCAGGTAACCCCTCCTGGAACATCAGGGTGTACTCGTTCCCCCGTCGGGTCCACACGCTGCTCAACACCCTGCTCACCCCCACCCATGCCTATGCTTCGTCACCTGAGGTGGCTGCTCCACTGGCCTTCGGACAGGCCCAGCTTCATCGAGAAGCCACCTCAGAAATGCTGTTAGGGAAGGTAACAGAGCCGTCTCCTTGGTTCTGCTTCATCAACGTAACATACCTGGAGCTAATTTAGAAGGTCCATTTAAGTTTGCAGACATCTCGAAGTCAAGATTCAGTGACACCCAAGCAACATCTGTTCAGGACTGCCTACAACACCTCAACAAGCAACAGTGCAAGATTTACAAAGAGATGAAATCTAGGCAGTTTCTAACTTGTGCCGGCTAGATAGGCAAATGTGGATTCCGTTTGCTGGTTCCTCAGTTTTGATTTTGTTAGCCTTGTAGTTATATCTCTCATGTTACACAACAGACAGAAGCAACACTGTCCTCGGCTTTTAACTAGTGTCCAAGTGGTGTCATTTATCCATGAGAAATCAAGACTGTTTGCAAATTATCTGAACCACACAAGGTGCTATTCACCACTGGCTCACTGAGAGCCCTTCCAAAACTAAGCTTCCTGAAGCGGGGTTTAAACAGAAGAAGAACTCGACACAAAAGGGATGGCAAACTTTCACAACAAAGAGCTCAGATCAAAAAGGACAGAAACACAACCGGGTCTGTGGTAGCTATACAGGGACGACTCTGCTAAAATTTCAGTACTCAAAAGCAATCTGCTAACAAAAGGAGATTCTGAAAGTAACTTCATTTCTAGTTGACCGAAGCAATCACAATTCTTTAAAAAAGAGCAGGGGGAGGAATAACAAAGATACTTTTTTAAAAAGCCAAACCACCCCAAACTTCAGTATTCTAAGTATAAGATTTACCATCTGAACTGTACCAAATGTACAAGGACACTGTCATCCAAGCTACGTGCATGGACATAAACCAGGATTAATTAAGCAGAGAATCTTAGTCTTAATTTTGAAAGGCTTCTCACCTTCACTGTTGCAAAGGTACTGTGGCCAACTACTCACAACACAAAGGGACACTGTGGTATGGAAATTGTCTCAGACTATGACTCTTCTTGCACTGAGGTGTTAATCTGGACATGAAAAATTAGGCAAACAAGGACAGGCAGCGTCCTTCCTGCGGGTGCCCCAGGCCGTCCTGTGAAAAGCTGTCCCTGTGTGCTGCTTGCTCATCCCTCCCTTTCTGGTCTGTAGCAACCCCTGGTCATGTGACAGGCTGCAGAGTCTGGGACCCCACAATTATTTGCCACCATTAGCAGCCTGGTTATCAGTATATCATGCATTACTCACTTCTCTTGATCTCTTCTAGTTTTTCAGCGTATTTGGTCATACTGCTACCTGTGAGAGAACACACATCCAGTAATGCATCTTTTTCTATGGAAATTGTACTATTCATTAATTTTCCCACAAACTGATTGAAAGGAGGAAGCTGAAATCTTAACCACGGCCAAGACTTCATCTTATTCCACCTGCTTATGCAAAATTAACTTCTTACAGATAATTATTAAAATGAGCAGGGCTAGAAAATCATGCCAAATTGCTACTTCCAAGAGGCTTGAAATGTATGGATTTTTTCTCCTTTTTCTCCAGGGAGCTCAAGGTGACGGACACGTTTTACCCTGTCCCTTTTTATCCTCACGAGGCTGACCAAGTAATGGGAGCAAGTAGGCTGGGGGCCTTGCTCCCAAGTATTTGCCTGCTTCCATGATGCACAAACTCAGAACTCTGAGAAACAACCCAGTTTTAATACAACTAACACACCACGGGTTTCTCCCTCAGCAACCCAGAGTTTCGCATCTGCACGTCATGGAAAACCACCCAGGACCAGGGCCCATCTCTAAGTCGCTTCACAAAGTGGAAGCAAGCAAGCAAGCAAGCAGACGGCAGCCAAGATGCCTGCTCCCATACACTAACAACCAACAGTTAACAAACCATGGGTTATTTGATCATCTAAATTAATTATATTTCTGTTTGATTATATCCTCAGGTGATGTTGGCTTAGGGTCACCCTGTGAATTTTAAGACTGAGGGTCTCTGCTCACCATGCTTCCTCTGAGATGGGAGAAGCTTCTCTTTTGACTTCGCCATTGTTTGGCGTGAGAAGCATAGCGACAACTACTTGCAAACGTGAGCTACATTTGGTCCGTTGCACCAACATCAGAGCATTTGAGGGATCTGCTTCTACTCTGCCTTTCCATTCAAACACACTTCTTTTCTACCAGCAATCAGGTATCGGATGGTTCCCATAAGAAGGATCAGTGAACCATTACGTATAATGAAAAGATGGTCCAAGATTGTTCCTTGGTAACAAGTATGGTTCACAAGTTGTACATCAGGGAACAGAAAAGCTTTGGGAACATTTCTAAATATGTGGATGTTCAATAACTTATGGCTGGGGCTCACCAGGAAAGCAAATACTTTCATTCAGAAATGAGGTCAGCCAGCAGAATTGGGAAAGGCCACTGCCTGTCCAAATCTCTGCAGGGCTGCTGCCAGGTCAGGGGAGACAATTCTGGGCAAGGCGGACTGATGGGCTAACTACCAGGTGGCTTCACCTGTTTACACCATCTAAACGAGCAACATAGTAGATGGAGGCGGTATGGTGTTTCCCCACTCAAGAAGCCCAGCTACGAGTGACCCTGTGTCCAACTGACAGTTACGTTCTTACTGCCATCTCCTCTGCTCTCACTTCAAATGCTCGAGTAAATCTGCTCTACCTTCTGTCTTGCCCTTATGTCCAGAAAAGTTACTGGCTCTAGCTGGTATTAAAACTAGCCCTAGGTTGAGGTACTGGAAAAGTTACCCATGTGCCCACAGTGGTGATTTGTAGCCGAGAAGGAGAGAGAAAAAAATAATGCTTCCATTCTTACTCTTCATAGGTGACCAGACCAGTGGCTCCATTTCCACGCCTCCTCTATTGACATTTTCACAGTATCCATCCAACAAGTCAACTTGCTGATGGTTTGGGCTAGTTAAGTTCCCATGAGCAACTAGGTCACCAATGCGCATTATCACCTCATGGTCAGACATCACAGTTCACACAATCCCATGATAAGGCCACATATTCTTGCACATGTGAAATCCGCTCATGGGTAGCAGCAAGAGAGAGACAGACAGTTCATGCGGTTTGCCTAGCTCCAAATAGCCTCTTCCCCTCACCTGTGTCAAGGCGAGTTTTTACATGCTGGTATTTAGGATTCTGTGGGATCCTTTTGGTCAAAAACTGTTCAAAAGAGAAAGAGAGAAAAGCCATTCAGTAAGTATAGCAAATAACCCAAGCATGTAATGGAGAACTGATGGAGATAACTGCAGGACAAAAGCATTCAGAAATGGCAGAGAATGAGTGGAGTACCTCCTCAACTCTAGAGACAATAATCTGAGATCTTCAGAAGCAACAGACACAAGATTTACAATGCTCACACAGTTTTCTCCCTCCAGCATCCACCAGTATATCTCCTGGCCCACTGCTTCACTGAAAGGATCCCTGCTACAAGGACAGAGGAATACAGCCCATTTCCCCTCTCAGATTCCTTCAGGTCAGTCATGCAGCCAGGAGAAAGAGAAAGCAAGTCTGTTACTGAAACCCCCAGATGCCGTCCACGGCCTCTTGGGCCATGGTACACGGGCCATAGATGCTGCTCTGGTACTCTGAAACAGAAGCCAAGCATGCATGGATGAGATGATCTCACAGCCCAGCTTCTTCCAGCAATACAACCATGAGAGGGAGCAATTACATTGAAAGACCCCCAGCCAGAAACAACAGTCTCGAGCCACCACATTATCTGGTTGGGAGTGACTGTGTCTACTTCGGTTTGGGGCCGACCGAGAGCAGCCCACATACCTGTCCTCCTGCTCTGCGTTCTCCAATTTGATGTGATGTCCAAACCTAGAACCCTGGGTTGTTGAGAGAGACCCTATCTACGCTTTGAACCCATGGTTTCTTATGGAGTTAAAAGTCTGGGTTGTTTAAGTCAAAAACCCAGAGTTTCAGATTTGGACACTAAACCAACAATCCAGGAATAGGGCATTCCTGGGTTGTTTCCCCAAAACGAATCAAAGCAGAATTAGTGAGTATGGGCAGGGGCAGTATGCTTGCACTGAGGCAGCCCCACCAGCTCATGGGGGGAACAATACAAAACCCTATTATGTGTAAACTACAGTGGACTCCTTCGCTTTAATAGAATTGCTGTAATACTGCTGCTCCCAGTAGGTGCTACTCAAACTGTTCCTCTCAGTCATGGCAGGCAGAAGACGTACGTTGGCTGGCTAGCTTGATCTCCTGCCTCAGTTATGCCTGGGGCTTGCTAGGGCTCACAGGCACTGGCACAACACACGGAAGCTGCGGACTGGCCCTGGCATTTCTGTGCACTGGAAGCTCTTCATTTTTATCTCTGCTGACTTTCAGTAGCTTCATTTTCAAGAGACATATGCCTTGCCCCTTGTATTATAGCACTGCCTATAGGGTGGAAAAAAGTTCATAAATAAATAACCACAGCTGGAGAGTGGTTATTTATTTGAGAGGGATGCTTTAACTGGGAGTCCTGCACTGAGCAGGGGGTTGGACCGTCTGGTCCCTTCCAACTCTGCTATTCTATGAGTCCATGAAATATTATTTAACTAATTCCTATACTGCCCAACAACCAAAGTTCTTATGTAGGCAGAACAACTTTGCAATGGAATTCTGGATGGCTGTTCTGATATGATCGCCCTTAAAGTATACCTTGCTTCTCACATCTTTTTTCTAAGTGGCTTTGGGAAGGCACTGCCTCAAAAACAGCTTTAAAATACCTGAAATAAAATAATACCAAGCATGATGCTGAAAAAAATAATCCAGAGTCCTTAGACCCAGCATTAAAGTTCTTGGTGACTGGACAAAGAGGTGTAGCACATGTATTAGTCTGGTAATGCACTGCTGCCTGTGGCTACTTCAATGTCCAATTCACATGCACCTGTTTAAACAGCAAGACTTGAATGGAGCGAACTCGGTTTAACTTTCTCCCCACCCCCACTTGGATTGCTTGGCAAAGAATTTCTGTCACTGCTATACAGAGAGCAAAACATTAACACAAGAAAACAATCCTTTTCCAAGCATTGCTGTTTACTAAACACAAGTAAAACAAATATGCCAAAATAGATTTCCTTAGGACAGGGGTGGGCTATAGATTGGTTTGGCCTGCAACTCCCAATGTACAGCCAATGCCGAGGGGTCATGTGAGTTCTAGGCCAAACCAACGAGAGAGCCAGAAATCACTTACTTGTGCCTAGGGCAGTGATGGCGACCCTTTTAGAGACCGATGGCCAAACTGCAACCCAAGACCCACTTATTTATCGCAAAGTGCCAACACTGCCATCAAACCTGAAAACTGAGGTTTTAGTTTAGAAAAAAACAACTCACAGCCAGGCCAAGCAAATATACAGATATCCTTGGCAGCGCATTGACTGGCCATGCGAAAGCTCGGACGAGTCGCGGCTAATGAGTGGCGGCTCATGATGTCATCACCTGGGGCCGCTACTTGTTTCTGAGCATGCACATGGCCCCTATGGGTGCTGTTATTTGATGCTCAGCTGCTGGAGTGATGCTGGCGCAAATTGGCTTGCGTGCCGACACAGAGGTCTCTGCATGCCCTCTGTGGCACATGCACCATAGGTTCACCACCACTGCCCTAACTCTACACTGGTGCACACCCCTAACCCTATAGAGCTGCCAGGTTGCTGACGGGGACGGGGCGTTATGCTCACATGACTCCAGTCCTCCATCAGCTTCACTGGCTTCCCATTGAAGCCCGGGCCCAATTCAAGGTGTTGATTATGACCTACAAAGCCCTAAACGGCTTGGGTCCTGGCTACCTGCACGAGCGCTTACGTCCGTATATGCCCGACCGCCCTTTGAGATCTGCGGGAGAGTCCCTTCTCCGGGAACCCTCCATGAAAGAAATTAGGAGAGTAAGTACCCGGAGGAGGGCTTTCTCTGCGGTGGCGCCCAACCTATGGAATTCACTCCCCAAAGAGGTCCGCCTGGCACCGTCGTTACTGGTTTTTCGGCGCCAGGTAAAGACCTTTTTATTTAAAACATCATTTCAATTGTTAAAACATATGATCTGGCCTGGGCAACTTCTTCTTCCTTCTCTTTCTCCTCCTATATTTTTATTTTATACTGATAATTTTAATTTTGTATTTGTAAATCAATGTATTTTTTGTATTGTTATATTTAATGGTAATTTATTATGTACTATTGTATTTCAATGTATTTTATCATGTTGTAAGCCGCCCCGAGGTTTCGGCAAGGGGCGGCATAGAAATGTTATAATAATAATAATAATAATAATAATAATAATAATAATAATAATAATATAGGGCTAAAATTCCATTGAAAAGAGGGCTATTTTGAAAAAAGCCTTCCTTGAGCAGCCTTTTCTGCATAGCTCATCATTTCGGCCCATTCTAAACACATCCCAACGAGCAAAATCATGCCAGGACACCTAGTTTTTCTTTCCCTAACCCTACCCCTGGTGCACACCCCTAACCCTAATATAGGGCTAAAGTTCCATTGAAAAGAGGGCGATTTTGAAAAAGTCTTGAGTAGCTTTTTCTGCACACCTAATCATTTCTGCCCTTCTAAACACATTCCAACAATCAAAATCATGCCAGGACACCTCATTTTTTTAACCCTAACCCAGTGATGGCGAACCTTTTAGAGACTGAGTGCCCAAATTGCAACCCAAAACCCACTTATTTATCACAAAGTGCCAACACAACAATAAAACCTGAAAACAGAGAGTTTAGAAAAAACAACTTATAGCCAGTCCAAGCAAACTTTTATAAATCCTTAGCAGCGCACTGACTGGCCATGCAAAAGCTCGCACGAGTCGTGGCTCATGAGTCGCGGCTCGTGACATCATCCCCTGGCGCCGCTACTCCTTTCCGAGTGTGCGCATGGCCCCTATGTGCGCTGTCATCTGATGCTCGGCTGCTGGCGCGATGCTGGGGCGACTTGGCTCGCATGCCGACAGAGAGGGCTCTGGGTGCCCACTGTGGCATGCATGCCATAGGTTTGCCGCCACTGGCCTAGGGCGCCAGAACATTTTCCAACGCAAACCAAGTTTTCCTATATAAGAGAAGCTAATTTGCATTGGAAATTTATGCAAAACGTTCCAATTCAAAATTTTCCAAAAATCACTAGTGCTTTGGTACAGCAATATCTTTGGACACCTCTGCCATCAAGACTATCAGCACTCAACTATTTAGACAAGGGGTCCTCAAACTTTTTGAACAGGGGGGCAGCTGAAAGGTGCCGGTGATGGGCCCGGGTCCCCAAGGCGGTGCGGGCGGGGGGTGCGGGCTGGGGTGGGCGCGCACGGCGAGGTGCCTGCTTGCTCACAAGGAGATCGTTTTGGACTCGCTCGAAGAAAAGGATCTCCTTGCAAGCAAGCACAGCGAGTCCAAAACCTCTAAGGTAGGCCGGATAGATGGGCATGGTGGGCCGGATCCGGCCCGCTGGCCGTAGTTTGCGGACCCACGATTTAGACAACAGATTCACAGAGCAGGATGTCCAGCCTCACCCAGCTTGCTGCCACTGTAGGAAATCCGCTGCTAGCATATACCCCTGATAAAATTCATCCGGTCTTTGCTTCAACATTTTTAATGAAATTTAACTCTGATTTCAGGAAGATGTCATGTTTGATCAAATTCCATGCCCCTCAATTCAGCACTCAATAAAAGGGAAGTGTGACGTCCACCTCCCAGGAATTGGGAAAGGTGATGAGAAGGCAAAAGCTAAGACAGCACGCAGGATCATGCAGATGGAAAAGATGCAAAGGCTATAAAGTGCAACACCTACGCTCCAGTTCCAAGGTCTGATTAGCACAAATGGCATAGAAAATTCTTCTTCAGATCCATGCCTGGAACTCAGAACCAGGACTGCACTGGCTCTCACATTCAACAGGTGTACACATGCATGCCAATGTGTAGGATCTTAATAGTAATGAAGATAAGTCAAGCACTATTATTTGGGACCAAGATGATAGGCTAATGGAAGATCAGGATCTTCAACCGAAGTGGGAGAACCATGGCCACATTTTCTTTAAACAGGTGTGGGAAGGTGGCAGTAGCCTCATCCTCAAGAACCAGAAATTTGGTTTGCGTGTAACAACTCAGGATATGGATTGTGTACGGGTTGTAGCAAAATCATGAGTTTTGTAGAATTGCAGGTTATTACATATGAACCCTTTACCATGATTTAACTGTAGACTTTTAACCATGAGCAGCCCAGAAACTGAACCATAGTTTTCTGTTGGGTTATGAACTCCGGACTGTTTGAGGTTAACAACCCACAGCTAAACCAAAAGTAGGGATTGAACTTAACAACAACCCTGGATTCAACCAATGGTCATTACATGGATTGACATGTAAACCAAGTTAACGACAACCCATGATTTAACAACCAATACTCAGGATTGCTGCTATGTGTGAACCAGGCCAGAATGTCACAGCGGCACTGCTGGGTCAGGGAAAAATTGATCAAGTCTAGCGTCCTGCTCCCCACACTGGCCACCTAGATACCTCTGGGAAGCCCACAGGAAACAGGGAACCACAGTACCAATCCTTTCTTGTTCTTTGTTCCCAAGCTGGTGTGACTGGGAGGTACATGGGCTCTCTCAGCGAGCTTCCACAGAGCCATCATGACATGCGGCTACAGAAAGACACCTGCCCCACCTCTTGGAATACACACACTCCTCCTTTGGGAAATGCAAATGAACGGGCGGGATGGCAAGGAACCCCCCAAACCATTCATGGGGGAGGGAACCTAAGGGGGGGTCCCAACGACCCACAGGCCCAGGCTTAACTAGAGAGGGCAAGCAGAAAAGGGGAGTCCGCAGACTGTGGTTTGTTCTCTTTATACGCCCCCTTTTTTCCCTTTCAAGGGGCTCAAGGAAGCTGAGCCAATCCCCCCCCCGTGCGATTATACCAACACCCACCCTCTGAGGTAGATCAGGCTGAGCGTCGGGGACTGCCCCGGAGCCGCCCCGCAGGTGCCGTGGCCCAGTGAGGATCGGAGCCGGGATCTCCCGGCCGGGGGGAGGGGGGCAGAGAAGGCGGGGCAGCACCTTTGGGGAGCCCCCCCCGACGCCTGCATGCGTGTGGCACCTGCGGGGGAGGGGGCGTAAACGGCGGGCGGGGGGAGGGGCAGCCGCTAGGAGGGGCTCCGGAGGCAGGGGGCCGCTCGGAGGGAGGCCCAAGGGGCGGCCCCCGGGGCGCCTCAGGAGCCGGCCGCCCCCGCCGAGGCCGCAGAGGCGGCGGACCCCAACCACCCGCGGGGCCTCCCGCCCGGGCCTGCAGGGGCCGGGCGCCCCCTCACCTCAGGGTCCCCGAGGCGCCTCCTCGCCGACATCCTGCCCAACTGTCAGCGTCGCCCTGCGCAGGCCCCTCCTCCTCCACGGAGGCGCGCCCTCCCACCAATCCACGCCTCTCCGGCTGGCGGGCCGCCGCTCGCATTGGCCGGCCTCCGGGCACTGGAGCCAATCAGCGCTCGCGCGCGCTGTCTCCCTCTCAAACCTCTGCGAGGGCGCCTCTTTTTGCTATTTAAAGTCCCGGCACGTCTTAGCGGCGCGCGCACGCCGCCCGCCTCTTTCTATGACAAAAGGGCGTCAGCGGTTGCTGGGGAGACGCGGATGCCTCCGCTTTGGAGGCGCTGGGGCGGCGTTGTGACGCAATGGGTTTGCGATTCTCTCAGAGGGCGAATGGTGTCCTTGCGCAGCGGCTCTTGCCTAGAAGGAAGGGGGCACTCCCTGCAACAAATAGTGCCTCCTACCCCAATTCTGCCACCCCTCCCCCCGCTTATCCAGAGCGGAAAGTACAAAACAAGTTATGCTGGTGATGGCTGCAGTCCCATGCATCCTTCCTTGGAGTAATCCCAGTAACTCCTTCTGCCTTACATCCGAGTAAGCTAACATAGGACTTGGGTGTGCAAGCAGAGATTTAACGCTCCTTCTGGATCAGCATGGCCCTGTGCTGTGATTGACTCACACCCGGCGGATCTTTGGCTGTCTTAAACTCAGCCTCCTAGCCTTTCCAGCTTTAAGTTTCTAGTCCTCATCACACACAAAAATGCAGGAATGCAACCCTTTTCTTACGTTTTGTACCTGTTCCTGCCTCACTTTGCACTTCCGATATATTTCTATAATATATGTGGTAAATATTGGATTATTGTCGTTGATCTTACCCTCACTCCAGCCCTGCCTACATTCGTGCAGATCCAGTTACAATACATATTCATGCCTCATAGGAATCAGGTTACCATCTAACTCTACACGCCTGAATCTCATGTATTTCAGTGAGACATAAAAAGGTAAATCCCTTTAAGCGGCAATCCTACCAACTCTTGCCTAGAAGGAAGACCCATGTAACAAAATGGGCTTGCTTGTGTGTAGACAGGTGTGCTCGACACCCAAAAACATTGCAAGGGATTCAGTTCAGCGTATACATTTCTACTTCCCATTACTAACTTTTCTCCCGCCTGCTGCAAAAAAGATACATTCAGGGAGCAATCTTGAGTAATTTATGCAAATTATCATAGGCAAACATGTGCATTTTCTTTTTGCTCTCTGGACTGAACCCCCGATATTTTCGATCCTAGGCGACACTCCCACCCAGTGCTAACAATGCCAATTAAAACGTACCCGCCACCCTGCGGTCCTTATAAAACATAGCTTGCGCCCACGTGCTGTCTCCGTGCGGCTGCGCAGGGGGAGCCACGGCACGAGGATCCCCGTTGCAGAACCATTGGCCGACAGTAAAGGGGGCGTGGTCGTTCGGCGCCGCCGTGAACGCGCATGCGCCCCCTCAGCTCTTTTTGCCTTTCCCGAGGAGCAGCATGGGAAGCGCCTGCCTGCAGCCCTCAGGTGAGCGAGTGCGCATGCGCGCTGTCCCAGGGGTCGGGGGAGGGGCTCATCCCGAGTGAGCAAACGGCGGAGGGGTGCAGACCCCCCCATTTGTGGGGAAGGGAGAAGAGAGACGAGTTTCTTTCTTTCTTTTTCTCTTTCTTTCCATGCGCCCGCAGGGGTGCTGCCAGGTGGGAGGGGGCATTCCTGGGAATTATTTTGCCCCGGGGGGGCACACAAAAGAGGAAGAAAGGGTTGCCCTAAGGGGGGAGGGGGAGGGGGAGGGGGAGGGGTTATTTCTAAGATTTGGGGTGGGGGGCTCACCCTCGGAAATAGAGTGCATGGGGATTCCTCCTGGAGGCGCTTGTTCCCGCAAAGCGTAGGGAAGACTTTGTTTTGGGATCGGGGGGGGGGGTGCGCTCCTTCCCCTTCCGGGGGGGGGGAGAAAAAGAGGGGGTTTTTTGGGGGTGCCTTATGGGGGGGGCAAGGCTTAGGGGTAAGGCCTCAGCTCCCCCTGAATAGGGAGGGGAGTCGTTCCTTTCTTCCCTGGGTGTAGAAAGAGCCTTGGCTTTCCCTGCGGGGGCAGCTTGAGAATTTTGCAATGCAAACCTGAACATGTTTACTCGAAAGTAAGCCGCACTGAGGCATTTGGAGACCCCCAGGGTGTCTTATGCCTGGACAGAAAAAGCCCCGGAAGTCTCAGCCTGCATGGGACGTGCAGAACCATTTCTGCCCAAACGTGCTTAGGATTGTGCCTTTAATCTGATTTTGGGGGTGGGGTGTACGTGAGAGAGAGATTTTTTTCCCATGAGAAAATGCACTTCTTGCTTTTGCCACCCTGGGACATTCGTTCATAAGTCTTAACAACCCAACAAAGGTGGGACGAGGGCATACTGAATTTTAAAAAGTAGAAACCTTATTTTCATTAAAAATGTAGAAATCGTTCATTAAAAAACAAGCTGGGAAAGGATGCCCTCGTTCTCTTTCTTGCCCTTTCGCCTGCCCAAGGAATTAGATGCTTTATTGAAAGTTGAGGCCCCTGCAGTTAAAAAGTGGAAAATTAATTGGAGTTAAGCAAATCTTTGCCGGAGAGGTTGGCCTGCAGCTTTTGTTAGCTGGACTTTGCTGCAGTTGGTTCCTCCTTCCTTATTCTGACCTCAGAAATAGAGAATGTGCTGGAGTGGGAATAGCGTTCTGGCCCTCCAAATGCCCCATCGTACCCCCTTTGGCGTACGGGAAGATCATTACCTGCTATGTACCAATGCACAACATGCTTCAGCTAAGTGCCCTCCAGCTCCTTCGGACTCCAACTCCAATCAATCCCAGTTGGCATGGCCAGTGCTGGGAATGCTGGGAGTCCGAAACTTTGGAGGGCGATAGCTTGGCGGGGGCTGCCAAGAGTAGACCCTTAGCTCAGTGGGGTTTTTCCCTGAATGGATGTGCCATGCATCACGTGCTTCAGGCTGTGGCCCCAAGCACTGAAAGAGGCTGTGGGACTCGCGTCCTACTCGTGGGGCTCCTGTGGGCAGCCGGCGGCCCCCGTGTGACCGGAATGCTAGAGGAGGTTGCCCGCCCCCAACAGCGGTGCGTGTCTGTCCTTACAGTCCAACTGGATGGCTTTGGGGTGGTGCATTCGCCCCCAGCCCAGAACAACGGCCCCACAGAGGATGCTCGTCAGACACTTACGGTCCGCACATGGTGTCAGGATGGGCTTACCCACAGATGGGGTGCGGTGCCCCCAACAATCTGCGTTCTTTGGCCACTGAGCCAGTTCTTAAGTGGAGAACCATCAGCGAGAAGCGGTCCAGATCGAGTGCAACAGGTGCCACGTGGGCTTACCTTTCTGGGATCACCTGATTCCCAAGAAAAGGATAATTCTGGCTTTGACCTGCCTATGTTTCTTGTTCACCCTGGGAAAGCTGGGTTCCTGGTGGGACCCCACTGCTAGGATTTCCTTATTTTCCATTCTTTGTCCAATCCTCTCTGTCAAACTATGAATAGGGTATAGACAACTGTGACTCACTGTAAAACATTAAGTGGGAAAGAGTTGCCTGCTTTTGCCAAATCGAAGGAGTACCTGACACTTCCTGTCTGTTTCTTAGTGGCCCCACTTTGGTTATATAACTGCTGCCACTGAGCACCTGGAGTAGTTACTATAGGGAGTAGTAACATGGAGTCTGATCATGCGGTCTCAGGCATCTGGAGTTCTCAACGGCCTTGTGCCATCTTGAGGGTGATTTGGGGGGCCAAGGTGTGCTCCGTGGTTTAGGTGCTCAGCAATCCAGTGGTTAAGCCATGGCTTGTTCATGGGTCAAACTCTGGGCTGTCAAGCCCCTAAACAAACCAGTGGTTTGGACATCATGTGCCATGGTCCGTGAAAAGGTACATGCAGGAGAGGCGGGCGCCTTGCAGAGAGTCCCTCCTCATGCCTGGCAACACTGTTTTTAGCCAGTGAGTTGTAATTATGTGCAAGCAGATCCAGTGTCAGAACTGAAAATCTGAGTGGTTTTCTTTCGTGGAGCTAAATCATTTAGAGTTTATAATGTTGGAAGTCAAATGCACAGGTTAGTGTATGATGCTAATCACATTCCACGTCTGGTTTATGAAACGCTCAGCACCTCCGAGAACATCAGAGCGAGAACTAGGGACCGGGCCGGCTCGTTTATCTGCTGGCTACACGCCTGACTTTGCTGTTTGTTTGGCTTTCCCTTTTAGAATGAGAGAGTGGTGGGTTCAGGTGGGCCTCCTGGCTGTGCCGCTCGTTGCCGTTTACCTGCACATTCCGCCCCCCAAGCTGTCACCCGCTCTGCACTCATGGAGATCATCGGGGAGTTACTTTACATACAAGAAAAAGAACATCTTTTACAAAGGTTCTATCTCGTTTAAAAACATTCTGAAATGTCTACCCCACTTTTCTGTAAAATACCTGAGGCTGTTTGCGATAGAAGGGCTGCAAAAACTACATGGTGGTGAATGATAGAGTAACTAAAATCTGTAAAAAGGCAGCTGCAGTCAGATTTATAGAAACAACGATATTCTGTGGGTGCCTGTTGAAAAAGGCCCTGCCCATCCGAGCGTGAGCACCACCATCCCTGGCTCTTTTGGGATGTGGTTAGGAAAGGAAGGAAGGCTGACGAAAGTGTTAATGTCCCACTTGCAGCGAAAGGGGGCTTTGCCCCCAGCACAGCAAAGCGTCTGCGGGTCCCTCTTTCCTCCAGAGAAATGAGGGACAGCTGATACCGGTGGGGGGGGGGGGGGAACAAATGTGCTCCAGTTCCTAACTTTCGATAGCTTGACTTCTCGTGAGAGTTGGTGCATGAATGCATGTGGATATTATTATTATATATTTATACTGCCCATGGCCAAAGCTCTCTGGGCAGTTTGCAGCAACAACAACAATAGAATCATACACTCGGGGCACCCATCCCAGCTCTGACCAGGCCTGACCCTGCTTAGCTTCCAGGATGAGGCGGCATCAGGCACGTCACCCGTCCCTCCAGGTTCCGTCTCCAGTCAGCCACCCTCTTGGCTTAGCAGCCTCATACCGTACAGGTGTATTGTCCTGTCCAGGCTACACATGGCTACTCATTTCGGCTTATTGTACCAACTGGCAATTTGCTGTGTCTCGACAGGTGGGGTCACGGTTAGACTGTGGAGACCAGGCTTCAAGTCTCGATTTTGGGCTCTCAGCCTTGCCTACCTCACAGGGTTGTTGTAAGGATAAAATGGAGCACGGGAGATCTTGTACATTCCCTTAAGGTTTTTGGAGGAAGAGGCAGGGTAGAAATGCGGCAAATTAATACAAGTCCTTTTCGTGCACGGTCTTTCCTCTTGTCAGATTCCTCAGGTGCAGTCGGCAGCTCCGACATCGTGGTTCTCTTGCACGGCTTCCCGACGTCCAGTTATGATTGGTACAAGGTGAGGAAATGCGGATAAATGTTGTATTGGAGGTCAGCTGCAGAGACCTCCCGATGAACTGATGGGTGCTTTCCCCCTTTCTTCTTCCCTTCATGGCAGATTTGGGAAGGGCTGACTCAACGATTTCACCGAGTTATTGCCTTGGATTTTGTAGGATTTGGCTTCAGCGACAAACCAGTAAGCAAATCTCGAAAGAAACTGTGCTGCTTAGTTTCTCCTTTAAAAAAGAATGACAGCAAGAACAAACGGTGCAAACCTAAAGGGGGGAAATCCCAGTTCAAGCGCACAGTAGTGCAATTGCAGGGGTGTCAGACTTCTGGCCCGTAATGGATTTCTGGATTTGGCCTGCTTGGGCTCCAGTCCAGCCCCAGGGGTTCTGCAGGAGGTCACTGCCCCTTTCCGCTCCCTTCCCGATCGGCCAGTCCTTTGCCGGATTCCTGGCTTCTGCATCTCCCTTCTGAGAGACTGAGATGCTTCCGCTAAAGTTTCATTTCTGACTGAGCTTTAACCTAGGATCTGAAGATGGTTTTGGGTTTGCGTCCTTCCTTTTGACCTGTGACCCCACCCGCCCTCGGAATTGGCCCTTGGGCTCATGGCAAGCTTTGGTCGGCCCCGTTCGAGTCTGCCAAAAAGAGCACCTTGTGTGCCAACAGTCGGCGTGTTGAAGAGAGGGGCTTTGCCCGCCATGGCAAGTCACTGGACCGCCTTCATGGGGCTGGGGGGCATGCAGCTCAGAAGCACCCAGGCAGTGCGCTGCCGGTCGTATGAGCCGGGCGTCAATGGCTGTGCGGCCGAGGTCCCTCGGGGCTCTCACGCGGCTCTGTCCCCCTTTGCTCTCCATGCAGAGGCCTCACCAGTATTCCATCTTCGAACAAGCCAGCATCGTGGAAGGGCTGCTGAGCCACCTGGGCCTCTCGGACCAGCGTGTCAACCTCCTGTCACACGACTACGGGGACACCGTCGCGCAGGAGCTGCTTCACAGGTTACTGCAGGCCGCTGCCGCTCTGCCTTGTCTGTGGCACCCTCCGTCGCTTGCAGAAGCCCCGAGCCCTCCCACGCTTGTGCTGGACTTGGGGGGCGCGACGGTTTATGTTATCCTTCCCCAGCCTCGCAGCCTGCAGGTGTGCTAGCTCCCACGATGCTGCAGCGACACCGGGGGGCACAAGCGCTGAGAGGGCTGCTTTGCAGGTTCAAAGTCCGTGCCATTGCCTGCTATTTTATTTTATTTGGCTGCAGAGTTTGTAAGAGAACAGCCTTTATACGTTGTCTGGGCTGAGCTGTCTGTTTATTCCGAAGGGAGACTCGGAAAACTGGAGCCATATTCCCAGCTCATAGTGTCTTCGCATCTAGGTTTAAGACTAGTTGCTTGGCTGCTTTCCTGTCGTACTTTTCCTTCGCCTTTTCCACTCTCTCTCCTTCCCGGCTGAGCTATTGAGACGTTGGGCAGCTTTGAGGTGCAGCAAATCAATGGCCCTGACTTACTATCTGCCGGGATCATAAAAGTGATACGGGAATCTATATTTCGTATTGGCATATTTATGCAGCTGGGCCAGCTCTCTCCTTCACTGGTTCTCTGTCCAGACGTGGGCTGTTTCCGCATTTAAACCCACTTTGCCCTGTATTCCAGGGTGCTACAAGCAGAGCGCATCTCTGAAAAATGCTGGAAGGTCCAAAAGGCTGTTTGGTTTCTGAAGGGGGTGCAGGAGCTCACGTCCAGGGTGAGCTCTTGCACCCTGCATTTCCCAGATCGACACACCCGTTTCCTCCCCCACCATGAATTGTGGAACTTCCCCCCTATTCTAAAAGATGAGCTCGCCTCTTACCAGGTTCAGTGACTGGTTGTAAAAGCTGTAAGCTAAAATAGGCTAGAAATTTGGGACTCGCCCCCTTTTAACTTTGGCCTTTCCCTGTGGTCACCGCCCACCACCTGAGAGCACCTCGTAACCGCTTCTCTGAGCTTGGCCTTCGGGCTCAGAACCTCCCGATCAGAACCTGGGCAGGCCCAGCGAAGAGTGCAAAATCCCCCTTGGGGCCCCTCCTTCAGTGCAGATGGAAGGTTTGTTCAGCGGCCGCTGTTCTCTTTTCAGTGGCGGTTGGGCAGGTGCTCTCTCTGTGCTCCTTGGCTCCAGTATGTGGTGCCCATGGTCTGTTCAGCAGGAGGTGTGCTAGAAATCCCCCACCCATCACGTTGCAGTCCTCTCTGGGAAGGTCACCTCACAGCAGAAGAGGCCCTCCTGTTGGGAGCTCCCCACCTCCCTTCACCAGCTTCAGGCTAGTTTAACTCTGCCTTGTGGCGCTTTCTGTTCTCAGGTACGAACAGAATAAAACCGGGCACGTTCTCATCAATAGTTTGTGTCTCTCCAACGGAGGTAAGGAGTTCATGGCCGAGAGCTTTCGCACCGTTTCCCTTCAAAAATAAAAGCATCAGGCCTGAGAAGAGCTCTGCTGATCAGCCCCCGAAGTCCAGCACGGGGGGCTCAGCCACAAATGCTTAATGCATGTGCCAGGCCTTTGGGTTTCCCCCGCCTCAGTTGTAAGAGACTTAACAGCCACCCCTCAAGAAACCATGTCCGACGACCACCTGCCAGGTGCCCCCAGCACCTGGCCGCCCGATATGAGCTGCCCCCTGGATGGAGACTCCAGCCACCTGCCTTTGTGGAAGGTGCTGCAGACGGGCCTGGAGTGGTTTATTTCACTCGTTACGCGGAGAAAAGGAGGCCTGTTGCTGGCGAAAACTGCCTAGGGCTGCCTAGTCCAGAAGCCAGACTCCAGCGGGGCCAGGCAGGTGCTGCTGGAGGAACCCCCAAGCTCAGCGTGAAGGTAGCAGCGCTCTCCGCCGTGGCCCCCCGCGACGGGGGCTTGTGGGTCTCCTGCCCCTGAACAGAGGTTCCAGCCTCTCCCACTCCATGGGTGGGCCTCATCCCCTCCTGAAGCCCCCTTGCATATGGCAGTCACCTCTGCGCGTGTCAGTGGCTCCCATACATTAATGGTGCACCCTGTGAGTAAGAATCGCTCCTCGTCTGTCCTCTGCTTACTGCACATCGGTTTCATTTGGCGACCTCATGTCCTAATACCACATTTTCTGCAGCATGATTAATGGGCTAAATAGCCTTGTCTTGCACACCCCAGTTGCCTTTCCCAAAACCTACAGACCCTCAGACCTTTTCGGCTTTCTTTGTTGAGAGGTGCTCTGACTCTCTAAGCTGCTTGAAAGGCTGCCTTTATTTTGGCCGGGCCTGTCTTCTAGCTGCCAATTTTGGCTTTCCTTGGTCCTGGGAAGAAAGCCTCCTTGAACGGGGTCGTGCCGGGGTGGCCCATGCTCATCTGATGGTCGGCAGTGCTCCAGCCCAGAGATGTTTGGGGCTGAGCCTGGGACTTCTGGAGCACAAAACGTGTCCCCACTACTAGACTGTGACCCTCGCACTGTCAGGCTTGAGCATTCCTGCTCAGGCTTGGGGTGGGCCCCCCTGGATGCCGCTTGCTTTCGTGGCATGGAGAAGAATCGCGATGAAACTGTCACTCACGACTCCCCCTTCTTTGGAATCCCTTCCAGGTATTTTCCCAGAAACTCATCATCCAAGACTCATCCAGAAGGTGAGTGGTTTTCCTCTTGGAGAAATATCCTAAACATGCTGCAAGAAATGGATACCTAGTTTAGACACAGAAAAGGAGCCAGTGTTGAGATGAAGAAAACACATTAGGCAAATAAATGAAAAATGAGAGTTGAAGGTGCATTGAAAAGCTTCCCCTGTATGTAAGTATCTTTTTAATTGTGTATTCAGGGGTGGGCAGAAGATGGCTCTAGATCTATCGGTGGATGATCCAAATCAAAGATTTTGGCTCCCAATAGTTCAAAAGTAGCAGCAGCAAGATCCCCCCTTCCCCACAAAAAGAAAGTATACTTTTGAAATAAATAAAGCTTGGAGTGATTAGTTGTGTGTTTCTGTGTGGCTGTGGCTGTGACCTCTGTTCAAGTCTGCTACCAAAGTGAGTCTTGGGCTCAATATCATTTCGTTCTAAGTGTGCGTGTTTTGTCTCTGACTCCAGTTAGTGGATTTTGGGAATTCTGCTTAGATGCCTGAAATCTGCCCACCTTTCGTGTATTTACCTGTTAGGGGGTGTTTGCGTCTTGGGCCTTCCTTGCACGCAGTCTTGGGAGACCTGGAGTCACGTGCAGCCCAGCCTTTAGAAGGCAGGCAGTTAAGACAACACTCTCAAGCTGGTGGAGGAAATGCTGAACTGCAGCTGCTGAGAGAAGCTGAAATCAGGATATCACACCGTCAAGCAGCTGAAGTTCCTATCCAACTTTGTTTCCCATAGAACTCATCTCTGCATCCTTCTCTCCCTTCTCCGGCAAATTGCAGCAGGTCCTAAACAAGTCATCTCTCCCTTTCTTTTCGTTAGATTCTCAAGGACGGGGGGCTGCTCTCGCCCATTATTACCAGACTGTCAAATTACTTCTTCTTTGCCAGAGGGTGAGTGCCATTCTGAATGCTCGGGCCGTTCCGGAACTGGGGGCTTCCGATGGTATTACAGCTTTTCCTGAGCTGAGGAAAAGGAAGCGCATTTGAACGGCACAAGATGCAGTCCAGTTTTGAGCGTCCATTTAACACTAGCCTTGTGGAATCTTCCAGGCTTGCCACGGTCTTTGGCCCGTACACTCAGCCCTCAGAGGCGGAATACTGGGACATGTGGACAGCAGTCCGAGCGAATGACGGAAACCTGGTGATCGACAGGTGAGGTTCCCCGAATGAGAAACGTCAGGATAACGGATGTTTTGGGAACCGCTTCTTGCTCACCGTTGAAGAGCTGAGCAAGCTGCATGCAAGGAGCGGTCATTAAACCCCGTGAAAGCGCCTTGGGGTTGCATCCAGCGTTAGTCTGACACAAGTGCCATTCATTTCAGTGGATCAACTCTAAGCAGGCGCAACATTGGACGCAGCCACTGCCCTCTGGGGCGGAAATCATTTCCTTTTTGCCTAAAGAACACCTCGAGAGCCACACGGTGGCAGGCGCTTGTTTCTTGGGCTTCTGTTTTCAAGAGGAGGGTTCTCATGGGGACAGGGACGGATCACTGGGATGGGCTGTGTGTGAGGTTGCCTTCGAAGGCCACAGCTGTGCAAAGTCAGCCACCTGGCTGATACCTGCACCGGGCTTGGGTCCTGTGAACACTGATTCTGTTCCACTTGTGCTGGCAACCTGTAAGTTTCAAATTACTGGTTTTGACCTATAAAGCTTTTCATGGCTTGGGACCACAAGACCAAATGGAGGGCCTTTCCGGGTTTGAATCTGCCTGGGCCACATGCTCATCATTAGTCAGCCTTGCTCAAAAGGCAGAAGCACCCAAGCACAGAGGTGCATCTGGCTTTTAAAGGCATTTTTATTTATCTGTGACAAGTTATCTTATGATACATACATTGAGAGAGAGCAGTTTTCCACATTCTGATGCTTTTAGGTGCTACTTTTCCTTGACTGGCGGTGCGTCCTCCTTCCTTAATCAATCAGCTAGGCCTCGCGGAGTCAGTTACTCCATGTGACCGAATCCTGGGGTTTCTAGGCTGGTGCTGCCATTCAGCCAGTTGTGCAGTTGATGCCCTTCTCACTCAGCCATCTTGAGGGAAACACAGCATGTACTGTTACGTGTGCCATCTGAGCGCTGGAAGAGCTTTGCATATTCCAGGCCGTGACTCGGCCTTTCTGTAGCTGAAGGTCCTCCTTTCACTGCAGCGAAGGGGATCTGGCACCCGGGTTATCCTGTTTCAGCGATCGAGCTTTGCTTTCCGATGGTGGCGGCAAATGAGCAGTTCTGCGGGGTCGTGTTACTCTTGTCTGGAATAACCCCGTGTTGAGTTCAGGGAAGGAACTGGATGAAAAGCTGGTCTTGGTGCAACGCAAGAGAGGTTCTTGGAGGGCCGCTCGCAAGAATGCACTGAGCATCTCGGTTGAGCCTTGGCTCCCCACCTCTTGCAAGCGTGCTTTTTCAGGATCCTCTGACCTGCTTTTTTCGCTTACCTGATGCCAAAACTGTGCACGTCACACACTCTGGCCGTCTCTTGGTGCGGCTTTTAGGCCCTAATCCAGCCCCTGGGCTCTTCAAGTAGGGCTGTGAAAGAAAGACCCCGGCCCAGCAAGCTGCTGCCTGTCGGTGTAACTGCCGAGATCAGTGAGCCTGGGGTCTTTCCCTGCATCAGGCCAACCCCATGTTCCGTTTCGCTCATGCCTGTCATGAGCGCATGGGAAATGGGAGCGCATGGGAAATGCATGGGAAATGCGCCTCTCCTACCCACAGTGGAAGACATGAGAGCCCGGTGCGACTCTTTCGGGTTCGCCATGGAGCCAGGCAGTTGTGGAGATGCTCCGCCTTCATGGTTGCGGCCCGACTTGCCGTGGAGGCGTCCCTGTCCCAGCTCATGGCCAGAGATGCTTTACTTCTAGGCGACAGTTCCCCCACCTGCGCAGCTAGGTGTGGCTTGCGCTTAGCATCACCAGCGTGGTGCTGTCCGGACGTTTGGCTCCCACCTGCATAGCCAGCGGTCAAGGATGGAGCCGCAGGTCCAAATGTCCAGAGGGAGCCAGGCTGGGGGAAGGCTGCTGTATGACATGGCCAGACGCTCACCCCGCAAGGCAAACGTTGAGCAGTGCCGGCTGTGTGTGTGTGTACCTGGCCACAGGCTTTCCCGGAGGCGATTCCTGGACAAGGTGAGGCTGGGAGCTTGTGGCTTTTGCTCTGGGCTCTGGCTTGGTTTTTACAGATGAACTTTGTTCCGCAGCATTTTACAGTTCATCAACCAGCGGCAGCAGCACAGGGAGCGCTGGGTTGGAGCTCTCGCATCTACCTCTGTCCCCTGTGAGTAGGACACGGGTGCTTTTCCCGTTCGCCTGTGCCGGGCTACGGCTGCGTTGCTGGGTGCCGGAAGGGCCTGCATGTGCCGCTGGGTGGGCAGGTGCTCTCACCTGCGGGGACAGATTTGGAACCTGGGCCGGGGGTGGGGGGCGGTGAGGAGTCTCCGCTTCAGCAGCCCAGCTGTCAAACCTGTGCCTTCCTCCCTTGCAGTGCATCTGATCTATGGCCCTCTGGACCCTGTGAATCCGTACCCGGAGTTTCTTCAGCTCTACAGGTGAGCTTGCTGCAGCCGTAAGGTTGCCAAACAATGTCTCGGGGCCTTACCTGGAAGACGTATTCTGTCTCTCCCTCGGCTCGGAAGCCAAAGGGAGCCCGAATTGAAGCCGCGAGGACCTCTAAGCAAACGCCACAGTGGCTGTCGCCCACCTGTCTATCCCACCCCGCCAGGCTCCTTGTTCAACACCTTCGTGAGGCAGAGATGTAGCAGGTGCGGCTCCCGCCTTCAGGGCCCTGTGCGCTGGGCAAAGCAGCTCCTCTTGCTTGCTTGCAGTAAAAGCGTGGCCACTTCATTGCAAGGCAAGTGTAGGAGCAGAGGAGACCTTTTCCAAAGCCCTGCGTTCCATGGCTAATGCGGGGCAGAGATGTCACCTGGTTCAGGGGCGTCCGTGACAAAGAAAGCCACCTAAATACGTCGGCCACCTCTTTGGGCGATGGTCAGATGGACTGGCGCTTTTGCCCTTCCGTGTGTGGCCGCTGCCTTGCCCCTTTAGGGAGAGCCACGTTGCAAGGGATCTGCTCTTTCCAGGACAACCCACTTCCTCGTAGATCTTTCTGTCCCCATATAGACTACTGTGAATGGCAAGCAAAGGGGGGGGGGCACGGTGCACCAAGAGGCTTCCAGAAGACAGTCTGAAAGTGCTGGAGGTCCAGGGGACAATTTCAGAGGGACAAGTTGGTCTGCAGTTTCCCCAGTGGGATGCTTTAATTTTGAGCATACCGTGTGTGCGTGCGTGCGTGCGTGCGTGCGTGCGTGCGTGCGTGCGTGCGTGCGTGTGTGTGTGTGTGTGTTTTGGAGAGTCTGATATTCTGGGCTGCCTGTTGTATGTCGGGCATATAAGATGACCCCCAAGTTTTGCTTTGCTTTTTTTGGTTTTCCGGGGTCATCTTATGCGCTGGCATAATGGTAACCCACAGAAAGGAATAGTACTTAAATTGAGTTAAGTTTGGACGCAGCCCTTTCCTTCGCCTTGCTCCTGCTGTGCTCTTTCCTCACAGCAAGCAAATGCACAGTACTCTACCCACAGTCTAAAGCAGTTCAGGAAGGACTATACCATATGCAATTCCCCATTTAAGTAGGAGGGGCGTCCTCTTAGAAGGGCATCTTCCTTAGAATGGTGCTGTGCCTGTGCCGCCCAGCACATGGGTGGAGAAGCTGTCTTCCTGACCCAGATGAGCTGTGGCCCCCCGAGGCGGCAGGAGAGCAGGTTCGTGGCGCCGCTCGCTTTTAGGGGCAAGGGCACTGTGCGCTGCTCCGTGGTTGTGGGGTCCTGAGAGCACCCGCTGTCTTCCCGCAGGCAAGTGCTCCCCATGTCAACTGTGTCTGTGCTCGACGACCACATCAGCCACTACCCGCAGCTGGAGGACCCCCTGGGTTTCCTGAACGCCTACTTGAGCTTCATCAACTCATTCTGAGGCACACGTGCTCCTCACACGAGGGGCTCGGCCGCTGCCAGAGCTGTTCTGTGCAGGGAGTCGGAGGCCGCCGCCGCGACTGCCTCGCCGAACGACAGTCCTGGCCCATGGCACTCTCATGTGGGGACAGACTGACCCATGCGAATGAGCATGGGGGGGGACGGGGCCAACGACAAATGTGAAGAATAAAGAGCACTTGTCTCTCCCCCCCGCCGCAATGTGGACACCCGAAGCAGCCTCCGAAGCATGCAGAGCTGCGCCCGCTGCTTGCCGGCTCCTGCTGGCGCGACAGACTCGCCGACATCCAGTGAGGGGGGAAAGGGCCGCGTGAAATACTGCAGCTTGTTCAGGCAGCTACTACAGAATGTCTTTTATTCATCACACCAGTTAAAACAGGCACCGATGCTGGAGACGGCCCCCGTTTATTTTCTGCTAATAAAAGTCAATTCAAGAAAAGCTGAGCTCTTGAAAAAACGAGAGACCACCCTCTACCCACCGCCCCGGCTCTACTGGCAGCACAGAGACGATAATTTATACAGGAATGTAGACGAGGAACGGGGGCTTTGGGTGGGGGCCACAGCCCAGCTCCCGGGGCATGGAGGAGAAGCCAGGGTGACTGCCATCCCGTTAATCGCGAGAATCCACCGACCGAGCCGGGGGGTGGGGGGCACGAACATGCAGCGCTTTAGACCCTCCGAGTGCCTTCCGGGAGAGCAATGAGCCGAGCGGCTTCCAGCCTGACGGGTTACGGCTTAGCCAACTGAAGCCAAGATGACGTCCACTGGCGTTTCTGCGATGCTGCGGACGGTCACCTGCATGGTCACGCCGTCTCCCAGGGCAAGCTTGGCCCTCACCAACACGTCCAGGCCGCCTCTGAACACACCTGGGAGCAAGCGAGGGCGTCACTGCTGCCGTCAGCGCACGAAGCCCCCCGCCCACGGCACTCGTGGCCAACGACACAGTGGCCGCTTCTGGGCAAGGCACAAGGGACACCGTGGGGCGGATCGGAGCAACGGCATGCGCAGCCAGAGCGCCGGGGGCGAGTGGGGGAGCGGCAGGCAGCTGCACGGGATGCTGCTGGTAACACAGGGAACCATCCAGGTGCTCGGAGCGATCGTGGCACGGGGAGCAGGGGAAAGGCGCTGATTCGGGCACTGTTGAAACGGTACAAGGGCTGCCCAGGTGTTCTAGTGAGCAGTTTCTAAGCCTTCCTCCCACCTTTAGCGAGAGCCACTTCTCTGCCCGCTGCGGTCGAAGACAGCCATTGGCTTAAGCTGGATAGGGAAGAGCCTGGCCTTTAGTCATAACTGGGGGAGGGAAGGCATCACCCAGCTGAAGAGCGCCGGGGGCAAACCAGGAGTAGCAGATGCTCTTGCCTCCAGCTCCACCCTGCGCCTCCCCTCTGATAAAGGAGCTCCCACCACGTTCCCAGGCCAGGAGTTTGGGGGTCAAGTCCAGCTTTTGTCATGATTCCCTCTCTGGGGCACAGGGAAGCTCAAATATCAGCACTGAGCGGTCTCTGTGACCGAGTCTTACCAGCCAGGTAGAGGGTGTGCGAATTCTTGTTCTCCGGCACCTTATCTGTTCTCTCGCATGGGTGCATGCCCAGAAACTTCACGATGTTGTTGACGGCGTCTGCATTGGAAGCATTGCAAGAAAAGCTGGGGTGAGCACCAGGGCATGGCCAGACGCAGAGCGGCCAAAAGGACAGGACAGCGACGACGAGACCGGCGCCTTGTTCAGTCTGGGTTGCCTCCGATAAGGAGATCCGATCCTCCATTTTAGCCCTTTAGCTAAAATGGAGAGTTTTAGCCCTTTAGTTAAAAGGGTTAAACTTTCTTCTGTATTTCCCCTCTCTCTTAGGTGCCTAAATACATCAGTGCTTAGAGTTCCAGTTAGAAAATCTTAACCCCAAAACTTAGAGGAGACTTGGGAGCGTGACGGTATTTCTCAGAACTAGTTTAATGTGCACGTGTGCGGCTCGTCTCCGCTGGCACTCGAGCCAGCTAAAAAAGCGGGCAGTCCCTCACCGTCCAGGGTCTTGATGGTGCTGAGGGCAAAGGTCTCCTCTTTCTCGTAATCATCCCCCACTTCCTCCCAGGCCGCTGCGAAGTTGGGCTTCAGCACCTTCTGGATGTGGTCAGAGAGGGTCAGCTCCAGGTCTTCCAGCTGGAAGGGAAAGCTGCATCAGCACCCGGGTCCATGGTTGGCCTGCAGAGGGAGGCGGCACACCTGAGCGGCGGCATGCCAACCCACCTGCAGGGCACGGGACAGGCATTGGCAGGCCCCGGCCAGTGGGGCGCCAGGGGCCCCAGCAGCCCCGGAAAGAACTCTCAGCCCTATGTGCCTGCCCTCTCCCTTGTGCTCCACGTAGGTTCTACTCCAAGGGGAAAGGGAGGGCTCCTCCTCCCACTGCTTGCCCCCCCAACCTGTTCACCGGCCAGGCAGGGGTGCTCTGTTCTTAGCACACTCCTCGGAGCCTAGCCCAGGTTCTGCCCCGCTCTGCTCGCGAGCGTGCCTCTCAGGCCGGAGCGGGGCCAGACGGGCAGCTGCCCGCACACACTGGCCAGGCAGCTCTCTTGCCGGGGGCCTCCTGCCCTGAAGCGCCCCAGGTGTGGCAAGCGGAACCCCTGTCCCTTAGCGTGCTTTCTGGGGAGCAAACTTGGCACCCTGAGACCCCACAGCCGGGCTCAAGTGAGTGGCAAGCAAGGGCGGGAACCTCCCAGGAACCAGCCTGCAGCTGAAACGGTTCCTGTATCGCTTCTCGTCTCATGAAAGGCGAGGTTTCCAACAGTCCCTTATGCAGTTGCTCCGCACGGTGACAGACTGGGGCCTGCCCTCCCCGAGCCCCGTGCCGGGCTTACCACATACTCGTCCCCGTAGCCGTCGTCGTCCGGCACGCCGGTGTTGGGGTCGCAGTCTCGGACGGTGAACTTCATGGTGCAGCTGAACGTGCAAGCGACTGTGGTGGGAAGAACGGGCATGAAGCACCCCATTAGGAGGGAGCTGAGCTGAGCGGCCCATGTGGGACCCACCCCACTGCGCAGGCAGGCGGGTGAAACGACAGCCGCCACACAGCGCGGAGGACGGCTGTGGAACCAGCTGCAAGCAGGAGAGGCAACGGACCGGCGTGCTGCGCAGTCGCTGGGTGAGCGAGGCACAGAGGGACACGTGGCCCCCGCGCTCAAGCACGGATCGCCGCGCCTCTCGCCGACTGGGAAAGCTCCTTGGCTGCCCTCAGCCGTCCCCGCACAGCAAGAGACTCCGCGAGGGGGGCGGCCGCCCCATGCATGCCCCAGCCAGCGACCGTGCCGGGCGCAGTCTCCAGCGACGGTCGCCCACGTGCTGGCAGCCTTTGCTCGGGTGCCCGGGAGGCATCGCGCACGGCACTGCCTTTGAAAACGGCCCGGAAACGTCCGCTGGTCGACACGAGGCCAGCGAGGTCGGGAAGGGCGACCAGAAGATGGGATCGGAGTACGCCAGCGCTCTGGGATCTGCCGCGGCTGCCGGGCCCCCATGGAAGTGCTGCGCAGGGTACCTGCAGACCCACTTCCTTCCATATCTACCCTTCCCAGACCCCAAGATCATCACTGGGGGCCCTTCCGCCAAGGTGGACGCTGCCGGCGAGGGGGCCTTTTCAGTGGCGGCCCCCTGCTGGGGAGCGCCTTCCCGAAAGAAGTCCGCCTGGGGCCAGGGGAATTCTGGGTTTCGATCTTGGAAGGGCTGCTGGCTTCCATCTTGCTCCTTTCCTGGCTTTTACTCTATTTTGAATGTACCTGCTTCAACCCTCATGTCTTCCTATCGTGTGGCCGTTTCCCATTTTACGCTGCTTCTGCGAACGCCACGGAGGGGGCGCCTGGCAGGCAGGCAGGCCGGAGAGGCAATGCAACAAGCACGGCCAGTGAAGGCACGCCTGGCCCAAGGTGCCTGGAGCAGCTGCCGCGTGAGCAGGCCGGAGCGGCCCCAGCGGAGAGAAGCCGGTGGCCGAGCAGTGCTGCAGGGGGCAGAGCGCCTGCGTGTCCCGGCCGGCCCACCCTGCTCCAGTCCAGAGAGCCGCCGAGACACGCGCTTGGGCGCCTCTGACTTCCTGCCAGTCCTTTACAACGCCACACGACTCGTAGCCACTTCCCGCCATAACAGGAAAGCAGGAGAGGGAGCACGTGAGCCACGGGACAGTGGGCGCCCTGCGCTCCCCCGGCTCCCCGGTGTCCCTGGGGCCCGCTCCGAGGGCTTCCCCGAGCGGCTGTGGGGGAGGAAGCCGGTCCCACCCACCAGTACCTGCGGTGGGGTCGTCCAGGGGCAGCCGGACCAAGGTGTAGCACATGCCGGGCTGGTTGTAGGCCAGGCTGGGGGCTGGGATGCAGCGCAGCACGTCGAACGCTTCCGAGGGCTCCATCTGCACGGTCACCTTTTCCAGCAGCTGGTCGTTGAGGGTGTTTGTGCAATCAAACTAGGAGAGGGCGCACAGGAAGGCACTCCAGGTGTTCTTGGTGGCCTGGCTCTCCAGCCCGCCCTTCCCTTCAGGACTCGGGCAGGACGAGCTGCGCTTTCAAGGGCAATAACCGCCCCTCCCTCGTCCCACCCAGATACCAACGGAAGGAAAACCCCGGCTAAAAATCTACCCCGGCTGCCCGAAAGCCAGTGGCTGCCCGGCTTCTGCATCACGCAGAGCACGGCTGCCAGAGGAGCACGAAAGCGGCTGTGCGAACGTGCTCCTGCAGGCCAGGAGACCCGAGTGCTCGAGTCGGCCAGGCGAGAGCGGTGGCTCAGAGGGCCGGGGCCCAGGGGCTGGCACGGCCGGCTGTCAGCAGGCGGGGAGACCGAACCCTCTGGGTCCTTCCGCAAGGGCTCCCTGGCGAGCAGGCTCCGTTCCGTGTGCCGCGTGCCACTGCCGTCGCAGACAGCAGGTCATCTGTGCCTGCCCCCTTCACGCTTCAGCCGTGCAAGAAGAGGGCATGTGGGCGAGCGCCTCTGCGGCTGGAACATGCCGAGCGCCGACTGACCAGGGTCGCCCGCGACTGCACGTGGTCACACTCCCTTCACGCCGGCATCCACCCCTCAGGGCGGTTTCCGGTTTTGCTGACCTTCGCAGCTCCCTGGCCTGGCAAGGTGAAGGCCGAGAGCGGCCAGGCCAGGGCCGCTCAGCACGAGTCCCACGCCTGGACCTGGGCCATCTACAGTTCATCCCCCGAGGCCAGGAGCCCGAAGGCACAGGCCGGCTCGGCTCGGCGCCCTGCGCCTGTCCCATCGCTCAATGACACACGTGCTCGTCTTACCTGGAAGACGATGTGATTTGGGAACACGTGCTTGATGCACCGAACAAAATACTCCGTCTCCGCCTCGGTCAGCTGCACTGGCTCGGACGACTTGAAGAGAGGACCCAAGTTCTTGAATTCTGGAATGGCTGCCAGTTGTTCTAGGCAGAAGAGCAGGGGCCTGGAGTCAGCCTGGCAGGTGGGCAACCTTCATCTCCCCCGTAACCTCTACGGCAGCCTTCCCGATGTGTTGGCCTACAACTCCCATAATCCCCTGGCCAGCTGTGGGGATCACGGGAGCTGCAGGCCAACACGTCTAGAGAGCACCAGGTTGGGGAGGCGTCATAAAAGCACGCTTCTGCAGCGGTTCGGGCGCCTTCATTACCTTGGAAGATATCCTGCCGCGAGGGAGCCAGCTTCTCCGGCTTGCTGGCCACCAGGGCGATCTCTGAAACGAGACCAAGCAGCCGCTGTTAATGGGGCCGGCCAAGCAGGCCGAGGCATCTTTGGTTGGAGAGAAATCCCACACAGCCCTGAGGGACTATGCTCCAGGGCAGGCCACTTTACGATTCTGTAGAAATGGTCACACTCAGTTCTTTTTTTAAAGAACACTTGCACTGCCCTTCTTTAAAAAACACACAGGAAGCATCTTTCAAGAAGGGCCAAGGCCACGCTGGTGCTTCAGCTTCAGAGGACGAGAGAGGCAGGCAGGCAGGCAATGGCTGCTGCCCCCCCTCCCCGGCCCCCACAGCAGGGTGCTGCACCTCCTGTTTCCTGCCTGCACCGCCCTGGCGCCAGAAAGGGGTCTGGGGGCCCTGAAGGACCCCGCAAGCCGAAAAACCCGGAGCTGGCACTCCAGCCTGAAAAACCCTCTCCCAGCCTTGTCCTGCCCCCACGGCAGCTCGGCCGGAGCACTCCAGGCTGCTTGGGAATGCACCCAAGCTGGAAGAACATGCGCAGCAAGCTGTGATGCCAGAGGCTGGCCCCGACTCGACAGCCGCTGTGCAGTGCCTCCAAGAAACGCCCGGGTGTGGAGAGCTCCCAGCTTCCTCAAATGCCAGATCAGGACCCGCGAACCCCCCAGGCCCGAGCGCGTGCGGCGCCCCTGCCCGTCACCTGCTTTCTGCTCAAAGATGGGGGCGGTGGCCAGCGGCACGGAGCGCATGTCGAAGGGCTTGTCCGACGGCTCCAGGGTGTACTGGTGCAGGGCCTTTTCCATCCCAGGAATGGAGACCGTCAAGCCTGCCGGACGGAGACGAGGAGCGTTCAGGGCAAGGGCCGCCTGGAGAGGCCGAGCTGGACGCGCCGCCGAGCGCCGCGGAATACGGTCTGGTCAGAAGAGCGGCCGCCCACCCAGGTTCTGGTCCCGCTGGGCCGTGGAGCTCCCTGGCTGACTGGCCCAGGCACGCACTCTCGGCCCAGCCTACCTCGCAGGGTTATTGCAGCAAGGGAGGGCCACGCATGCCCCTTGGGCTCCTCGCAGGGGTGCAAAAGGCAAAATAATAGGAGACAGCTTTAAGCTAATGCCATCCTGCCCTCGGGCTAACAGGCAAGGAAGACACACGCTTCCCCTCGGGGAAGAGCTGGCCAGCGCCAGGGAGGCTGCGCCAGGCCCAGCGCCCCTCCTGGCACACCGGCGGGCCTCGCCGCCCGCTTCCTTCAGCCCTCCCCGCACGGGCCACGCCTGGCGGGCAGCACCCACCGTTGAAGATGTAGGCCGCGTTCAGGGCCAGCTGCCGCTGCTGCAGGACGTTCAGGTAGAAGGTGGCCCGGTCGCGGACCTCGTCGTCGCTGTCCATCATGCACCTGCGCGGCGGGGGGGAGCCAAGGGGGCCGTTACGGCCGGGCACTGGCGCCGGGTGCCTGGCATCCCAGAAGGGTGGTCCCAAGCCGTGAGCGCCGGAGGCGTCCACACACCACTTGTGCACGTGCTCACAGGATGGCCACGGGCACCACGGGGGCAGCCCTTGCCTTCCTTGGATGGGGGAAGCGGAGAGCCCTGGAGACCGTGCGCGTTGCGGGCAGGGCAGGGCAGGAAGAAGGTGCCCGGGAAGAAAGAAAAAATATCCCGTGCGTCCCTGACTGCTCCTTCAGAGCGATGGATATGGGGGTGGGGGGGGGACTAAATGGCTGCAGTACAGGAGCAAGAGTGGATTACACAACCACACCAGCAGCACCTTCCGAAACAACCTTTCCCTCCCCTTCCTTCCATCTCCTGCTGACAGACTCTTCCCCCGCTTGCTTACCCACTTTATAAATTGCCAGCTTTCGCTTTGTCGTAGCGCGGCAAGACTCGCCACACGCACCCTTTCGGCGGCTGGTTTTCGTGCTCTTGCAAGCGTATTAATGGCCCAGCACTACCACCGGACTCGATGCAGCGGCCCCACGGCATTTCCCTTCAGCCCCCTCCCCTCCCGCCCCCCGAAGGCCAAGAACAGCATGCGTTCCCGCAGCCGGTTCCGGAGATATTCCAGCAGCACCAACCCACAGGGTCCGCCTGGGCGAGCAGCAGGCCAAGCTCTTCCGCCTCGGGTCACCCACCTCTGTAGCAGCACCAGGACGCTTGGCAGCAGGTTCTCATTCTGGGCCCCAAACTTTGCCAGTGCACTGACAGCAGCTGAAGGAGAAAAAGACGGGACGAGTCTGTGGCCAGCAGCAAGCAGAGCATCGTGACGCTAACCTGGGGCCCGGCCGCCTCACGGACCCATATGAGGCCGATCCGTGGAGGGAAGGGCTAGCAGGAACGGGGAGCGAGGCCTTCTCGTGGCAAGCTGGCAGACTGAACAAGCTCCCTCTTCTGGAGCAGACTTCAGCGGTTTTGCTTTTCTTAAATCAAGGCAGGCATTCGGTGGGTGATGCTTTGCTGGACAGAAGTTAAACTGCACCTCTGCCATGCTGGCTGGGGCACGCAGGGAGTTGCGGGGCCTTCTTCCCGTTTACACATGCACCAGACTGCACCTTAATTTACTTTACCCTGCTTTTATTTGAAATGCGCATCGTTACTGCGTGCCCCCTTGACAGGCTCCTGCAAGTGGGCAGTGGCAAAGCAGAGAAGTGTACGGTCCTCAACAGGCCAGACGCCTCTGGGAAGGTACTGCGTGCCCAGCGAAGACTGTACAGAAACCTCCGCCCTGCGGTGCTGGCACCTCCATGCAGGAGATCCTCCTTGGGCGTTGCCTCATGGGGAACACCGGAGCTGCTCTGCCCCCTGCAGCCCGAAGCGGTGGTCCAGCCTGGGCCGAGAGGCATAACCCAATTCGGGAATGAACGGAGAGGCAGCCTGGGTGGAGGCCGGCCCGTGGGGCGGGGGGAGGCCTTTCGCTGTTCCAGGCCTTGGAGCCTTTGAAAGGAGCGTCTTTGAAAGGACAGAAATGAAAACGACTCACAGCGGGACACGATAAGCCTCTTCTGCCAGGGGGAGACTGAAGCCAAGCAAGATCTTTGGCAGCTCCTTCAGGCTTACCATTCACAAGAAAAGCTTAACCTTTCAGCCCGCCTCCTGCGCCTGCTCCAAAGATCCTTGCGGAGGGACATTTCTACCTGCCACGGGACAAAGACTGCCAGAGGTGCAGTCTGGAGTGACAACAGGCAGGCCCCTTCCCTTCGATTTCCGGATTCAAAGAATGCAAAGCCAAGCCACGGCCGGGGCTCAGCCGGCCCAACTCACCGGCTCTCACAGCCTCGTTTTCCAGCACCACCCGGTTGAAAATGAAGCGGATGTACTTGGACGGGGAGGGGGTCCGGGGCCCTTCCTTGCCCAGCAGGTGGAGGATCTTGGTGGCCAGCACCGTGTGCTCACAGTCCTCGATAAACTCGCAGAGGTGCGCAAGGCCCGACTCCTTGCTCTCCGGGTTCTCCTCGATGATGCTGATGATGCAGTCGACGATGGCCCGCTTGTACTCAAAGCCTCCCTGGGGATGGGCAGGGGAGAAGTGGGACACGGCAAGGGGGGTCGGGAACACCAGCCGAGTCAAGGGGCCCCAGGCTGCCCTGGCATCGTGTCTAAATGCGCCAAACCAACAAAGCTCACGCCCAACGGGCACCCTCTGCAGGACCGCCACTCCTGCGGAGCGCGAGATCAAACGATTTCTGAACTACTCCTGGGAGAGCAGTGGAGGAAACGGGGTCGCTACACGGTTGGATTTTAACTGTTGGATTTTAACTGTTAATATTATTGGATTTTATTTGGCCAGGGCGGCTTATTTTATACTGTATTTTTGTATTTTTAATTTAATGTTTATATTTATTGTAATTTATAATTACTTTTAATTTATTGTTGTAAGCCGCCCCGAGGCTTCGGCGAATGGGGCGGCATAAAAATGTTTTAATAAATGAATAAATAAATAAAGAAGCAATCCAGTGATGTCCAGAAAAGCCTTCACAGCAGCTGTGCCGAGCCTGGTGCCCTCCAGGCACACGGACGACGCTGCCCAGGAGAACGAATTTAAAAATACATTTCAAGCAGAGGGTGTGGCGCATTTTTGGAGGCAGGGGACAGACTGACGAATTTCCACAGGCAGCCATGCAAATCTACGTGAAAGGGTGTGTTGTGGTTTTGGATTATCTGTGCTTTGTAGGTTTGCCCAGCTGGACTCGCACACCTGCTTCGTGCTGACCAGCTCTGGTCGAGACCGTGCGATCTCCACCGGGGCCTCCCAACTGCCTCCGAAAGCACGGCGTCATCTGTTCCACACCCCAAGGGCAGAAGAACGCAGGCAGCCAGGAATCTCAGCTTTTTTTGAAGATCCTTGCACCCCTTCCGGTGGCAGAGATGATGGGCGATCCTAACGTGAAAGGTTCCAAGCCAGCAGCAAGGCTCTTGTCCCCGGAGGCCGTGGAAACCCTCGCCAGGCTCCCCTGGGAAGGTCGGGCGCACCCTCGCCACTCACGAGTGCCATTCGCATCAAGAACGTCTTGTGAAGCAGCATGGTTTAAAATGCCCCATTTCCACTCGTATTTATTGCAAATAAAAACACCGCAGCGCAAATGGCAGCCCTCATTTCTGCACTGAGAACGCGCCTGAAGGAACTCCTTCGGGGAACAAGCCGAGATTTACAATGCCCTGACGTGGGGTACTTTTCTCCTCCTGTTGCTCGTTAGCAAGAGGAATGGGCATGGGAATAATGGATACGTGCTCAGAGCCTGCAGAAGAGAGCGTGGGAAGATCCCTCTGGCCTGCGTGCAGCTGATAACCTGGATCTTCTCTGTTTGGTGTCGTGGTTTCGTTGCTCTGCTTGATTTTAGGGCTTCTGTGACAGTTCAGAGACACTTGGTTTGTCCTGCCTGTAGCCCTTCAGCCTCTGCAGCTCCCTAGACATTTTCCAGAAGCTAGGCTTTCCAGAATGCACGATCCCTCCCTGCAGAGGCCCGTCCTGAAGAAGTAAAGTTCACGGCCACAGCATGGCAACTTCACTGTATTAAATGTAACATGAGGACTAGGTTGTTGTTATGGTTTTTGTTCTTTATAAGCCGTCCAGAGACTTTTAGTAATGGGACGGTATAGAAAAACTTTGAACAAACGAACAAACGAACAAACAGATAAATAGGATCAAAATCTTAGCCGCCATAGGGGTCTTCACAAGCTCACATCCACTACAGCCGAGGCACAGCAGATAAACCTCTGGAGGAAACAGAACTGTGTAACACACACTTTAACAAACACACTGCCACACTGAGCAACATGCACAATTACAGAGATGCTCCGTGAAAGAAATTAGGAGGGTAGGTACTCGGAGGAGGGCTTTCTCTGTGGTGGCGCCCAATCTATGGAATGTGCTCCCCAGAGAGGTCCGCCTGGCGCCGTCGCTATTTCTTTTTCGGCGCCAGGCCAAGACCTTTTTATTTAAACGTCATTTTAATTGTTAACAATATTTACTTATTTATCTGGCCAGGGCGACTTCTTTTCTTTTCTTTTATAACTTTTCTTTTATAACTTCTTTTATATCGTTTATATTTTTATTTATTTTATATTATTAATTTTAATTTTATTTTGTTATTTTTGTATTGTATTGTATTTTATTGTGTTGTAAGCCGCCCCGAGGCTTTGGCAAGGGGCGGCATAGAAATGTTCTTACAATAATAATAATATTGCGTGCAAATTAGGCTTCAGCTGCAGTAGAATTAAGCACAGGAAGCATTTAATTAAAGTCTTTAAACACAAGCCCATCCAGTCTGGTGGCTCACGGCAGCAGCCTCTCAAGCGCAACATCCTTTTCGGGCTGGGGAAGAGCGCCTGCCGCTGCAGCAGGGGCGGCAGAATATAACTGGGCTTGCGCTCAGATCTTGCCGGTTACACCACTGCCAGCCCTCTGACCCTTTCAGCCCCGCTTCCGTTTTGACCGCCCGCATCTGGCAGGTCAGCAGCCCCCACCCGACGCAAGGGAGGGGCCAGGAGGCGGATGCCCCGGACCCGGAAAGGGCCCCCTCCTCACGCGGGGCGGCAAGGCGACACCTACCTCGTCCCGGAGCATGTTGGAGAGGAAGGTCATCATCACGCTGTGCTTCCGCGGGTACTTCTGGCACAGGGCACTGATCGCCTGAACCACGACCACCTGCAAGGCAGCAGCAGCAGCCCCCGTGAGCGTGCCGGGCACGGCGGGCTCTCCCATGAGGCCTCCGTCCAAGGAGAAAAGCAGCCTGACAGGCCTCACCGGCCTCCGTGGTCTCGCTTCTCGGCAGCTGCCTCCCTCCAGATACTTCTCCTCGGACGGGCCGCCTCAGGCGGAACTCCCTTTCATTCCACGCACCACCCTGACCAGAGCCGGCTGCTTTCAGGGTGACCTTTCTGTCCCTCAAGGTCTGCATGAGGACTTGGACACACAACCCAGGGCTTGCACAGCAAATTACATCTCCGTATCATAAATTAAAGGGTCCACAATAAAATTTAATATATAGCATACAGGGATCAGGGGCAGCTGCTTAATTTTCAGATGATTTTAGGAGTGACTGAACTAAAGAGAACGCTTTGTGGGCCCGTGCTCTCTGTAGAGACCACAGGCAGCTCCTTCCGAGCACAGCCAGGCTCACTGACCACTCCTCTGGGGTGGCCTGTCTCTTCCTTCCCTGGTTCTCCCACCCAGAAACTTTCCCATGTGATCCCCCGGACCCTCCTTCATTCTTGGAACAGGCAAGCCAATCTCTTCTCCTCGAGCCAATGAACTCTCCCCAGCAAGCCCTGGCCTGCTCCGGCTGATGAGCGCAAAGGTGCTCAGCTCCAGGAAGAGAGCGGGACGGGCCGGCAGACTCACCGGAGCATCCTGCAATCATGCCCGTGCCGTCACCAGCATCAGGATGCGGGGGCTCCCAAGGGGCAAGAGGCCTGCGTGTCAGACCACGCTGAGTTAGAGAGGAGTCCTCCAGCTCCCAGAATTCCCCAGCTCCCTGGCATGCTGGGAGCTGCAGGCCTTCCCTTCCTGCCTAAGCAAACCTGCATGGAAGTGCGCCCTGAATGGAGACTCTTTCACATCGGGGAAGCTCTCACTGCCTGGGTGCCTTGGGAGCGGAACCTCCCCGTGGGCCTTCTGGGGTGACAGCCAGCCCGCAACTCACCCCTCGCTCCTCTCCAGCCGCCCACACCTGGCTGACCCGCCCGAGCTCGCAGACACCTCCACCCACGAAAAGCCTCACCTTAAACTCGTCGGATATCTCAGACACGAAGGAGGAGATCTGCTTCATGAGCCTGTCCACGCTGCTCTCGCTGCCCGTCTTCAGGAGGGTGGTGATGGCCAGGGTGGCGATGCTGCGGTTCGAGTCCGTGATCAGGTTCTCGAGGTCCAGGTTGCAGGCGGTGACCGCGGAGGGGTGCTTCATCGCCACCTGCAGGAGCAGCCCGCGGTCGGCGGCTGAGCGACGTGCCGAACGGAAGAGCCCCCGGGCGGGGATGGCAGCTCCTGGCCTTCCCGCGGATTTGGCCTGCCGCTCCCACATCCCTCCCGTGGGCTCTGGAGGCTGTGGCGGGCGGGCGGGCGCTAAAGGCCGAGACACCCGGAGGGCACCGCTCCACCCCTGCTGCCGGGGCAGCCTGATGGCTCCATCACTGTCGGATCACACATGGCCCCAAGCTTTTGCTGGGGCCCCAACCCGCAACTCTGGTCCAGTGGCCCCACAGGGCCAGCGCCCACATTTTGCAGGGGCTGCCCAGGCCAGCTGGAGAAGCCTGTATTCATAGGACTGGCTCCTTCCGTGTTAAAGGGGACCCCCTATGAACCCCCCGACTGCCGGCACTGGCAGTGCCGATACCGGTGGCCCCCAGGCCTTGGGGGTTGAACGATAAACCCAAAGCGGACGCCAAATGCCTGGGAATGCATGCTGAAGTCCCCGTAATGCAGGCCGCAGGATGGGACAACCCACCTGCCGCTCCAGGCGCTGCTGCCTGCTCCACAGCTTCCCCAGCCTGGTGCCCTCCACGCCTCCCACCCACGCCTGCTGAGAATGAAGGGGGCTGTAAGCTCAGCTCTTCTGGAGGGCAACACGGTAGGGAAAGCAGGGAGAACCTGGTGGTCGGGATTCTGGCACCAGTGGCCAAAGTAGAAAGCAGACCCAAATGTGGGGGGGATGCCCACAGGGGGAGGGGGAAGGAGGCGGCGGAGGCCTGGCTGGAGCACCTCCAGCAGCAGGAAGCAGAGTCCTGTCCCCAAAACACATGCAGGGCCCCAAGACAGCTCACCTTATTGAGGGTCCTCACAGCAGCGTATCTCAGAACAGGCTTGGGAGAACTACAGAAGAGCTGCAGCACTGGACGGAAAGGAAGGGGGGGGGAGCCTGGGTCAGCGGCCGTGCAGCCCGTGTCCCGGGTTCAGGCCTGCCTTTCTCGTTAAAGGGTCCTGAGGGAGCAGACACAGGCGAGACCAGCTCACAGCAGACCATGCCCGGGTAGGACTAACGAGCGGAATCCCTCAGACCGGCCAATCACACCCTGGAACCTTCATGGTGGCTGAGGATTATGGGAGGTGCAGTCCAACCCCTCTGGAGAGCAGCCAATTGTGAGAGGCTGCCTGAGGCTCCGAAGTCCAGCCTATGCCCGGAAGAACAAACTTGGGGACCAGCAGGTTCGGCGCGCCACAGGCTGGGCCCCTCAGCCACTTCCGCCAGTGTATGACCCCCCCCCGCCAAGGGGGCCGGGCCCCACAGCTCACCTGAGACCGCCGGCGCCAGCTCCCGGGCCGTGCAGTTGGGCAGGTGGATGATTGCGGAGGCAGCCTCGTAAATGACCATCTCGTGCTTGTTCCGCAGGCAGCTTTCGATGAAGTCGAAGAGGGGGCTGTCGTGGCTGCCGGCGAAGGAAAAAGGCTCTTTATGGACTGCCAGAGCGGAGGGCCCTCTGTTCGCGCCCTGCTAGCTGCGGTCACACCACTGCCCCGTCGCTTTGGTGTGACCGTCTCGGGGGTGTGGGGGGGCTCTGTCAGGCAGCCGTAAGTGTGAAGTCCATGCTGGGCAACGCAGGCCTCTCAGCATCCCATTTCCGAAGCTTGCTCTCTTTGTGTCTTTGCTCTGTCTATATCCTGCCTTTGTTCAAGAAGCCCCAAGTCTTCAGGGGCCTGAATCTCACAAAGGTTCAGGGTTTGAAACGGACGTTTCAGGACTCCGGCCTCAGTGGGCCACTTCCTAACACCACCTTGGACAAAGTGAGCTTCGGATGCCATACCAGCCGGTGGGCTTGCGGTTTTATTGCACCTCCAGAAGGAACCCTCCCCTTATGAGGAAGCACGACGCAGCCCCTTGCAGACAGAGCGGATCTGCACCACCTACCTGCCCAAGGCTCAGTGAGTCTCCAATTTTTGCTGTCTGGCTGGAGCAGCACAAACGGGACGCACCCACACCTGGGGGCACGGCCCTTGGTCTGCCTCACAAACTGTGCAGACCAGATTCCAGAGAGACCTCGTGAGCTGTTCCCGGTGTCTGCAGAATCTGGTGGACTTCTGCAGGGCTACAGACGCCAAGTCACATGAACTCCTCCCCAATGTGCAGGGCTTAATAATGAAGCGGAGGGGAAAGCCCAACCATCTAACAAAACCGCAGAGCTGCATCCAACGCTAGCTGTTCTCGGAGTAGATCCACTAAAGTGAAGGGGACCTAGCTCAGAACAAGCCCGAGCATCTTTTGTTTCCTAGCTATCAGGAGATGCTATTTCCATCTCAACACACCTGGGCTTGTCAAGCTTGGTCTGTTTTCCTTTTCCTGTTCATTCTGTGCTTCACGCGCATCTGGCGGAGCAGGCCGCTGCCCCAGGACCCTCCCAGCCTTCCACTAACCAGGCAGTCTGAGCCACGCCGCCGGACGTTCTGCAGCCCCCACCAAGGCCTCTGAGCCACGTACCCTTCCTCAGACTCCTTCAGCAGCCGGCTGGCGATCCGAATCAGCATGCAGTATGCAAACTGGGACTTCAGTCCGGATTTCGTGAACTTGTTCAGCATCTTTGAAACAGCAAGGCGGTCGTTCTTCCGAAGATGGTACAGCAGCCCCAAAGCGTGGTACTGGCAAACCAGAGGGAAGGAGGGCGAGGCCCCAAACATAAACCCTTTGTAACGAGGAGGTTTGGTTACACCTTTGCAGGTCTGCTCGAGAGCCAGTGCAGTGTGGGGGTTCAAGCACAGGACAGGGACTCAAGCGGCCCGGGGTGGAATCTCCCATCAGCCACAAAGCCCCCGGGTGACTGTGGGTCAGTCACGACCTCTCAGCCTAACCTGCCTCGCAGGGTTGTTGTGAAGATAAAACAGAGGAGACCTGAAGCTACCTCATGTGCCTTGCAAGAAGGAAAAGGCGGGACACCCAAGCAACAATCATGATACAGAAATGTGTGTGGAAGATGCGCACGAGGACTTGGGCAAAGCAGCCAGCAGGAACAAACCAGCTTCCACCTCAAATCCAGACATGATGGCTTCCCCCAAAATCTAGCTGACCTGCACTTTAGCCTCATCTACTGGGGTCCCTCAAAGAGCAGCTGAACTGCTGCGCCAGAATGCTTCCGATTTCCACTTGCGGTGCACCCGAGTGGCGAAGGGCAGCAATACATGCAGGGGACTCCGGCAAGACCAGTGGCCTGGAGTTCCCCGGTCCCTCACGGGTGCAGGATCCCAGGACAACAAGAGCTTCAAGGCAAAACGTGAGGATACCTTGGGCCCTGTTCCCCCTTGCAGTGTGGCCTCCGAGAGCGTCTCCGAAATAGAGCTTGGCATTCAAACCCTGCTCTGCCCAGACCCACCCACTCCTCTGCTGGTCTAAAGGGCCGTTTCAGTTCTTCAGCTGTGCTGCTTCTTTCGGGGGCAGGAAGCCTGCCCAACCCACCAGCCGCTGCCCTGGAGACTGACCTGCACCATGACGTTGTCGCTGGACGCAGCTTCCTGGGCCTCGTTGATCCACCGCTTGACCACGTCGTAGTTGATCTTCATCATGTGCTGGAAGTCATGGCCCAGGGTCAATCACAGGGACGGCAGAAGGGCCCAGACAGACCCGGACCCTCGCTCCAGCAAGGCCGACATGGCCAACACAGGCAGCGGGACAGCTGGCTTGGATCCCTCCGGTCGGTCTTCCCCAGCCTGTCGCCCGCCAGAGGCGCTGAGCTGCAGCTCACAGAAAGCCCAGCCAGCACCCCACCCACCGCTGACCAGAATCAAGCCAACCGGGTGACATTCAGTGCTTCCTCACTCACCAGGGAAGACACCAGTGCCGAGCTGGACACGCTGGGAACCTTGTCCACGATGGCTTGCTTCATGTATCTCTCGATGGCTTGCAACATGGTTCCCTGCAAAATCAAGGAATGAGCTGTGGTGATGTTCCTGCCCAGCGCTTTTGCCAGAAATATAAAAACAGACTTGTTTCCATTCCACGAGTTCAGGCAGAACAGGATTTTGTGGCACCAGTTCCTACGGACCTCATATTCTCTTGCAAAAAAAAAAAAAGCTTCTAGTCCGTATACTTATGGAAAGAAAACTTACAAGTAGTGCCTGCAAAGAGCTCCGATGTTCCATGGTCAAGATTCCAGGTCCTACGTTGCTTCTTCCCATCGCTGCCACACAGCCCTTTTAATTCTCTCTCATCCTCCTCCAAACACCTCTAACCTTTCCTTAGCATTCCTTTTTAAATGTTGAAAAAATTAAGCAGCAATATGTTCTAAAGCGTAACACTGTTTGCAAAGTGCCCTGAGAAAAGCTATATTTGGCTAACCATGAAGGACATTTGGGGGGAAGTGTAGAACTGGGAAGCTGGAGGCAGACAGCAAACCATTCCCACTGGTGATTAAACTCAAAGCAACAGCTCTCTCCCAGTGCTATTCCTGGGGTACGTCTGGAGAGAGGAACCCAGCTGCCAAGAAAAGTTCAGATGGCCTGATCGCCACAGAATAACCTACATGAATGGACAGCACTAAAATCTGGGTTCCTTCTTACCGCAGTGGCTTCCTCAAGGCCAAGCACAAACCAACCCACAAGGTGGAAAGAGGAGAAATATTTTTGGATGATCCATCAGAGACAGCCGCCCAAGCACCGAAGCTGGAAGTTCGTGACCAGCTCTTTGGGGAAACTGTTCCAAGCACAAATATTGGTTTCTTTTGGGCACTTCCGTTCTTGACGGGAAGATTCTGTACTTACGTCCGTGATCCTGCAGAGCGCTCTAATGGCCGGGCCTCGGTACACGTCTTCTTTCCCCGTCATGTCTTTGGTTAAGCTAGAACAGCCAAGGCAAGGATCCGTCTATCACAGGGCATCTTTGCGGGAGGCAGGCTTATCGTCCGGCGCCCGAGCCTCCATTACCTCAGTGTGATGTCCTCAACATGGGGCTGTCTCTGAAGACAGCCGGAAGCCTTGATTGGCCAAAATGTGACAGCCAGAATTTTTCTGGGGTTTCCTAAAGTCAGCGTGTATAACTCCCATCATCCCCAGACTCTTGGCCACGCTAAGAAAACTGCTCTAGGCCAATATTCTAAGAGGCTGTCATCATAGCGACAGGTATTCATAGCACAGGTACTGCACTAACTTCTCCAGAAATGTGCAAGTTTGCTGAGAAAGCACAGGTTCTGCAGTCACAAAAAACTCAAGCCAAGCTTCTAGTTCTCATTGTGAGGTGTCTCCCCGTCCTTCCCCAAGTTTCTTGTTAAAATAACAGAGTAAAAAAATGCAAATCAGATCTGGAGAGATGGAAGCAGAGCAAGAAAGGCCCACAGGCATCCCAATTTGCTTGAGCAGCAGTTAGTTCAATTATAGAAACAAGCTGCCATTGCAGGATTCTTGCGGGAGGTTCGTTTGGTCAAAGATTTTATGCGGACGCCTTCACACGCTCAGATAAACACGTAGAGTTCTGGTTACCTCATTTCAAAAGGGCATCGAAGCCAGAAGGGAGAAGGCAACTGAAGTGCTCTGGCTGGGGAAGACTTTGGAAAACAAGGGAAGACCAAATAAATTAGAGCCCCTTGGCTTTGAGAAGAACGTAGCGAAGGGGGATGGAGCCTTACCAGGAGAACCCTGCCCATTTTTGCTGAGAGCTGGAGACACTACGATGGCTAAGCTGCAGCTTAATGTTCCAGGAGCAGGCTTATAAAGGTACAGCACACTTTTCAGAACGGCAAGTTTGCCAAAGCCAGTATGGCACAAGATTCTCGATCCCTCAGTGAGTGAGCACGGGCCTGTCTTGGTGTCCTGCCTACCTGAGATGACAGAAAAGCCTTCACAACATGAAAAAACAGCAGAGGGGGACGAGAAGGATGACTAGGCCAATCCAAGCACGCCATGAATTTAGATCCTCTTAATGCAAGGAGAAAGACCTGGCAGTCACCAACCACTGAGAGCCGGTGGGGTATAGTGGTTAAGAGTGCGGGACTGAAACTTGGGAGATCCGGGTCCGAGTCCCCACTCAGCCGGGGAGCCATCTGGGTGGCTTTGGGCCAGGCACTGCCTCTTGGCCCAACCTACCTCACAGGGTTGTTGTTCTGAGGATAAGAGTGAGAGGGGAATTATGTAAGCTGCCTTAAGTTCCTTGAAAGGAAAAAAAGGAGGGCTATCGATATTGTAAATATGAACATTTGTACCTGCTGGTGACGATGATCACATCCTCTGAAATGTTGGCCATCTCTTTGATTGTGAGGTAACACATTCTCCTTAAGGTTTGCTGCGGAAGAAGCAGGATTAAGCCAAACTATCTCCACGCCTGCCACGCAAACACCAGCCATCATCCAAGGCACATGAGCGACTTCGGAGAGTCCGCTCCCTCTTCTGGCGTTCTATTCTGGGACAACTTCAACTTTATTTGTTTGTTTAAAACTTTTATACGTTGTCCCTTATGCATGGCATCTCAGGATGGCTTACAATCATTAAAATCAAATGCATTAAAACAGTATCTAACAATAATGAATAACATATAGTGAATAAAAATAAAGTAAAAAGCGACTGTACATTAAAATACTAACTTTTAAAAAATACCGATTAAATAAAAACGGTTTTGACCTGGTGCCGAAAAGAGCATAAGCTTGGCACCAGACAAACCTCTCCCGGGAGCACATCCCATACATCTCAAGACGGGAGACAGACCTTTCTAAGGAGAAGGAGCTGTGATTAAAACCAGGTGTATCATGCTGTTTGGTCCCTAAAAGGGGATCCTCGAGGTGGCTAACAGCCTTGTTTAAAACACCCAATAAAGGAGGCCCAGTTGAATCCGTATTAGCCCAACTCTGCCTTGCCCAGTCTAGCGCCTTCCAGAGATTAGGGGATTCTATGAGTTGAAGGTTGACCTAACGCAAGTCCTATTCATTTTAATGGGCCTGTTCTAGGAAGGACTGACACACAGTCAATCCAGAAACTGCAGTATTAGGTTTTCAGCAGGACAGAGAGACGACCAAGTTAATTCACGACTGCCCTCACTGAGTGCGAAGCTGACGGCACCATTGCCTACTTCAGGGGTCCTCAAACTACGGCCCGCCAAGGTCATTTACCCGGCCCGCCTCAGAGCTTTCAGACCCGTTCGGAGAAAACGATCTCTGAACAAGTCTGAAAGCTCTGAGCCGGCGCAGGCATACTCTGAAACTCTTTCCGTTTTGGAACTAGCAGAGAGCCGGCACACGCACCAAACTGTAACAGCTCCCTTCAACTGCGCATGCGCCGGCTCTCTCTGCTAGGTCCTGTGGCTGTGCTGGCCTTGCCAGCATTAACTGCACATGCGCCAGCTCTTCCCCCTACTGCATGCGTTGGCTCTGAATGCAGAAGAGAGGAGCGAATCTGGAACTGCACATTGACCATCTCATTAGCCAAAAGCAGGCCCATACTTCCCACTGAAATACTAATACGTTTATGTTGATTAAAGTTGTTCACTTTAAATATTGCTTTTTCCTGTTTTTTGCACTACAAATAAGATATTTATTTATTTAGTAAACTTCTGTGCCGCCCCATTCGCCGAAGCCTCGGGGCGGCTTACAATAAATAAATACATACAATCATATAAAAACAATATAATTGGAAATGCCCTGGCCAAAGATATAAAATCAATAAATAAGCTAACAGTTAAAATGCCGTTTAAATAAAAAGGTCTTGGCCTGGCGCCGAAAAACATATAACGATGGTGCCAGGCGGACCTCTCTGGGGAGCGCATTCCATAGATTGGGCGCCACTGCAGAGAAGGCCCTCCTTCGAGTACTCACCCTCCTACAGATATGTACAGTGTGTACTGGAACTTGCTCCTATTTTTTTCAAACTATAGTCTGCCCCCACCCAACAGTCTGAGGGATAGTGAACTGGCCCCCCATTTTAAAAGTTTGAGGACCCCTGGCCGACATGCTAAAACCAGCAGGGAGGGCTGCGTTTCCTGGGGGGCCAGGAAATCCAGAGCCAGGGAGCGGTCCCAAGCCTTCTCCGCCAACCTCCAGTGGTGACGGATGTGTTGGACGGCAACTGGTCCCACTGGATGGAAGAGGCCAGGAGCTGCAGTCCACCACATCAGCGAGCACCTAGCTGGGAAGACGCTGGAGGGTCTGTGAGGGGGGAAGGTAGTGTCTGAGCCTCCCCCTGCCCTGCAGGTGCCCCGACTGGCCCAGGAGCCACATGGCTAAGCCATCATCCCACCTGCCCGCCCTCCGTCGGCTCTGTGAGGAACTGGGCAGGCTTCTTCTCCCTGCCAGGCATGTGGGCTCCATTCCGTTGGTGATGCTCTTTCGGTCTGGGAGAAGAGAAAGCACTACCGTGTTTCCCTGAAAATAAGACACTGTCTTTTTTTTTTTGGCTCACAAAAACACACTAGGTCTTATTTTTGGAATAGGTCTTATTTTCGGGGAAACACGGTACAAGCAGGCTGCTGGACTTTGCCAACAGGCTCAAGGAGTCCCACGTATTTGTTGGTCGCCCCATAGGAAGAGCCGGCGTGACACTGGCCCAGGAGCCCTGCGGTGCGGCGCTTACGAGCCATCGAGTGTCTCTGGTGCAACCGCAGGAATTTAAGTCTTCAGAAAAGGAACCCAGCATTCCCGATTACAAGAAAGATGGAACAGAAACAGTCCCACCTGCCCTTCACCGAGGCAGCCAATTCTGTGCCCCCATCTCTCATGTCCGAGACAGTGCAATTCAGACACATTTGGTGATGAAAATCTCAGAAAGTGTAAAAGAAAAGCAGCCACTCAAGGCACAGGAAGACGAAATCGCTTACATCATTTGACTGAAATAACCGTGTCATGGCAAAGAACGCTTCGGTGGCCTCCGTCGTTCCAAAATGTTCACCCTGCAGAAGGGGGACAAACTTTAAGCAAGCGGACGCTTCAGCCAGTGTCTGTTGAAGGCCAGCCGTGTTCAGTCGCAGCCAGGGGATGCTCCACGAAGCCCCCCCGGCCGCACCCACTTCAGCAGACCCAAGGCTGCCCGGCACCTCTGCCCACGGCCGACTGCTGCCCTGTCACTCCGTGGGATGAGGCATGCCTGCCACCAAGCAGTGCCCATTTCCCACCGCGTGCCTGGGGGCTTCTCACAGCACACAGCGGCCGGGAGCTGGGGCCGTGTCCACGCGGCTGCCATTGTGAAGAGGCAGCTCCCAGGTGGAGGGTCTGACTCGCCTAAATCCGCTGCGCGTGGCAGAACCAGCCCCACGGCTCGCGCCGTGTGAGAGGCAGCGATGCTGCACGTCTGCGCTGGGGCCTAACGGGACCACAGCTTGTCACGGGTTGAATAACCCGCAGTGAGCTGTCGCATGATGTCTGAACCTGGCCATGGTTTCTGCAGCCTTCTATCGTACAAGGAACACTCCCGTCCAGGCAGCTCTCCAGGTGGTGCTGGGACACGTTCTGCTCCTGCTCTTTTGGTCCACCCCACGCCTGGATAGGTGACTGGTCACCTGGGGAGCCTGTGCATGCCTCCTTGCTTTGTGTGGAAGACGGGTGCCATTAAAAAAAAAAAAAAATCGCACTTCACAGAGCAACAAGTGAGCTTGGGAATCTATGAACGAACGGAAGTGTGATTGCTAACCCGGCCCAAAACAAACATCAGCCCTTGCTAAACCTTACAAATCCGGTCTCCTCAGTGACTTACGCTTCCATTCCCAGAAACTCTCCTCCTTCCCTGCAAAACTGCTTGTGACTCCCTGACTAGGAAGTGAGTGGGAACGAAGAGCTGCTTCCGTGAAAAGGGCACCGTGTCCTGCATTTGTTTTTATGCCTCTTTGATTATTCTGATGGCTTTAGTAAATCATTGTATTGGTTGCTGCTGTGTCTGTTTTTAAATGGCTTTAACTCCTGTAGGCAGCTCTGGAAGTGCTGGGCCCCTGAAGACAAGATTGTACGTATCAATACACACTCCTCGGCCAGAGCAGGACATCAGCAGCAGTAACTGGAAGTACTTGCTGGTTTTAGTGCTTCACAGGGCCAGGATAGCTGAAGATTTAACCACCTGGCCTGGGAGGGATGGGGTCCAATTTTAAGAGCAAAGGGGGCGTGTGGTGGGGAGGATTTTGCACTCCTTGCCCGCACACCCCTTTTGCTTTTAAGATTGGGCTCCATCCCTTCCTTCACCTCCAGTCCCTCTTTCCAGACATTTTTCACCCAACCAGAAGCATCCCCTGCTGAGAGAGAAAGGCTTGGGGAAAAGAGGCACAGGAGAATAAGCGGAGGAGGGGAGGGCTTAATCCCCGCCCCACCATTGCTGGCTTTGAAAATCAGGCCCTTGCCCCACACCTGAGTTCCTGAAAGACCAGGGGACTGCCGTGACCCCTAGCCGTCACATAAGCCAAAGGTTGCAACTGAATTGCCTGAAAGGCAGAGCACTTACCTGGTTCAGCAAGTAAAGGATCTTGGTAAGGATGTGCAGGCATCTCCGCGGATTTATGGGGGTCTCGTTGAAGAGACGCGCCTGCGTGGACACAAAAGAACCCGTTGGAAGACAAATGGCACCACTAAGGCAAGCTGCCTGCAACCTGCAGACGGGACTGCGATTACAATTCCCAGCATGCCCAGTGGTCAGGAAGGCGAGCAGCTGAGGTCCAGAACATCCGGAACAGGGTCCCTCGTGCCCTCCTCCTCCAGCACGACCTGCATCCTTGGAATCTGGCAGCCAAAGCAGCTGCCAGCTCCCCTCCGCCCCGCGGAACCTCCAGGCCAAGAAGCTCCAGCGCCGCTTCATTCTTTCTGCAAGGCCCTCCTTTAAAGGCCGAGGAAGGCCTGCGGAAAGGAGATATGGGATCCCCCGCTGACCCACTTAGCCTTGGCACAGAGGGCCAGCGCCAGGCTTAGCTTCTTCTGACAAGGCACACATCCCCCCCGGGGTGGGCAAATGCTAGGCCTGCAGACGGCTTGGCCCACCGTTCCCGTCACCTCTAACCTCAGGGCTGACGGTGCCGTAAGTCAGAATATCTGAACTGCTGCAGGTTCTGGCCTGCCTTCCCACCCATCCCGCAGACCCTTTTCTCCTGGTGCCCCAAACCAAGCCGCTCTCCTCCTCTGCACAGACCTGAGCACCCACAAAGGCCAGCCGGAGGGAGGGCCGGAGAAGCATGGGCAGCCCGGCAGGGGTTCGTGAGGGAGGAGAGGCCCAGTGGCCAGGGGCTCCACACATCCCAGCTCCCACTGCCTGTGACAGGAAGAGGGACGCAAAGCACAATTCAGACGTACCTCCTGGAGGATGGCGCTCTTCTCCAGATGCTGGAAAGGGTTGGAGCCGCTACCTGGGAAAGAAAGGCTGTATTGGCAGGTGCCCGGAGCGAGCCGGAAAAGCCCCACTCCCGGCCTGCGCTCAGAGACGTGGGAGCTCCGGGGGGGGCTTCGCAAGGGGCAGCTGCCCCCCCCCAGGGCCGGTCCTCTGAGGGCAGGCGGTCTCGCGAGTGCCGGCTCCTGAAGACAAGGCGCAGAGCCTCTCGGGCCTGCCCAGTGCTCCGCGCTCAAAGAAAGCTGCCCCTAACCTGGTGGCCCCCAGCCAGAGTGGGGCCACACTCACCACTGCAGTCCCCATCATCCACAGCAAGGCTCACCCCCCCCCGCAAAAAAAAAGAAATTCGAGCCAGGGCAGTGCTGCTCACACCCTCCACGCTCGCCATAGAAGGGCACGTGTGAACGCCTGCTCTGCGCTGCACGGCTGCGTGCAGACAGGACCCAGCCGCCTCGACCTGGGAGAGCTCACGCTGCCGCGCTGGCTCCGGAGGATGGGGGCTGCAACCCCGCACTCCGCCTGCACGCCGGAGGCCAGCGGGGCCGCGGAAGCGCCGCTCACGCTCGCCTGCCCGAGTCCGCGGCAGCGGCCTCCCCGTCGAGCTGCCCGCGGGGCGCCCCGTCCTCCTGCAGCGCCCCGGAGCGCCCGGCCCGATCGCCCAGGGCTTCGGTCTGCCCTGCAGGGCCCCCTTGGGCGGCGGGGGCCACGAAGGGCCGGGGGGCCTCCCGGAGGGAGCTCTCCGCCGGGAGGAGGCGCCTCCCGTCTTGCAGGAACCTGCCGCCGCCGCCGCCGCCCCCACCCTCCGCAGCGAAGAGGATGCGCAGCTCCACACACTTGCGGGGCCAGGCCGGCGGAGGCCGCCGAGACTCCCGGCCTCGCACGCCGGTTCGGGACGGCAGGGCAGGCGCCGCGGGGCTTCCTGCGGCGCTACCTTTCTACTTGCAGGGCGCTTTGAACGCTCCCACGAAGTCGCCCCCCCGCTCTGTTTCTTATCGGAAATTGTATCCCGCTTTGTCTCACCGCTCAAAGCGGCTCATAAGTCGCGGAGCCGATCAAGACAGGCCAGAATGACATCAAGAACTAAGCACACGCGACGCCCCCCGCCGCGCCCAGGATGGTATCGCCTATTCCACCCCTCCCTCCCTCGGGAGTGGGACCGTCTACAGGGGGCGTGCCCACCGGCCTCCCGCTCCCAGGGGCCCCCGCCTAGCAACGGGCTCGGCTGCCGACCCGCCCCCGCGCGGCTGCCGGCCGGGCTCCTACCAGCCTCCTCATCCTTCTTATCGAACTTCTTAATCATGGCGGCGGCAGCGGCGGCGGCGGCCGACTCGATTCTGGCCGCCCACCTCAGCCTCCACCGCTCAGAGCCCGGGCAGGAAGTCCCGCCCTCCGCGCGAGGCCCACTTATCGCCCCTCCATTGGCTCGCGAGGACGCCGCTCAGGGTAGGACCACGCCCGTTTTGGCCCGGACCGCGGCGTTTCGCCAGAGCCTGCGAGGGAACCGGCGGAGGAATTTCTCGGCCTTCATTTGCATGCGGCCCGCCCCTTCCTTCTGCGGCCACGCCCCTGGCGCAGCTGTCTGGGGAGGGGAGGGGCGCGCGACGGCTGGGCAGGGAAGTGGAATGCGGGTGGGGGCGGGGTGGCTCTGCTTCCTCTGGCCGTCCAGGCCAAGCCGGCCGGGGATGATGGAACTGTAGTCCAACACACCCGGCGGCACTAACATGAGGGAGGGGCTTCTAGCGAGGCCTCGGCACCGCAGAGCTCTGCTTCGACTGACCCTGCGCTTGATGCACCGTCGCCCAGCTTTTCCACTACCGGGCCGGTTTGCCGTTGCCTCCTGCATTTGGCAGGACAACCCGCAGAGGAGCAGCCTGTTGAACTGCTTGCAAAAGCAAGACTGCACCCTTTTCCTTTGCACGTGTGAACACCGGCGGATCTGGATCGGAACAAGTGCATTTGGTAGAGCAACCTCAAACCAGCAGAAGCTCCGCGCGTAAGAGCGCAAGACTCTCTCACCCGGTACCGGCAATGCTGACCGGTGATCTCCAAGCAGGGGTATTTGCAGCAAACCTGGGGACGGAGCTGGGGCAGTTCCCGCGTGCAAAACCTGTGCTGAGTCGTGGGCCAGAGGAGGATCCTTCTTCTTCAGGGTCCCGCAGGACCCTTCGTTCCCGATGCCAGCGGACAGAGGAGGCCTGTGTCCCGCTTCGTGCTGGGGACAGAGCTGAGCAGCGCTAGAAGTTTTAAAGAGGGTTGTCTGTTATCATTTGCCCCAGAAGCCTTCCCTGCAGCCTGAACTCTGTTTAACAGGTAGCAGATACTACATCTAATTAAATGTGTGTAACTCGTCCATGTGAAGGCCATTCCAACAGTTGCAGACTTTTAATACCACCCCAGTTTCTCCCACCACTACACACGGTTTTTATATCAAATCAGATGACAACTTTCGGCGAACTTAGCAGCTTGTTCTTAATGCACAGTCACTGGGCAAGTATATTCCAGCAATTTTAGCAGATCGTCTCCCCGCCCCACCCACTGCTGCCTGTTAACATGTTGGACTGAGGCCCTAATTCAAAGAGGAAAGGGCAGATCTCAGGCTGCAGGGATATGCCTTTGTCCCCAGGCAGTCAGACTTCCCTCGGACCATCGATACAGTTTAAATTCACAAACCAAAATGTGCATACAAAGGATCTCTGAGCTTCTGAATTGATTGTTGCACATCTGGCCAGCAAGGATGTCACGCACACTTTCAGTACGCCAGAAACACTAAAACAGTATTTCTGCAGTTTATCATAATTAAACTAATTGCAAACATACTGTATTTTTGCGTCTAGAAGATGCCCCTGTGTATAGGACGCCCCCCACTTTTCTTACTGATCTGATTGGAGCAAGCTGGTGCCGCACACATGCCGCCTGGCCGCCTCCCCACGTCCGTTTCCCCCCCCCCCTTTGTGCGCCTGTGGTTCTCCTCTCGGCCCCCGTGTAGAAGATGCCCCTCCATTTTTAGGTAAAGATTTTAAAGAAAAAGTATGGTTTTTTACACGGAAAAATACAGCATTTCTAAATCATTGGTGAGAAAGATTACGATTTAGGCAGCATACAGTGAATAACTGCTTTCTTCTCTGCTGGAGGTATTCCCCACGGGGGCTGTAGCCGGCTTCTCCAGGTAGGGCTAGGCAGATCCCCAGCCTGAAATCCTGGAGCGTGCTGGTTGTCAGAGCAGGCAAACCTTGGTCTAGGGGACTGTTGCAGTTGAGCATCAAGCCGCTCCCATCAAGATTTAGGAATAAATTGCCTTTCGGAAATGTTTTCCCCAGGGAGGCTGATGAAGGGCCGTGCAGCTGCGAGGAGGGAGCCTGTTACCCTGACCCAGAAACGTGCGCATCGCAGCCACACAGAGTTCGCTGCACCTTGAGGGAGCATCCTGCTGGGCTAAGCGGCTTGGGGCCAGGCTCTCTGCCTGGAGTGAAACATATTTTAGCCCCAAACTGGGCAAGCACGCCAAACGAGGCGGGCATCTCAACGTCACTCAAACCTCCCTCTCTATATTCCTGTTGAGTGGGCCGGCGCAGCCAGCTATCTGCTTCTTCGGGTGCTTGGTGTGGGCAGCATGCCAGGCAGAGAGACTTTCTTGCAGTGTTTCAGCGGCCCTGCTTCTGCATGACATGGTGCAGTGGGCAAAGCCATTGGCGGTGGGAGAGGCGCACCCAGAAAGGCGACGAAGGAAGCCAGCCAGGGCCCTGTGCCTTGCTCTAAGACAAGCTGCTTTTCTAGGGGTGGGAACTTTGCTTTTCAAGAACCAAGGGACTCTAAACATCCTCAGGCGCTCTCTTGCCCATTTCCAGATGTATATCCATAGGATGCTGGGTGGGTGGGAGAAAAAGCCAGCTTTTGCAGGTTCAAGTCCCTTACAACTTGAGGACTGCTGGACAGGTAGAGACTGCTGGGCAATTGCTGAGGACTGGCTGAAGTGTGAGACACACGATTGCTTTTTCAATCATATTAGAAAGTCATTAATGTCGGTGTGGGAAAAATTAAAGACAAAACTGTACACTAAGTTGCCAAGGTGGCTTTCGCCTATGGAAGCTCTCGTATATCCAAACGCATTGAATTTTGATACGATTGTGAAATATGATATTTTGGATAATGATGGAGGATTGAAATCGAGCCAAGAATGACAAGAGCAGGGTACTAATACCTCTTGGTGCCATAAGGTTCAAATACAATCGAGATATGTTAAAGATGATAAAATGTGGGGTTTTCATAAGGAGTTAACATTTGACCAAGTGATTTTAAAATCAGATGAGAAAATGATTAAAAGACTGTATAATTTTCTTTTGGATATGAGAATGGAAGATGAACAAGTTAAGGAAACTGATAACATGGGCACAAACTTTTGGATATAATATTGAGTTACAGAAATGGCAAAAGTTGTGGGAAAGAAATATTAAGGTAACTTTAGCAATCTCATATAAAGAAAATCTCTATAAAATGTTTTATAGATGGTATCTATCGCCAAATAGATTAGCAAAGATGTTTTCAAATATGTCAAATGGATGTTGGAAATGCAAACATAAACCAGGTACCTTCTATCATATGTGATGGACTTGGGATAAGGCAAAAAAATATTGGGCTAAAATTCATAAATGGCTTGAGGAAATGTTACAAAAATCGTTAATATTTAAACCTGAATGCCTTTTTACTAGGCATTGTACCTGATGATGTCGATAAACAAGCTATGTATTTGATTTTACATGTAATCACAGCAGCAAGGATTGCATTTGCCCAACATTGGAGGAGTGAAGAATCACCTGCTGATGAACTGATTTTAAAAAAGATTCTGGATTGTGCTGAAATGGACAGACTGACTTTGTCTCTGAAGGAGAAAGAGGATACAGACTTCTATTAACCTTGGAACTCTTTCTATCATTGGCAAGAGAAATGGGACTGTGCGTAGATTTGAATATATTTACAGATTGCTATAAAAAGTGGGGGGGTTGACCCAGCAGGTCTGATGGTTCTGATGCCTGATGTTTTTTAGGTTTTTTTTTCAGTTTGTAGAAAATAATAATAAAATTTACTCAAACAGAAGATGGCCCTGAAGGTGGTTCTCACGCCCTGCTTCTACCTTTTGCTACAGTCCAGGCGACGGATCAGGAGGCGTCTTGCTGCCTCTTCTCTGGCTCTCAGCCTGCCAAGCCAGCCAGTGTAAGCTGTGATGAAGAGGAGCAGCAGCAGCATGGGGTGGGGGGGGGGAGAGGAGGTGGGTGCAATGCAGGAGGGGTCCATTGAGGGTGTCCTGACCAAACCCTTGGAGTCATAATCAGCCAGAAATGACACCGTTCCGCTTGGAATGGCTAGTTTGTGTGTGCATGCACTACCTCAAGCCTGCCTTTTTCACTGGAATGCGGAATTTGGCTTCTGTTTCATGACAAGAAGCAAGTTTCTAGCCCTCATGAGGCACAGTCTGCTCAGATGGGAAGGCTCAATCTGCAGGAGTCTCAGCACACCGAAAGGTGGTTTAATAAGGCTGGGACTGAGATTCACTGGCCTTTAAAACTCCGTTCCGAGAGAAGCAATGCGACTTTGCTAGGTGAACACATCCTTACGGCCGCGGACCAGGACGCCCGAGCCTAGAACAGCCACCCTTCCCCGCCGCAGTTTTGCAGCTCTCGCTGCCACGATATTGGAAGAAAGCGCTATTAGAGTAATTCAACTTTTTATTAAAGTACAAAGAAGCAGAATATTGCATTGCGGTATAATACAGGGGACCCCCCGGTCGCTGAGCAGTGTCGTGAAGTGTTAAACGGCCCGAATACAGTGCCTTCTTCAGCCCCATCCTCAAGGCACACTCATGCTTGCGTCACATAATTCTAAAGGCAGGACGCCGAGATTAGACAGGCTACAGGGAGTGCAGTCTAGACAAAGTACAGGGTGTTAAGAATCATCACACTACAGAAGTCTGTTAGAAAATTTAAGAAATCCCACCAGAATCCTTATTACTTTTGACAGAACCCTAGGTTTTTGCCTTCCTCCTTCACCTGGTTGCATGCAGAAATGGCTCAGATACACGCTCCTTCTAAAACTCTTCCTCAGCATCGTCTTCCTCCCCATCGGCAGAATCCCGCCCAACCTCCTCGTAATCCTTCTCCAGGGCGGCCAGGTCCTCCCGGGCTTCGGAGAACTCCCCCTCCTCCATGCCCTCCCCGACGTACCAGTGCACGAAGGCCCGCTTGGCGTACATCAGGTCGAACTTGTGGTCCAGCCGGGCCCAGGCCTCCGCGATGGCCGTGGTGTTGCTCAGCATGCAGACGGCCCGCTGGACCTTCGCCAGGTCTCCCCCGGGCACCACGGTGGGGGGCTGGTAGTTGATGCCCACCTTGAAGCCGGTCGGGCACCAGTCCACAAACTGGATGGACCTCCTCGTCTTGATGGCGGCGATGGCAGCGTTGACGTCCTTGGGCACGACGTCCCCCCGGTAGAGCAGGCAGCAAGCCATGTACTTGCCTCGGCGAGGGTCGCACTTCACCATCTGGTTGGAGAACTCGAAGCAAGCGTTGGTGATCTCGGGCACAGAGAGCTGCTCGTGGTAGGCCTTCTCAGCGGAGATGATGGGGGCGTAGGTGGTCAGGGGGAAGTGGATGCGGGGATAAGGCACCAGGTTGGTCTGGAATTCTATCAGGTCCACATTCAAGGCCCCGTTAAATCTCAGGGAAGCCGTTACGGAGGAGACGATCTGCCCGATCAGCCGGTTGAGGTTGGTGTAGGTCGGGCGCTCGATGTCGAGGTTCCGGTTGCAGATGTCGTAGATGGCTTCGTTGTCCACCATGAAGGAGCAGTCGGAGTGCTCCAGGGTGGTGTGGGTGGTCAGGATGGAGTTGTAGGGCTCCACCACCGCGGTGGAGACCTGTGGGGCAGGGTACACGGAGAACTCCAGCTTGGACTTCTTGCTGTATTCCACCGAGAGCCGCTCCATCAGGAGGGAGGTGAAGCCAGACCCTGTGCCTCCGCCGAAGCTGTGGAACACCAAGAACCCTTGGAGGCCGCTGCACTGGTCAGCCTGCACGGGCGAGAGGAAGCTGGCCGTTAGGTTGACTGCCGGCATGGCACGATTCTGTGATAGCCCAGATCCAGGCTGGACATCGGGAAGAGCTTCCTCACGGTCAGAGCAATGCACCCGTGGAACCAGCTGCCTGGGGAGGTTTGGGCTCTCCCACACTGGAGGCATTGAAGGTGGAACTGGGCAGCCCTCTGAGTGGGATGGTGTGAACTGGTGTCCTGCAGCAGCAGGAGGTTGAAGCGATGGCCTTCATGGCCCCTGCCAGCCCTACGATTCTATGAGCTGGGTAAGTATGGATGCTGCCAACCTGTACCTGGAGCTTCCCTTGGGACCTTTTGTGGACAGGACCAGAGATGCCTCAGGCCAGTATCTTCCAAGCCTTTGATGGCCAAGTTTCTGACCCAGTCAAGGTCCAGCCATGTCCCTGTCCCACCATTCAACCAGAGTTTCTGGAGTGGAGGATCGCCCCGAGCATTCGGGAACCCTAACCCTGAATCCTTGAGTCTCCAGGGTGGACTAGTCTAACAAGTTCCCTGCTCCTGCAGAAGGTCAGAGCCCCTAAGAAATCGCAACCCTATTTCACCCTTCCCCAACCTGATGCCTTCCGGATGTTCTGCGCTACCAGTTAGCATCCCTGGCCATTGGCTGTGGGCCGACAAAAGCTGAAGTCCAACCAACTGGAGGGTCCCAGACTGAAGGAGGCGGCCCCAGGAGCTAGCCGCCCCTCCCGACAGCAGAGGTCTTCATACACCCCTCCCCACAATCCACTCTCATCCAGCCAACTAAAATGTGCTAAATTTGCCCCGCCACACAGGTGGGACCTGCTTTTGACAGCCAGGCCCACAGCGGTCACAGAATCCGTGCGGCCCCCTTGCATGTGAGTGGAAGCCCTGAACGCAGCCGGCTCCCCGGGAGAACCTCTGCTGTCACGTCAGGAGCGAGGACTGTCTGGCTGCAGGATGAGTGCAACGCCAGCAGAAGCCCCGATCTGGCCTCGATGCCTCATCGCCAGGCGTGTTTCTTAAATCGGCCTTCCCGGCCTCGGTGCCCTCCAGATCTGTAGGTCTACAGCTCCCGGCATCTTCCAAATGGCCCAGCACCGTGCCTCAGCGAGGGCTAGATCTCTGCGAGCCCTTTCCAGCCAGCAGGTCTTGCCTGCCGCTGCCCTTGCAAAGCGGGTGGCGCAAGGCAGCCCCACCCTCCGGGACCAGCCAGCTCCCGACCACAAATGCCGCGTGAGCTTGATCTGCCTTTCAAGTTCCTCTGCGGCATCCGGAAGAACCGGGCCGGCCGCTTACCATTTTGCGGATCCGGGCCAGGACCGTGTCGATGATCTCCTTCCCGATGGTGTAGTGGCCCCGGGCATAGTTGTTGGCCGCGTCCTCTTTGCCGCTGATCAGCTGCTCGGGGTGGAAGAGCGAGTGGTATGCCCCGGTGCGGATCTCGTCTAGATGGAGAAACCAGAGGGAGCGGGAGGTGTGACACGCGGGAATCGCCTGTTGCAACCCTCGATTTCTCGTGCTTACCTAGAGGAGGCGCCAGAAGATCCAGCAGGGGGTCGCCTCGCACTCGCCTTGGCCTCCAGACCCACCACGTCATGCTGCTGCATGACTGCAGCCCAGCGTCCCCTCATCTTTGCACGGCTGAGCCGGGGCGATGGAGCGCACCTGCAGAGCCAGCCTGCCCAGTGGGTTCAGTGGTGGGATGGAGCCCGCAACACCGGGGGGGCATCAGGCCAGGCGGAGGAGAACAGAGCCCTCAAGGGAAGAGTGCGTGTTGCTCACAAGCTGTGCTTGAGTTTTGGGTTTGTTGTTGTCTGAACCCAGCCGAGACAGCAAATTATGATGAACCACTCACAGCTCACAACCTAACAACAAGCCATGGTTTCTCAACATGGTTTGTAGTTCCTGGTTAGCAAGCCAGGATGACCCACGTTTCAGCAGGAACCCTCCCTCAGCCCTCGAGAGCAGGGTATCATTTGCCTGGGCCCCCCTCCCCCGCCTCCAAGGCCTGGGTGGGCTTCCCCCGGCTGCGACCCATTTCGCTTTCCCTGTGTGAAGCCCCCCCACCCCCCGTCGTTGCTTTCCATTGACCCACTGGGGGATGAGTGGCAACAGCTTCTTAGCTGCCCCAGCGCCAGCAGGAGAGGCTTGGGTCCCCCCTCCCCCCCTTACTCTTTTAAATAGAAAAAGAATGCTGTTTTACGACAAAAGGTGAAGAAAAGGAATGCAAGGGAGCAAAGCGAAGCAAATCGGTGCAGCCGCTCGATTTCTACCAGATTTGGCATTCTTGACGGCACGGGGGACTCCCTGGGCAAGGGGGGTAGCACCTCCGGGCTTCCCGCAGGCCTAAGCTCTCAGCAGCTCCAGGCTGGGGCAATGTCAGTGGATCATTTGGGCGACTTGGGAAGAAGCGGCTTCCGGTGTTTGACCCTCCCCAAGGACGGGGGCCACGCCTCCGACGGAGCACAAAGAGCCAAGTCCGCCATTCGGTTTCCCTCAGCTCATCACTCCTCCAGTCTTAAATCCGGCCCATCCCAAATGTTTCCCGCCTGAGAGAGACCCATTTCTCCCAAGTCGAGCGTTTTTGCATGAGCTTTGCTTGGTATGACAATGCACTTCGGAACCCTGTGTTCAGCTGGCTGCACGGGACTCCGGTGCTCCCACAGCTGGAGTGCTGTGCTCAGTTCTGGGCTCCACATGACAGGAAGGATTTAGCCAGGTTGGGGTCAGTGCAGCAAAGGGCCACTAGGATGGTGGCCGGATTGCAGGGAAAGCCATGTGAGGCAAGACTGAGGGAGCGGGGTCTCTCCAGCCTGGAGAGGAGGGGACCCCGAGGGGACCTGCTAGTGACAGGCAGGTATGTGAGGGGGTGCCCCGCAGAGGTGGGTCATGGCCTTTTTCCCCCTGCAGTGGAGTGCAGGACGCACTCAAATGGAGTAAAGCTCAGGGAACCAAGGTTTAGGGTGGATGCCGGGAAGTGAGGGTCCCCAGGGTATGGAATGGGCTTCCATGGGAGGTGGTTGAGGCCCCTTTGGTGAGGGAGTTCAAGGAGAGGCTGGACATGCACGTGGTAGGCATGCCATGAGCGGAGCTGGGGGTCAGATTAGATAACCCAGGAGGCCCCTTCTGACTCACTCTGTTTCTATGTTTCTATGTAAGTCACTCTGATTTCTTAGTAAGAAAAAGGGATATAAATCGAATGAATGAATGCATGCATGCATGCATGCATGCATGCATGCATGCATACATACATACATAAAAATGTGACTCGCAGGGATGGCTGCCCATTAGCTTTAAAGGGGGCTGGGCAACGTTATGGGGAGGCTGCCAGCAGCCACTAGCGCCAGGGCCGTGTTCCGCTTCCGCCACCATGGGCGATGTGTCTGCGCACGCCCGGAGCATGGGCACAGGCGCGGCTGCCATCCCGCCTGGGGGATCCTGTGGGCGACCGGCCAGCCCCTGGGAAGGGGACCCTGCACTCCCTGGGTCGGTGCTCTGGTTCAGCAGGGCTTTTCTTGGGTCCGCTGAAAAACTCAAATTTTGCCTGGATGCCCGATCCAGCTCGCATGATTCAGGGGACGGAACTGATTGGACTGCCGCTCCCCCGGGCCAGTGATGGCGGGGGGCTTGCCCCCGGCCCAGGGAATGTCTCGGGGGGGTTGACCCTCACTTTCCACCCACTTTTCTGCTTTGCTCCCAAAGAGGCACGGAATGCCGCCTCCCTGCCGCCTGGAGAAAGGGGCCCAGGGCCCGCCAGCCTCCTTCCCTGCTGCCCTCTCTGCTCACAGGCTGAAGAGAGCGATGGGATGAGGGGTGGTTGAGCTCACCCTTGTGGGGCACAGCAGCTGATCTCCCCAGGGTGGGCAAGTCCCCTTGTCCCCATTCTATCCCCAGGGTGAGTCTGGGGATTCCCACAGAGGTTCTGCTGCTGGTGCATGTTGGCAGGGGGATCCCGCTGCGATCCGATTCCAGATCGGAGACGGCAACAGCGGAATGCCCCCCAGGAGATTCCTCTGGGGAAAGGGGCTTGGAACGGAGACCACGCCCGTGGGAGGAAGGCCCGGTGGGACATGGCCGGATCGGGGTGCCACGCAGACGGCAAGTTTGCGCCCCGATGCAGGGGCTCAACAATGCAAGCGCCGGAGAAACGACTCTCCTCTCTCCCTACTTTTAAGGAGCATCAGGCCAATCTGCTGCTCCTAGCGGATCCGTGCAGGCCCCGTTACCAATAACAGTAGGTTCCAGGTCGATGAACACCGCCCTGGGGACGTGCTTCCCGGACGCGGTCTCGCAGAAGAAGGTCTCGAAGGAGGAATCCACTTGCTCCGCTTCCGGCAAGACCTTCTGGGCGGCCTGATTCCCGGGGATGGTTCCGTCGGCCTGGATCCCGTGCTCCAGACAGTACAGCTCCCAGCAGGCGTTGCCCATCTGCACGCCCGCTTGGCCAATGTGGATGGACAGGCACTCCCTCTGCAAAGGAAGAGGCAGAGTTGGGCAGGCTCCATCAGCCGGGGGGGGGAGGGGAAGGGGCTCCAAGGCAGGCGCCTGCTCCGCGTGTCCTCAGCCGCATCAGGCCGGCCCACCCTCAGGGTAGAGCACGTGCTGCTCACGAGCTGCCCTTGACTTCCGGGTTTGCTGTTGTCCGAACCCAGCCGAGACAGCCAATTAACTCACCATTCACAACCCCACAACAGACCATGGTTTCCTCCATGGTTTGTTGTTCCTGATTAGCAAGCCATGATAACCCATGTTGTAACCCACACTCGGCCCTTGAGAGTGGGGTACCATTTGTCTGGATCCCCCCCCCCCCGAGGCCTGTGTAGGCGTTCTGGGGCTCCAACACATCCCATTTTCCTGGCTAGGTTCAGCTGCACAAAAAACCCGTGTCGACAAGCGATGCAAGCTGTGGCTTCCAACAGGGCCTGGCCGAGCGTCTAGGGTGTCGGGAAGGGACAGAGTCACTGGCTGAGCGCTCAGGTCCTCGAGAAGGGCGAAGGAGGAGTCCGGGAAGGAGGGGACAGGGTCCTGGGGCCGCAGCAGCTGCAGGCCATGGCGAGTTGGGGGGCAGGGCCAAGATGGCCAAAGGAGATGGACAGCACGCTGATAAGGTGGCAGGCGCATGCACAGGGAGAAGAGAGGGTGCGCGGGACGGCACACGCAGGCGTGTGGGCCAGAGGCAAGGAAGATGCCGGACAGAGAGCGGCCCTCCATCTTCGGGGCTGCGGGCTGCCCTTCTCTTTGAGGCTGGCCCACGTCCAGGGGAATGCCACGGCAGCATCCGAAGGAAGAGCAAGAGGGCTTGGAGGCGGCCCCTCGGGGGCCTGCACCGTGACCCCCAGTGAGCGAAGGCGCCCTCCCAGACCCCCAGCTGGCCTTGCTTCGCTACGGGGAGACGTGTTGCACTTCTGTGCCCGTTTTAATCATTGCTCTACTTTTTCATCTGCACATATGAATCATCACGTGCAAACATTATGCAAATCGCTGCCGCAAATGTTCTCGGTTTTGGGCACGCATTTCCCCTTTTTGGCGATGCGGGGGGCGGTTTCCATGGCTCACCTGTTGATTTTAAATAGGCAGCTGCTCTTCGGAGCTCTGCATTTTTCAAGTAACAGATGCGAGGGTTCAAATGCAGCATGGGAAGAGTCTGTCCTGACCTATTTGCCAATCAATTGCAACTCAGGGAGAGGAGTTGCCATAAGACCTTGGTCAAGATGCCAGGCTTCCTCAACAGAGGAGCAGACTGGATTAGACATCTGAGATACCTCAGCCCAGACTCATGGATTTGGACAGAGACTTGAGCTGGCCACAAACCTCTCTGCATGTGCTCAAGTGTGAACTAGCTCCGGCAGACAGCGTGACTCATGTGCAAGAACACAGCTGCCACCAAAGCAAAATCCAGGGAGGGTTCGTCCACTCCAGCACTCTGCCTTGCCCACAACAGCAAGCCGGATGCTCCGGAAAACCCACAAGGAGAGAGGGACACGGTGCTGGCGGTGGCCGAGCCGCAGCATCTGCTAATCGAATCTGGAATCTGCCGTGCACTTCCCTTTGTGGCATGCGTGCCACAGCCGCTCTGCTCTCCACCCTCCCTCTCTCTCCAGCAGGACCTCCGCTTGCAGCTCTTCCTTCCCAATTTGCTAAAGTCACTTAGAGGACATTCCCCGGTGCAGCCCCCAGTTCTCTCAACAGTTTGCCAGGCGATACCACCTGCTCCGTGCAGAGCGGTGGCGAGCGTCCTCCACACCCCCAGCTTCAGCGGAGCGCTGGCAAGCAGGAAACCAGTCTGGAAGGGTTGGGGATGCCAGAGGTCCTGAGCACCGGCTTGGTGGCACGTGCCGCGTGACCCGAACCTCCAGTGCGTGTCTGCCTGCATGACTGTAAAAGAGGATCCTTTCCCAACTTTCCCAAGCACAGGCAAAACACTCTTTGGCCAGTTTTCCTAGTTAAACAAACTTCCACACAAATATTCAACGGGACAACCTGATAACAGAGAACAATAGCTCTTTGAATCCCGAATGTTGCTTGGAAAGAAACAAAGTCACAGTTCAGACATTCAGAATTGTCCTATTGACTTTCCCGGCCCTACTTGTGAATACACGGACAACGGATCTCAGCCTCAGAATAAGGTGCCGGACACTGAAGAAAAACACTCCTGGCTTTCCCCTTTCCCTGCAAATAGTTAGCTTAATGCAGCCTAAAACCTAAAGGCAAGACTTGGAGCCTTCCCGAGACTTTCCCAGAAGTTGCACTCGAGCCGTTTCCAGCTTCACTCAGGGCCACCGCCGTAAAAGATCTGGATGAAAAAGATGTGAAAACGAGACCAAACGTTGCTCTGTTCTTTTAACATATCAACCCTTTGGGATTACAGTAGACAAAGGCAACATGGCAGTTTCCTGTTATACAGGGGAGGAGGAAAAAGGGGTGGGGGTTGCAGGCTGCAAAAGCCAGTCGTCTCCCACCTCACCATGGTCCATATGAAATAATGTAGGCAAAAGGGCAGGAGAGAAAGAGAAGACGAAAAAGAGAGATTTGCACTCCAGGCTATCACTTTTTCGCCTCTGAATACACGGACAGGAAAAGGGAGCTCAGCTGTCAGAAACTAGACTCCTGATTTTGCAGGGAGATCGGCTAAGCTGCTGGAGAGAAAAGTGACACGGGGGGGAGAAAGAGAGACCCCCATAAAGTGCCCTTTTGCTGCAGCCTTGTTTTTACCTTATAAGGAGCAAACCACCCAGCCCAATAAACTTCACACTCGTCCATAACTTCCAGCAGAAAAGTGAACTCGAGAGTTGTGCAAGGGGCTCCCTGCACAGAGGACTCAATACGCCCCTCTTGCACAGCTTAAATCTGAACACGCGAGCCCACAATTTCCAGGCTTACCATAATGAGTCTGGATGCTTCCTTGATTTCAGCAAAACAGCTGCTTTCCCTGCTCCCAGCAAATTTATACCCCCGCAAGAACTGACTCCACCTGAAGACGGACTCTTCCGTTCATTTAAAGCAACAGAGGCACCCTTTAAAAAGTTTTCAGGAGAAGGTTGAAATTCACCCAAGCAGCCGACTGCTGGTTTGGCTCTAGAAAGCTGCCGTGCATGAGGGGTTTGGCATCAAAGGACTGCCGGAAAAACCCCATGCGGTTCATCCAAGTGCCTCCAGGCAGCCGTGCCTTGCAGAGCCTTGGGCTGGGCAGAAATTCAACTGGTCTAGGCTTTATGGGAAAGCTTCAGGGGTTTCATGTCTGTCGAACAGCGAGGTAGGGCTGTTTCTAGTCTTTCGGGGTTTGCGAGCACTTTCGCTCGCATCCTCTCCCTGCGAGGGTTATCCACGCGCTGGAGGTGCCCGGTTGGGCTACGGCGGTGGGCTGCCAACCAAGACAGCTCAGCAACTTCAGTGGGTGCTGCTTAGAGCGGCCGGGTGACTAGCCGCGTCCGGCCACTTCCACGCCGTGAGGTCAGCTTCCGGCCCTCGAAGTGCCGGGCTGACCGCCGGAGCCCCAGCTGGTTTGGGCATGGCTCCCCGCCACCTGTACCTGCTCAGGCTGCCGGGTCACCTTCAGAGGTGCTTCTCTGCTGCCACACTTGCCAAACAAACTCCCCAGACTGGCCTGCCTTGCTACGCTGGCATCCTTTTGGCACGAGGCAAAGACCTCGCTTTTCTGCCCAGCATTTTAGAGACCTTGTTCCAGGTTTTCACGTGACTTTGTAGATTCCTCTGCCGTTAGTTTTGCATTATATGGTGTTTTGTTGTTCTAAATATTTAGGCTGCATTGTTTCTTTTTAACTGCATTTTAAAATGGCAGTTTAGATCTGAACTGGTTGTAGTCCAGCCAGACAATGGCAGTTATTGGGCAGATTAGAAATATGCCATAAATAATAATTATTATATTTATATTCCACCTTTTCTCCAGAAGGACTCCAGGGTGGCTTAATTAAGCCTCTTCTTTATTTTATCCTCACGACAACCCTGTAAAGTAGGTTAGCCTAAGAGTCCTTTGCTGACCCAAAGTCACAGGGGGGTGGGAGCTTCACGGCCACGTAGGCGCTAGAACTCAGTTCTCCTGTGCCTCAGTCCACCCGTCCTGGTTGCCCAACCGGTGTTGTGGGCCTGGCTGTCCCAGGCTAGGGAGCCATGGGCTCCTCCTAGACTCCGCTTCGGGAGCACTTCATTGTGCGTTGTGTGTTGGCTCGCACTTGGGCTGCTCCCGCCTGCCCGTTCCCTTCCTGGACTGAAATCTTGGTGCTTGATCCGCCCTGTGTTCCGACTTTGAATTGTTCAGGCCCAGGGCTGCTTCTGTCAGAGTGGAACATGGTTTCTTCTGGAGTTAGAGCCCCCATCCTTGTGACATCAGAAGCACAAAGTGACCGGCAGGTCCCTGGACCAAGGGGCTTAGAGTCTAACACCCCAGCAATGCGTGGGTGGGAAAGACAGCCCCACACATCCCTGGGGAGGAGCAGGGGCTTGGTTCTAGGCCATTCTTTACTTTCATGAGGTCCCTGTGAGTTGCAAGATTTGTGCATTAACACTGCAACTGAAAAAACAGTATGGCTGGCTTCAGCCAATGCAACAAACCATGGTGGTTTTTTTACCACTGCAGGTCTTTTGTGTTGTCTGAACCTAGTCATGATATTTACCACGGGAAATGTGGTCTTTAGAAACCATGATCAGAAACAATGGCTTGTTCCATGGTCTCTCTCTACCACCATGGCTTATTGTGTTTTCTGAACCCCAGATCATGGTTTCCATGGCCCTGGTATGTGACTACTACAAAGTCCTCTGGACAGAGTGGCAACTGCAGGAAGTACTCCGAGCATCCAGCCTCTATGTGTGGACCAATGAGGGAGAGGCAGGTGATACGGAAAGGAAGGAATGCAGCTTGGAGTTGAATTTCAGGTGCAGTGGCGGATGGGATACATGCCAACGGCGGGAGGACTGAGTGGGAAGGTGGAAACCACAGTAACACAGAAACCACTTGGTCGTGTGTCTGGTAGGTCATGGTAAAACCATGCAGCCCGTGGTAACCATGCAGGGCGGCTTGTTGTCTTGTGTGAACACAGCCTGTGTGTCATGCAGTGAGCGCCTTTGTTGTTTGGTCCCGAGTTCAGTGGGGTCTACCTCTGACTGGAGTTGAAAAGCCCTTCCTATTTTAATCATTCAAGAAGAATTTAGCGCATCTAGTAGGAGAACGCCGTGGGGATTCCTTCCTGTCGTGGTTGGTCCTGGGAGGGAGGCGACTTCCGTAGGCGAGATGGAGGAACTGCATGGGCCGGATTAGGCTCGCGGTCCACAGGGGTTCACCATCCCTGCTCTATATGGGTTTATATTTTAACATTGGATGCTGGGCAATTGCTATTCTTATTTTTAGTTTTTCGACTAATTTGCTGAAAACTGTCTCGAGACTTTTAAGTATGGGATAGTATAGAAACGTTATAAATAAATAAATACATCGTGTACGTTTCTGGCCTTCGTAGCTGTGAAGGGGAAATCTGAAAATGCGTGCGCTCCACAGGGCTGGAAATGCCCCGGGACAAAGCCGCAGCGGCCTGCCTGGGGAGCCAGATGCACTCTGGGTGTTGCTGTGTACAGCCCAGCGTGTTCCTGTAGGTGCCCGCAAGACACCCTTTGTGAGTTTACCTGCTCACGGTCTCCAGCAGCTCGCCTTCCTCACCCTCGCTCTCGCTGCCCCTGCCAGCTCCTTGCTGATTGGGCTGGTGGCCAAGGAGGAAGTTGGCGGCAGCGCTGCCCGCCTTCTCTCTGCCACCCCATCGCCTGGGTTTGGGTGGGAGGCAGGGGAACTGCTGTCTTGCAATGGTGGCGAGGGGAGCAGCTCTGGGAGCTCCCTTGGCAGGCACCCCAGCCCACCCGCCCCCATGCCAGCCCTTCCTCTGCACTCCCCCTCCCCTCTTTCCTCAGCACGAGCACCTCCGCCGCAGACCTGGGCCAGGGGCCCTGCCGGGGAGCTGCGGGGAGCCTGGGTTAAGCAGCCGGCTACCAGGCCGGTCTTGACGAGGAGCCTGAAACTGGCCGTCGGGGTTCTACGAATGAAACACTGCCCTTTCCATGGGCTCGCATGCCCCAGAAGAAAGACAGACGCAGCGCCAGCAGCCCCTTTAAAAATAACAGGCATGTCTTAACAGGTGGCCACCCAGACATGGGGATGGGCGGGAATGTGGCTGGCTGGGAGGACTTCGGAGCGACACCACGGGTGGGAGAGGAATGCGTGCCAGGCAGGCAACCGCCTCGGTCAGGACAGGGAGCGGGGCGGGCAGACAAAGGACTCCGCGGGCAAACAGCGGTGCCATGGCTGCACCGGCTGGATGCCCACAGGACGCGCTCGGGAGCAGAGGCGCCTCTAGGCAGGGGGCTCCCAGCGTCAGCGGCCGAAGGCATCAAGTATTCATTCTGCCTCCCACTGAAGAGATGGGCAGAGCAGCAACACCGAGCTCGCCAGAGTTCTCGCAATTCCGTCTCAAAGCTCACTCCAGCCTGACTAGGTGTCAGGTTGGAGCCCGATTTCTTTTCTTTCCATGCAAAAATCCATGTGTTTTTCTAAATGGAAACATCGGTTGTGCCCGTCTTCAAAATGTATGCATTCCTCTTCCGTAGATCAAAGGCTGATTGTGCGCACTTTTCAAAAGTGTGCATTTTTTCATGGAGACTTTTCAAATGCATGCTGTCCAATACATTTGCGGGGTCTGTGAATCGCGCTGCCAGGTCAGAGTCCGTGTTCAGTCTGGAATGTCCTAATCAAAAATGTGCTCCAGGTACTTGCTTATAGATCCCCGTCGCTGCGATGTGCCGTCATGCTGCCTCCCACATGTGGCCCTGTGACTGAGGGACCCTGCAATGCCCCGACTTGGCAGCCCTGCTCAGCTCTTGCGGACTCGAGGCGGTGGCTTCCACTGTGGAACGGACCCGTCCCATAGCTGGCCTCCCGCTTCTCCCGCTTCCATCTTCCTAGCATGATGTCTTCTCCGGTGAGGTCTGCTTCCTCGTGCAGTGCCCGAGTGTAACAGATTCATACATCTCTGCTCTCCCACCCTATGGATTTTCCATGGTAAGAAAAAAGAGAAAAGCAAGGCACTGGGAGAATATGGGGCGGGGGGGGGGTGTAGAAAGCAGAAGAAGTCGGAATCCTGCACCCCACGTCACCCTGCCTGAAGGGGCCTTGCTTCTGAGTAGACCTGCTGTGGGCCGAGTCACTGCATGCAAAGGCACGATGAAGGCAGGGAAGGAGTGCGAGCACTTATAAGGACAGTCACGGATTTCTCAACCAGTCTTTCGCATGAGTCAAAACACTGAACCAGCTCTGGCTGCTCTTGTCAATTTGGAAGGCATCTAGCCAGAAAATTTCCAAGGATTAAGTTAAAACCATCTGTTCCAAAGCTCTGCAAGCCGCTGCATCTCTGCAGAAGAAATCAAGCCGGGGCGAGGGCGGCCCCACCTCCCGCTCCTCGGGCCTCCTCTGCTGCAGGCCGGCCCCGCGGCCGTGGGCACATTCCGCTCTCGAGGCCTCTTGCAACGGCGCTGTGGGGATGAGCCGACCTACCCGGCAGGGGGGTTGCTAGGCAGCATGGGACTTGTAGTCCCACCCATCTGGAGGGTGTCAGGTTGAGGGAGTCTGTTCTAAGGCTCACTGAAATGGCTGATGCGATGCTCTCCATGCACTGGACGATGGAAGAGGCTTAGCTGTCAGATCAAAGCGCTCTTGCCAGACCGTTTAGGCTGCACATTTCAGGCACTGCCTGCATCCTTCTGCTTCTGGAATATCATCATCTTCTGCCTGCTGGTGCCCCTTCACTGTGTGTGTGTGGGGAGGGTGTGGGGGACATTTTTCATGGGAAACTTTCTCGGGGCTGCATGCCAGCAGCGAACGGGGCTGCCGACAAAGTGGG